ATTTTTTTTTCACTTTTACGAAGATAATGACCCTTATTCTTAAAAAATTAAAACCTACTACAAACCTATTTTTACTATTACTGTGTTTTGTCAATTTCATTCAAATTGAGAATTTACCATAAAAGAAAAAAAAAAAGAAAATTTAATAGTTAAAATAAGTTTGAGATATTTTTATAAATAAGAAGATAATCTAATAATTTTTACTTTAATAATAACTACCATTTTAACTTACGTGTAATTATTTCTTGACCTAAGTATACGTAAGTTAAACCAGTAGCTATAATGTTAAGGTATAATGTGCAGTTAAAAATTCTTAACAATTTTAATTGAATAAATAGTTGATGTAATGTTAAGTCACTTATATGTATGTATTAAATGTAATGTATCTTGTACCCAATAATAATTTTGCATGTTTTAGAATATAAGGCGAACATTTGTACTTCACAATAGATCAATATCTGTAAAAACAATGTTCTGGCAAATAAACAAATTTAATCTAATCTAACAATAAATTTTTGTTTTGGTAATTCTTTTTCGTTAACTACATTGCATTAACAAAATGCTGGTTTTGTATTAGAACTTGGTACTCGAGTACGTAGATATTCGAGTCAGTACACGAGTTCTACTCTACTTCAGAACATTACTAGACATGACTCGACATATTGTGATACAACAATATGTCGATGCTTGTGTTTTGATTGTTGTCACTTGGTGGAATTTGGAATTCATCTTTATTGATGAGAGGAAACTTTGTACTAATCTTTCACAGATCTGTATGACGAGTACATTGTACAATGCTCTTACTAAATAATAAATTATGAAATTAACTTTATTGCGTTGATATGTTATATCTAAACTGTTGTTTTTAATAATATTATCTTAATTAACGTATTTTGATAAATTTTTATGTAATAAACAGTATAGTAATACATATTAGATAAGTAAATATATGCCGCTGGAATTGCTTAAGTGAATTATTTACAGAATATTTAATCCATTTACATTTTATGAACGTAAAAATTTGTGAGGACGTATGGATTTACTGACATTACTGTACCTGTCGCCGTGTAGTCTTGACAGAATAGGGCACCCGTTTCATCCTTGTGGGTGTCGTAAGAGGCGATTAAGGGACGGCGAGGGATGAGCAGAGAGATGATTTTTTTTATAGGTGATAATGAAATAGTAACTCCATTCGCATTGTCGGTATACACCGGCGGGGCACCAGTGAAGGTTGATAGAGGTCAGTTAGCCCATAGTGACGAATTCAACGAGAATTGTTCACGATGGTTTCCAGGGAGAACCATCTGGAGGTTGACCTGATAGGGCATATTGCTAGCAATGGGGCTGTCTAACTCCATTGCTAACAATCCCTTTCCCCCAGAGAGATGATTTGCAGCGTCCCTCTTACAACATCACCAAAAGTGTAACTACTGTTGCCAAGCGTGGCAACCACTGGCAAAACCCCTTTTACGGGGGAGGCCTATGTTCAGCAGTGGACAGTTAATGGCTGACATGATGACGATGATGACTGTAATCCCAGACGGGGTGTTCATAGGCATTTGTTAGATTATAGGTCTTAGGGGAAATCAGTCCTTCTCTATTCTGAGCTGGTCGGAATTTACACTGTATAAGATGAGATCGTGATGGTATGTACACACAAGATACGTGAGAGCTTTCTAAAAAATAAAGTTTGTTGATGGTGTCCACTATCATTTGACAGTTAGTTAGAATTTTGTATTGGCTTCGTAATGAACTACAAGTTCTCATCGCTTTTATAAAATATATTGACAATTAAAATGAGTATATGTATGACTATAGACTATAGTATAGATACTGTATTATGACTGAGAGACAAATTTGTGCCTGTTTCTTCACACACGTGACCGGGAGATATTGATTATCCGAGTCCAAGATGATAGCCTGTTTTATCCGCGCCAAATTTTAACACTTCGTGTTATGGACACCGGTGAATTTGACTTTTACATGTATCTATTATTATTTTTCTATTTGTTTATGGTTGTTGTTTTTATCAAATTATCATAGTTTTTAAGGAATGCAAAAAATACTAATAATGGAAGTTGCACAGGATGACATTTGTTATACCAGATAGTTAAAAAGATTGATACTAATTTTTATCCGCAATTTTGTTTGCGTGACCCGGATATATTGATCGATCCGGATAAAAAGTAGCCTATGTCCTTTCACACTACGTGTTTACGTACATTTCATATTTTATAACGATTGGTTCAAACGCTAAAGCGTCAATCGATAACAAACAAAATTCATAATAATCAAAACTTTATTGCATAAACATGATTGTAACAAACTCAGCACTGGAAATTACAGTAAAAGTAGGTACGAATTCATTTGTACGTTTGGATCAGTTCAAACATCTGTGTCTGAACTAGGTTATAAAACCTGTATCTCAGACAACAGCGCTCAACCCTCATTAGATAGTATAATATTAGTTCAGCTAAATTTTTCAGTGCTACATATAGATAGATAGATCGATAAACACTTTATTTGAGCCATTTATGACACACGTAAATTAACAAATGAGTTTATACAATCAGATTATTTACATTTTTTTTTAAATATAAAACAAAAAATGAAATATGGAAATATGTTTTCACCAAGTGTGTCGCAGTGAGCCAAATAGGCTACAGCTCAGTGATAGTTTTGCTTAAAAGCAAAGCACTGATTTTCAGCTACAGCCTGAAGTTAAGCTACACGGACGCGTATAACAAACCCAGAGTGTAACATATACGAGTAGAATGTTGATTTTATATAAAATTAATTCATCTAATTATATAATTATAAATATATAATTAGTAATAATGAAAATTGTGAAAAACGTGCTCTCTGTGTATAGAGTGTAATTTGAATGTATGCGTGTGGGGAGACTGTGTAAAATTATTTGTATTCATGTTTCTTTCAACTTTATAATAACAATAGTGGTTTATTTTCAAACATTTACGTATATTCCATAATTTCTTAATGATTGGTTTATACGCTAAAGCGTCAATTGAAAACAAACAAAATTAATGCCACTTTAAATTTTATAAAACAATATTTTTTTTATTTATTTATTTATTAAAGGTATACACAACAGGTTACAATCAATAACATGATAGACATTATACAAAGATAATAGATTGAACTAGATTGAGACCCAGACAGGTGTACACACAGCATGGTTAAAGCAGTCGGCAAACAATGTTTTATTATAAAGTTATATAAAGAAAACATATGAATTTGGTAAATAACAGTGAAGTACATGCAAATAATAAAAATACATAAAGATATGGACATGCCAAAGAGACTTGATGGCTGATTGTAAAATGCTTTTGAAGGTGTTTAGACGTGAGTTGAAGATATCAATTTGAGGATATTTAGCTGAAAATTCATTAAAAGTACGACACATACGGATTATCTCGAGTTTGTCAGTGTCAATGAGATAAAAAAATAACCTTTCAATTTTAAATAGTAGGTGTATATTAAATATCGTGACGATTCGTCGACTGATTTATCAAAAATTAACAATAATTAAAGATTGTGTTCCACAAAAAAAAGACTTTAATTGTGACAAAGCCAGTTATTTTGATTTAAAATAATAAATAAATAAATAAAAACTAACCTACTGAACCGATTTTGATAAAATTTCTATGGGACCAAACTGTTAAAAAAAAAGTATATCCTTTCAGATAAAAAATAAATCGTTTTAAAATTGACAGAGTTATGAGGTAACAAATATATAAAAAAAAAAAGAAAAAAAAACATACAATCGATTAGAGAACCTCTTTCTTTTTGAAATCGTTTGATAATCAATTTCAGTCTCCCATTTAAAAGATTTATAATATTAGTAAGTACTAGCGACATTCGTAAAGAGCGTTAACGTCAGGCAGGTGGCCAGTCGTAAAATCAAGCCAAACCTTTTTGTAATGTGGATTAAAAAACATATTACGCTCATATAATATTTGGGATAAGGATAGGAAGAAGAAGAATAAGTACTAGCAACCTGTTCCGGTTGCGAACGGTTTTTTTTAATAAATTACAAATCAGGTCACTTGTTGATAATGTAATTTTTTTTATAACACAGGGGGCAAACGAGCATGCAGCTCACCTGATGGTAGGTGACTAAGTACCGCAGCTCATGAGCGCCCGCAACTCTAGAGGCATTGCTGATTTGCTGTCGGCCTTTTAAGAAGGAATACGCTCTTTTCTTGAAGACACTTTCACTGATTGGGATAAAGTAGTCTATAAATCAAATTAATAAAATATTAATTTGATTTGTTATCGGTGTTTTTCATCACCAGAGAAAATTATATTGATTCATCAAATTTTATTGTGAACAACTAAAACTTTCGGAAATATTTGAACTCACGACCTATGCTGAATCGTTTGCTGCAAAAGTAGAGGAATTAGAATATTAAATAATTTATATATACTAATTTTAAGACTAGTTTTTACTCATGACTCCGATTGCTTGATGTATATTTAAATTGATGATAATGATATGGTAACCTCGCTTGCGTTAACACTATACACTGGCAGGGCACCAGTAAGGAATAATAGGTGAGAATGAAAAAAAAAACAGCCCATCGTGATTAATTCACTTGGAATAGAAAACGATGGTTTCCAGGGGTAACCGCGAAGAGGTCGACCTGACTGCGTGTATTGCTACAAATGAGGTTACTAATCTCCATTACTAACAATTCCCTCTCCCTCCAGAATATACATATTACCCATTGATTGACTGGGATATAAAGAAGCCAATGGTTTACGTTATAAATAATGTGTTTGGTTGAGTAGTCAAGGCGTTAAGAGCTAACAAATAAATTCACTTTCACACTTACAAAGATAGGTATAGTATAAGGATGTATGACGTCAGACCCTGGCAATTATGTAGCTAGCAAAGATATTACGTAGATCATGGCTGAGTTATAACTTTGTGGATGAACACTGAGTACCAAACGTTATTCATCTTTCAATCGCGTTAGTCAGTGTTGTGGTATCGGTTGTATTGAACACATGTGTTAACAAGTGACTAAGGAACAGATACAACGTAATGTTCCACTAAACACAGTGCGATGAAAATATATCTTACACATCTACATTTAGACTACAGTTTCATTTCACTCATCGGCTGATCAGTGCAAGGTGATTTCAATTATGTATTTGTAGAGTTTCGTAATGTAACTATTTGACAATAGATGACACTAGTTTCGTATCGTAAATGTCGTAATAGTTATCTAAGAGATAAGATTTATCTTGATAACATGTTTTGTTAATGTTATGTATGGAATTTGGCTTTGATCGTTGTGTAAAAAATTGATTACGTTATATTGTCTATCCAATCGATTCCAAATGCGTATCTAGCTGAGTTACCTAGTTTGTAATCGATTTAAATTTTATTCGGTAATGAAAACATTGGTTTAGCGATTTTTGTTTTCATTTTATAATACACAAAGTTTGAAAATAGTTTACAATGAATGACTTGAAATTTTTTACAGGCTGAGTTAATCTTAATATAGACCAACTGGCGTATTAAAAAATGGGTGCTAAAAATGGATTTTTGAAAAAATATAATATTTCCTGCTGATTAAAAAAGGAAGATTATAATTCAAAATATATGTATGTGTACATATGTATGTATGTGTGTGTGTATGTGTGTGTGGGCATGTGTGGGTATGTGTGCACTGCGCGATATCTACAATGTTTTTGACGAATTTGATGATTATTTTCAATTATAACTTTGGAAGAGTTTACCCCTGCACTAAAATTCTTAATCCTGCAATAAAAAAAAACTTTCATTTTTAAATTGTTGGCAATTGAGCAAGAAATAGCGGTGACCTTGCTGTCGAATCTTTATGCCGGATCCCAGTAATAGCGAGATTTAAATCACAGCAACAATGATGCGTTGTGTTACTTCTGTGTATTTGTTACCGCTTGATTGTTTATAATAATTACGATCCGTGTTAAATTACGACTCTACTGTTACTCCTTTATTTTTTGGTTTGGAAGCATTTCTAAAGTGGACCGTCAGACGAACGCTCGTGCTTAATTTAAGAATTGTGTATTATTGTTTAATATAAAATTATAACAGAGTTAAGGACTAAATTAACTTATTCAAGGTATTACATAGATTTCTAATCCAGTTATTAATTAGTTTCTGATCTTTATTCAAGTCTTTACTTGTATCGTTTATCTATAATGATTAGGATTATATGGGAGAGACTAACTCAATTGCGAAATTGAGATGTCCTCCCTGTGGAGTATAGGCCACATATATTATTTATAGCTATATTGTATTATTTACCAAATTCGAAATTGACACGCATATCTATTGTTTCCTTTTGGCTTTCCTTTACGGCCCTAGTCTTCTAAGTTCCTTTGACTATTATACATATATTTCCAATTTTCATTCCTGGTTTCCTTTGTCGCCCACACTCTCCAATTTATTTTGTATCTTTTACTTAAATATCTACCTATGTAAAGTAAATATGTTTAGCGTAACAGTCAACAGGTAACAGGAGAATGCTATTAGGCATTCAGTCCGGCCTGTACACATATTTTAATGTATGCCAATATAAATAAATGTATAAAAAAATAAATATGTATTCATATAAAATTAATATATTCCAGCTATGCGTTAGTGGGTAACTCGGTCACTGAACTTTGTACGACAAATAAAATTTTCACAGCCTTAACACTAGGAATCAATTTTGAATACTTAAAACATTCTACGTAAAAAATATCGATAAGATATGCTTTTATCGGTATAAAGAATGTGCATATCTGAATAATTATGTGTGATCTTAATTAAATTTGGCTTTGATTTGGACCATTGCATGAGGGATTTCTAAATTACCTACTTGTTATGTAGGTAATAAATTTATATTGATATTAAATTTACATATATTTTGCTCGTTTTTAGTAGGCATGCGTAATATGGATACCGGTCCGATATCCATATATCGGTTTCTCTAGATATTTATGGCAGAAAAAGGTCATCACCTATTTAGATGTTGCTCATATCGATTGGATATCTATTTACGAATATTTTTTTTTATACAACTTAGAATGGCAAAAAAGCTGATTTCGCCCATGATATCCCTATGCGTTGCCATTCCTGAGGACTTAGGTGTTATTCCTCTGTACCCAGTAAATTCACGCCATATCCCACCCTTCAAACCGAAACACAGTCATGCAAACACAGCTGCTTCACGGTTGAAACACGAATGGGACAGAGGTACCCAAGCAATCGACTTTTGTACAAAGCCTCCCTCTGGTAAATGTTAACAGTCTGTTACCCAATATTATTTTTTGGATAACTTTTACCATATTCGTTATTGACCTATATATAATTTACAAGAGCATTATTCGGCCTGCTATTTCGTATGGATCGGAGTGTTGGTCAGTAAAGGTGACGGACGAAAAGCGATTGCATGTAGCTGAGATGCGGATGTTGAGATGGATGTGCGGAGTGACAAGAATGGACAAAATCAAGAATGATTATATCAGAGGAAGTATGAAAGTAGCGCCGGTGATAGAAAAGTTAAGAAGTAACCGTTTATCTTGGTATGGGCACGTGATGCGCACGAATGATGAGCAAATTTTAAAAAAAGTATTAAGAATGAATGTAGATGGCTATAAGAGCAATGGAAGACCTAAAAAGACATGGATGGATTGTGTGAAAGACGATATGGCCAGAATGGGAGTGAATGCGAAAATGACTGGGAATAGAAAAGAATGGAAGAGGAAACCATATTACGCCGACCCCAAATAATAATTGCGAAAAGGGTAGGAAAATGATGTTATTGATCATTTTAACTAAAATATTGATTATTTTAACTAAAATATATTATTGCTTTGTATTATTCACACCTGGTTTTTAGATATAGGTGTCCATTAAGAGAGGCTTTCACGAAATTTACACAGAATAAAAAAGGCAGCTTAGCAGTTTGTTGATATCTGCAACAATTAAATTTTAATTTAATAACTACCGGTTTAACTTATGTGTAATTCGATCGAAAAAGCTCGACTACTTTCGGAATCAATTCGTGATCCTTAGTCGTGAGTGATTGTGATGTGAGCACGAGCCTGTCCAAATCAGTCAGGCTCGTCTTCGCGTCACATCAAAGTTATTAAATTAAAACATTAAATTTGTAATTTTTATTGTCAATGAAATAAATAATAACCTAAAATAAAATGAAGCAAAACTGCGATACACGGCTAGTACATTTTGACGTATCTAGTCTGTTCTCACCGGGTGGTGGTGGTGGGGGGAAGGATTTGTTAGTACTGAAGATACAAACCAATTGACGTTTTCAAATAACATGTAAAAATCGGCTTCTATCTTTTTAATCCTGCATTTATAAATGATAAGTTATCATGAAAAGAGTGTTTATTGTATCACAATAAGAAAGCGTTGTTGTAAGATGTATAGAGTGGGTAATGGGGACTCCAGTCCCCATTACTAATAATATACTGTGTTAGGTCTCCCGTAATAGGTTTCATACTCTGGAAATCTTAGTGTGTGTGTGAGTTTGTAATGATGGGTGAACTGACGTGACTTTATTATTATCTTTTATTACTCATTGATATCCTGTCAACATATAGAGATAGATACGTATCCTATATCAGTATATATAGTAATTAAAATCTCTATTACTTTATAAAAAAATAAATTTCTGCTTTGAATTAATTATACTTAATTGAATAATTACATACAAAAAGCAAATTATCTTTACTAAAATACTTATTAGTATTATTATATAGGATGTTTACGAATCGATTTAAAATGGTTTTTCTTGTCGTAGTGGCGTAATACTAGTTACTACACAGCGTCAGATTTCACCACTTATGCATTAGAATGTACAGCCGTTGGAGTTGGCTCATTGAACCATCATTTGAGTAGGTATTAAATACTTAAAACATTAAATATTTTGATAATTATAAACTATAACTATTACTTTTCCACAAGATTGTTTCGTTTGTTTAAAACACACACACACACATACACACTCATTCGAACACACATTCACACACACATTCACTCATCAATGCACGTATAAATATACACACATACACACAGATACATACGTGCATTGCACCGCTATTACAGGACTTGTTGAAGGATTTTCAATAAGTATAAAATAAGTTAAAACATTAAATTTTAGTTAAAATTTAGTTATATACATTATCCTGTTGCTGGGCAAAATCATCACCATTGAAATCAAATAATTTTACACCTAATTACTCAAATAATGACTACCAATATCTTGGAGGATATTACATTATTAAATATATTGGATTATAAATTAATTTATCAACTCATTAAGCTTGTGACGCACGTTTTACATAGACGAAATATTTTAAAATATTCTTGTATATATTTATTAAAACTGAATTATTTAATTGATGAGCCAAAGATAAATTGTTTATATGGAAAATAAAATATAAATAACTACTTACTACCCTTATTCCAATTATTAATTGGGGTCGGCGTAATATGTTTTTTATCCATGTTACAAAAAGATTTGACTTATAGTTTTACGACCGGCCGCCTGCCTGACGTCAACCCTCTTTGGGAATATATTAATAAATATACACATATTATTACTATCTCCTAATTTTTCTATTAGTATATAGGAGCCCAAACTACCCGTTTTGCTTCCTATACTTCATTATTTAATGACTTGTAGTAATATAGTAGTTCTTATCTACTTTAAGTTTACAAATTACATGGAATGTATAATTAAACATGTTTTTGTATACTGAGTTATAAAATAGTACCTATTAATTATTCCTATTAGGAATGGACTGGATGTTATGTTTAATGGATGAAAGTGAAAACCTTGCTTGACTGGATACTAGTTAAGGATTATAGGTTAATTTATGTCAGTTAAACCAACATGATCAATTCACCAGAATTCTGTCTATCCTGGTTTTGTAGGAGAGACTGTGTGAGTATTGAATTGACATGGTATATTGTCGCTTTCCCTGATTATTAATAATCCCTTTCCCCCACTCAACTGCAGTTAGACTAGATAAAAAAAGACTGAACACTATGTAGTTTTTAAATGTTAGATGTCCAGCAGTACCCACACGCCTTCTCCATAATGTGTGGGTCTCCATGATACATTTTCCACATTAAAAAAAGGTGAAAGAAAGTCAAGGCTTTGGCCTGAAGAGCAGTCTTAATTAGAACAACGTCAGTGGCATTTAAAATAGGTAATCGTAGCTCTAGATTAGATAAGACCCAAATTAATGATTCGAAATCAAGGCGACACGAGTCCAATTACTTGTTCAAGGTAATTATTATTTGCCATAATACACAGGTTTGACTTTGCACCAATGTTTCCAACATGTTCAGGCGACTGTAATCTGAGATCAGATGATAGACTCCGTTAATAATATTACAAATGTTACAACGTGCCAAATACCGGTTTAACCCTATATAACTAAAAATAGGAGTTTTTAACTAGTTCTATTCGTATGTTTGTCTATGTATTTGTCTATATGGTAAAAAATAACTTAATTCCTTTATTTTAAATACACAATTGGGACTTAACGCGATGAATAAATCTTAGCAGATAAATAGTACCTACATACTAGCTTCTTTATTGCTCAACGTGGATTGCACCACGTGGTCACGACAGAGCTTATTTCCTGTATTTGCTAGCACCTATGGAGTGAGCTCCCTGTCGAGGTTTTCCTCATTAGGTGGGCCGTATGCTTGTTTGCCACCTCAGTGATATAAAAAATATGCAGTATAGGGTGAAGTCGACATCTGATTTCCAAAGTTTCCAGGCCGTTTTCATTACAAGTCAGGCAAGAAGGTAGTCATATTTTACTATACATAGTTAAATATTTAGGACACCTCCATGATGATACCTTATAATAATGTTGTATCCAATTCTGTGATCATAGATTAAGGATAGTAATCTTTCTACGTTTATGACTGACTTTCAATTGTTCGTTTTAAAGAGTCACTTCTTTTCAAATTTTAAAAATAAAATTATATTCTATATTTAAAATTAGTAAATTTAAATTTTAAATTGCAATTTAATCTTCTGTTATTACTTAACCCCTCAAGTCGCTATGTTAGTTAAACTACGCCGTAGAAGTCAAGGATTATTATTTGAAAATAAGTGTTTTGTACACAATGTTTTGTGTCGACGCAGTTCAATATTTCTAAGGGGTATATTACACTGTCAAATAAATAAGATCATATCTTAATTATTTTATTATAACTTTAAATATCTATATCAAAATATATAGTATATATTTATTATTATCATTTCAGTCATTATCCGTCTACTGCTGGACATAAGCCTTCCCCATAGACTGCCATAAGGAACGGTCCTGAGCCACCTGCATCTGACTGACTCCCTGCAATGCAATTGAGGTCGTCTATCTAGTGGGGGATCGACCTACACTGCGTTATAATATATAATTATAGGGGGGAAAGGGATTGTTAGTAATGGAGACTGAGAGTCCCATTGCTAGCCCAATAATAGCTATATCCAACCAGGTCGACCTCCTCGCGGTTCTCCCTGGAAACTATCATGGTTAATTCCTAATGAATTCAACATGATGGGCTAACTGGCCTGTTTTCATATTCATCTATCACCCTTCACTGGTGCTCCGCTAGCGTATCCCGTTAGCGCAGGGGTTACCATACCATTTTCACCCATCAAAAAAATATATATAATTATACGAGTGAATAATTTATTTAGACCATTATGAGACTACAAAAGTTGTTACCTGTATAATGGGTACCTGTATAATGATCTCTATCCTATAGGTACGTTGTTCTACTGCTTATAGCTTAATAGCTGTACTTGTATGGTTGTATTTCGGTTTGAAATATGAAATATGATAGTGGAATTACAGAATATTGAGTCATATTGCCTTAGTTCTTGAAAATAGGAGCGCATAAGAACACCATAAGAATCACAATGGGCATACCCATGGTGTTATTTATGTCTATTGCGACGGTTACTACTTCCCATCAGATTTGTTTGTTCTTCAAAATTTCATAACAAAATACTTTCAAAAAAACCTAAAGCACGCGTATGATCCTATTTATTTAATAGTGTAAAATGACCCTTACACATATTTAACTGTCTAACAGTATAGCTGATAGTCACATAAATACCTAAACTACACGTGTGGGTGTGTACGTGAGTATATTTAGCCGCTTGTGGCGAATAAACGGCTTAACGGATATTGGCGAGATAACAGCTGATTCACAATTTTATCGTATCACAAAAAACAATAAGGCGCCCGTACCAACGAAAAACTGAATAATGCGATTAACACACGGAAGGAAGGGATGTGGCATGGCAACGCGCATCGCGGCGGTTTGCAGTCGAGAGCAGTTAAAAAATTTCTTCTACTCTGCCTGTCTGTGAACTGACTTTTGACATAACAGATTTAAGACTGCTTCGATATCATGTCCAACAGACGTCAGATATAATGCCCATTTAACTTTATTCGATGTGATTTCCATTTACAATCGATTGTGTTAAAAATCTCGCAGTTTGCAATGCATTTTGCATAATAACAATAGTCTTTTGACATGGCGATGCAAGTTGTCGCTTCGTGTTTTCTTTTTTTTATGCAACTTAGAATGGCAAACAAGCTGACGGCTCACCTGGTGGAAAGTGGTAACCGTTGCCTATAAACATGAGCAGTACCATGAGCATAACAGAGTATTATATATACTGTTTTGCCCATGATACCCCCAAGCGTTGCCATTCTTGAGGACTTAGGTGTTATTTCTCTGTACCCTGTAAATTCACTGCCATATTCTACTATTCAAACCGAAACACAACCATGCAAACACAACTACTTCACGGTAGAAGCGCGAATGGGACAGAGGTGTCCAAGCAAACGACTTTTGTACAGACTCCCTCTGGTGTTTCTCGTGTTTATATAATTATATATATAATAATTTATTTGTTATTATATTAATATCGAATTTGTATGAGTATACATTCCTCATTTCTATACATAACGCAGTAGAATAGTCTGTTTAATTCCACCATGTCGCAGGGTCTGGTGGATTGTTCATCGCTTCGTGTGTTAATCGCCTACATAAAGTAAAAAATTAAAACATGTTCAATTTGGGTAAATGTAAAATAGGGTGTAATTTTGAGCAGTTTTGAAATGTAAATTGTAAACATAATAAATAACACGTAAGCGTTCAATTTTAACTAGCTAGTCTCACGGTTTTGTCCAAACTCTACTGTTATCTAATATGCATGTATTCATACAAACAAACAAACAAATCTTATCTCTATATATATATTTCATTGGTAAGCAAAATTTATAAATTTTTTTAGGGTTGTTACTATAAGTCGAATAGTGAAAAATTTTATTCCATCAATTATTCCGCGAAACATCTTTAGAAAAGTAAATTAATTCACAAACTGACAATTTTTACGCTCCATTCTATTATGTTTATTAATATGTATAATTGTGTTTAGTGAATTTGTAGTTGAATGCGGATGTTAGCAAGATACTTATCAATAGATAATTATGTTTCTTTTTTGTCGTTGTCCATACTTAATTACTAAAAAAAAAACTGTTTTATCTAATTATACCTATCTGTGGCAACATATTTATCACTAATAATACGTAGTTGGTGTTATCGTTATCATGACTAAAATGTTAAATAATTAATAAATGGGAAATCGATATTGTAAACGCATTGTGAATTCTAGGCTGGTCAGGTGCAAACGTGTTTAAGAGAGTAATAGAAAAATAGTTACAAACGAAAATGGGCGACAAAGGTGTCAACCCTGATTTGGTGAAGGAAAGGCAGAAATGCACGTTCAACATACAGGAATTGGTGCACCTAATCGATGGCGGGGAACAGGCCACCCGGGATAGGAAGGAAGTTGGTGAGTTATTGTAAAATAAACTTTTCTACTATTACTATTGTTATTGTAAATAAATAATTATAAACGAATATTCAATTTAAGCATGCTAATACCTAAGTCTGATGTGATTCCTGTCAATTTTTAAAAATAATTACTCATACTATTTATTACTATTTTCGACGAATAATTTCGAGCGAATTAAAAAAAAAATCAACTTCAAATGTAAAGAGGCAAAGGAAATAGTGTAATCTGTCTAATCTTTTTAACTGTTTCATAAAACATGTCGTAATGCCGAATTTACTAGTTTTTAAATTATAACTGAAAAATAAAACAAAATAATAAATTTAAATATCTATGAATGATTACTTATGTAGTGATTTTTTATTGCCATAAAACAGTGTTCACGTAATTTACACATAAATCTAAGACTATATTATTTATTATTATAATTTATCTATGACTATTCTCTATTTTTTACTATCATATTCTAAATTTCAAATAGTCACTGGAGAATTATATTAAAGCCTTAATTTCACATGTCGTTAAATTTTGTCATTATTGCATTGAGTTGTGTTGAATTTAACATTGATGGTGTGCTACCATTTCTCCTTATTAATTTCAAACGTATTCTACTTTTTTTGAGATTTCAATACAAGGTTTAAATATACTCGTAATTCTTTACTTTGTCACGCATTTTGTCCAACTATAACATTTTAATACCAATTTACATAAACTTATGCATGAGTCAATTTATTTACATGAAAAGTAGAGTGCATCACTCAACTGCATTCCTTGCCTCGGGCGATGCACTCAAATTTATAAAATTCCTCACTTTGCCCTTCACTCTTTATAAAGACATTATCTTGCCCCCTTAAAATGTAATTTAGTATAATTTATTTGCTCACTAATAATTTTTAAATTCACATTTTCCAGAGGAATTGGTATTGGCAATAAAAGACATAAGAGACAAAGTACCTGAGGAGTATTTAAGTCACAAGGAGAGATACGAGAATGCTGTAAGGAAGACCGTAATGATGGTAGAGGTTTTGAAAGACCATGCCCTGAAACACTCATCGTTCGATGCATACAAGTGAGTAAAGTGTTCATCATCAACATCATCATTGTGATTATTTCACTAATTACCATTGTTGTACATAGATCTTCATCAATGAATTTTATTTTATACAATTGAGAATATAAACAAGCTGATGGCCCACCTGATGAAAAGTGGTAACCGTCGTCTATAGACAATGAACTACTAATGAACTGTCAGTTTTCTCATATTGGGTTTGCTGGAAGAAATCTCTATTGGAGATAAGCTCGCCTTTGTGCACTATTACGTTTGTTATTACATTTCAATAACGTTTTGTGTACAATAAAGAATAAAGAAAGAAACAAAGAAAGACATGAACCGCACCATGAATATCATAAAATACTCTGTGATGCTCATGGTATTCTTCACGAGTTCTGATTTCTGAGGATTGGGTACCCTCAGTTACTCTATAATTTTCACTGATTGATGAATTAAGTAACGTTCCTTAGTTGTGTCTTTCTTTTACAAGATAAAATTAAAATGGCCAGTTAAAGATAGATCGATGTTAAGACTCTTGCCATGACATTTATTGTGCGCCTTTATAATCTATCGTTTAACTGCACGAAATGACACGATTTTATCGTCAAGATAGGTAAAAGAGGAAATTAAAATATTTACAACTGTATGGATGTTGCGTTGTATAATTTTTCCATAAGTATGTAAAATTTAAAAGTGTATACATACAATTGCCATTTTGCTCGAATATTATATCATATATATTTCCCATAATGACAATCATTATATAGGCTACAGTGCCGTTTACCATCAGACGGGCTGTATGCTTGTTTGACAACTTTGTGGTATAAAAAAAAAACATCAATAGCACTCATAGATATCATAGAATACATACACGCTCATTTCTTTGTGTTGTCATTTCTTAAAGTTTAAGGTGTTATAACTTTATTCGTATACCAAGTAATTCTGTTGTCATAATATTTTATCCTTCAAACCGAAATAGCCATGCAAGCGTAGTAAGAAAAAATGGACTTCAAAGGAAATAAAATATCTTTTATTTTGCCCATTCTAGGTTGTGCTAATAATTTGCAATAGTTTTAAGACGTTTTATATTAGAATATAGTTATATAAATAATCTCAATATAACAGACATCTTGCCACTCGTATCAAAAATCAAGGCCGAGATCAGCTTTAATTAAAAAATCTTAGTGTAAATACCATAAATTGATGACTATAAATTGTGGCGTATATTATTTGTTCCCTATTAAAGATACGTTGATTTACATTTACTTGTTTATTAAGTACAAACAATAGTTTCTGTACTCTAATACTCGTAAGTGTATTACGTATTATATAGTCTATAATTCAATTGTTTATCTACAGATAAGATTTGTTCACTGCACTTGTTGCACATTAATATGTTTGTGTGAAAAAATATGTTTACTAAATGTAATAAAACTATAGAGAAAATAACAATTGATCCGTATTTAAATTTTAACTTTGCTTCTAGTTGACTGTGAGAAATCCTTATGATATTTTGTAGATGAGTAATAAAATGTTTTATTAGATAAGATTTTTACAAGTTATCGTAGAAAGGGTAGATGATTCAAAACTTAAAAAGGGAAGTAAGTCCGTTTTGTTCTACTGCTACTTGTAGTGTGATTGAACTAAATCGTTGAACTATACGGATATAACCAGATTTTTAGTATTTTATTTATTATTTTTTAATCAAACAGGAACTATCAGGGTGGAAAGTATGAAATTAAAATATATAACATAAAATTAGTAAAACTATTAAGTCGAAATTGAAGCTGATATTTTATAAAATAGAAAATATCCAATTACCTACACCAGAAAGTATATTTATCATTATTCATTACCATTTTAGAATAAGACTAAATATCGCGAATATAAAGTTCCGTAAGTAAATATTCCTTATTAAGAATAAGGAATGGCAAATAATAGCTTCTAGCGAAGATACTACTATATACTGTTAACTGTTCCATATATTGTACGCTTATATAGCAGGACATGGAGATACTATTTAAGTCATGTAATACCTTAATTTAACCTATGATCCACAATAAAGTCTTTGTATTTGTATTTGTATTAAGAAGTTTATGATACGATGTTTTTGTTTTCAGACCATCAAACATGTACCGCATTCAAAGCGGTATTATCAAGGACATATCTCCGTTCATGCTGCACATGGGTATGTTTGTGCCTACGATTTTCGGACAAGCATCTCCAGAACAAATGTCCGAGTGGTTACCCAAGGCATTGTCACTGCAGATTGTGGGAACATACGCGCAGGTACGTGACCGGTTATCAGTTCGTTGAAATGCAGCAGTAGTATAGGGACTTTATGTAACTTAGAATTGTAAACAAGCTGATATGAATAGCAAGATGGACGTCACAGAATATTCATTGTTATATATATATATATATATATATATATATATATATATATATATATATATATATATATATATATATATATATATATGCATTGTTATTTTTTTTTATACCACTGAGGTGGCAAACAAGCGGCCCACATGATGGTAAGCGGTTTATTTCTAAAGATTACAGTTTTGTTTTTCCGCATCATATAATTTGACTTTATTTTTGTAACGATTTTCAAAATGAGAAGATTCTCAATTTATCTGTATTTTTATGGTTATATTTTATCGTCAATTCTAAACCGATTTTCATTTTTTATTTCTAATCTATACGGTTTACTTTTATGTCATATTAATTTTGTGATGAAGAAGCTTTAGTTTCTTTGTGGAGCAAGAAACTATTTGTCGTAAAGCCGACTTATAGATACACTAATTCACGTTCTGAATTCCAATATTTTTTAGTATTTAAAAAAAATACCGTCCATCTGTGTATTTTGGATTGAAGTCATTACTTTTTGCAGAGCAAAATGAAATTTTCTAAAATTGTCGTTATCATCATATTTCATAGTTAATTGCCACAGCTAAAGTACAAGGTACCCCTTGTTTGCTAGTAGTTGCCACGCTAGGCAGTCGGATTTGAAATCGCAATTAGGTTTTTAGTGATTTTTTTTTTTTTTTTTTTTTTTTTTTTTTTTTTTTTTTTATAGAACTTAGAATGGCAAACAAGCTGACGGCCCACCTGATGGAAAGTGGTAACCGTCGCCTATAGACATGAGCAGTACCATGGACATAACAGAGTATACTGTTTCGCCCATGATACCCCCCATGCGTTGCCATTCCTGAGGACTCAGGTGTTATTCCTCTGTACCCAGTAAATTCACGCCATATCCCACCCTTCAAACCGAAACACAGCCATGCAAACACAACTGCTTCACGGTTGAAACACGAATGGGACAGAGGTACCCAAGCAATCGACTTTTGTACAAAGTCTCCCTCTGGTAAATGTTTTATAAGGAATGCGGCTTCCTTGTACGATTCCTCGACCATAATCGCTTCTTACGACATCCATGGAAAAGGAAACGGTGGCCCATTCTATGCCAGAACCACACAGTATTCTAAGTAATATTTAGATAAAAATATAATTTTATGTTCCATTACAGACTGAGCTTGGCCACGGAACGTTCCTCCGAGGTCTAGAGACAACCGCCACCTACGATCCTAACACCGAGGAGTTTGTTTTGAACAGCCCTACAATTACGTCATACAAATGGTGGCCTGGTGGATGTAAGTAATGTATTTTAATACATTAAAAATAAAACAAAGCATTGTGAGAAATACGCCATATCCCACAGTTTTATCCTCCTTCTTCTTTTCATTTAAGAGTTTCCTCTTGTCGGTGCAACTAATTCATGCATTTTCTTCTAGCCAGCTCTATTCTATCATATCTTTGACCTCACTATACGACATGACACCTAGTATTACCTTTATCGCTCCCATGTAGTTATTCCTCAGTCTTCCCCTTCCTCTTTTCCGATAGCTTTACCCACTACAAATACATACTACGCGATAAACAAGGACAGAGATAATGCATGTATGTTATCTCACGTCTACTCGTATATTAAATATTGTTTAGATTGAATAAAAAACTGCAATATATAAAAAAAAAATACATTTTTTGTCTATATCTTTTATGATTGTAATAACAAAATATGATAAAACGATATCTCTTTACTCTTTCTTTGCATAAAATACATGGTATACATGTTAATATCTGTAAGTATGTATATGGTAATACGAATCCTGTTTCCTACAGGACAGAGTCAGCCTAGTGTAGGAATCGATGATAAATTCTGTGCTTATACAAATATACTACTTTGTTAAATAAATACATCTTGTCTTTATGTCGAATTCTTTATTTTAATGTGAAAACTTCTGTATAACTTGTATAGGTAATACATAAACATACATACATACATACATATCTGTCACGCCTGTCTCCCAATACATAAACATATAACGATGAATTTCAAATTTCACTAAACAACAATAGAATATGACTTTGTACAAATCACGTATGTTTATACAATTCCAGTGGCTCACACCGCCAACCACTGCATCGTGGTGGCACAGTTATACACCAAGGGCCAGTGCTACGGAGTCCACCCCTTCTTCGTACAGATCAGGGATCTAGACACACACATGCCGCTGCCCGGTGTCAAAGTGGGCGAGATTGGGCCCAAACTAGGCTTCCAAACGGCCAACAACGGCTTCCTGGGATTCCAGAACTTCAGAATACCCAGAAATTGCATGTTAATGAAAAATTCTCAAGTATTAAAGGTAAGAAATGACTTAAGTGTGTATACATAAATAAATCCATGATTATTTTATAGAATTGGCAACCTACGTGGAGCGGTAAATTGTTTCGCGTAATGAGTTTTCTTGTTCGATTCCCGGTTGGATCGTATACTCAGATGTTCGTTACTTGGTTTATAACAACAAAAGTTAACTTTAAAAATCTATCTAAAGCGTTCCTAGCTTGAGGATTGGGGGATTTCTGAGGTACCATCAGATGGGCTGTATGCTTGTTTACCATCTTCGTGGTATAAAAAAAAAATATTGTATAAGGTTCTTTCGATGCGTGAAAGGATGTTTTGCGAGTCGACAGTAAGCTCGCAATATAACTAGTATTAAAGGTGATAAGTGCTCACTATCGATATCTGTTGAAATAGTATTCAAAGTGAAAGGATACAAGTTGCGCTACAATCTAAAGGATGTTTGCCAATATTCTATGTTGAAATAGTGTGCCATATTGCTTGGTTTTCTGCTTCATTAAATGTAGTTTATTATACTTTATATATTATAGTTTTTTTTTTTTACTAACATAGTTTGTAAGAAAATTGTTACTAACAAAATTGGACCGCATTGTAGTCTGGATAATAAAGTATTATTAATATTATTAATATAATATTAATAATACTTTATATACTTCCTGTTTGACTTTTAAGTGTAGAATATTTTGTCTGATACTAATTTTCTATGCTCATACATAATAATCTAGACCTTTTGAAGACTAAACCTCACTGTAGCCTTAAATAGGTCTAGTAAAAGTGATTATAAAATCGAAGATTTAAGAAGAAGATATTATTATTATTAAGAAATGAAGATAGAGATCGAGGAGATCGGCAGTGATATAGAGTGGGAAAGAGTTTTTTTTTATACAACTTAGAATGGCAAACAAGCTGACGGCCCACCTGATGGAAAGTGCCCATGTCAGACAATTTTATTGTAACAAATATTAAAATGCTGCTGTCATGTTCGATATTCATGGGGTCGCTTCACTATGAACTAATTTATTTATTTATTTCCTTAAACAAAATTAGCTTAAGGTACAATATAATTATGACCGCACATTAGGCAAAGCTGTGGGTATTTATATAGACCTAATGTTATTATTATAAGCACTAATAATTTTTCAGGACGGAACGTACGTGAAGTCTAAGAGCGAGAAATTGACTTATGGAACCATGGTGCTCATCCGAGTGATGATTGTTGCTGACGCGGCGTACGAGATCGGCAGGGCAGCCACCATTGCCGTCCGATACTCTGCAGTCAGACATCAGTCGAAGCCGAAAGCAGAGTGAGTGAATACATAGATAGATAGATATATTATTTGCATTACTTACAGCACACCACAAATAACAATAGATATACATAGATGCACAATGAAAAAAGATAAAAAAATACATATCCAAAAAAAAAAAACATGCACAAAATAAGTAACAATTTTTCCCTTTATACGTGTGCCATAGTAACACAAAATAGTCACATTTCAGAATGTTGCTTTGTCCTCAAAAGAGCAAAATACTGATATTCTGTTGTGGCTAAAAGTTAGCCGCGAAATTCCGTAGAAAAAAAAGAAGTAAGAAATATAGATAAAATACATTGTGTGTGTTCATTACATTCACTATTATTTAATATTTTTGTTATTATTCTAATTAATTAATAAATGACAAATGTTATTAGAAGAAGGGTAGTCAGAAGTAATTACAAAACTATACATTTTGTAAAGATTTAGATAAATTCATTGTACGTATATATGTATGTCCATGTCATACTGGCTATTCTGGGATGGAGTCACGTAATTCTAAGATCTAACATGTTAATTTTAGAATGCCAAATATTCTGTAAAGGATGGTGGCCTTTATTATTTAATATCTAAAATTTGTGTACCAGTATGGCCTGGGTTTAGTGTGTTGTGTCGTCACAGACAAATTTTTTAACTTGTGAAAATGAAATGGTAACCATGTCCATGGGGTTTTTATGCCAAGCGGGGTATCAGTGTGACTGACGAGGTTGAAGTCAGATTAGTCGTTGCACCTGACGAAGTTACCAGGATTTAACAGCGGTGGTTTCCATAGGGAAACTTATGGAGGTCAACGGGATTATATTGCTAGCAAGGGACTGCTAGTTCTTATTACTATTAATTCAATCTGCCGTTTACTAACCTAAAAAACATTTTAATTCTCTACAAGAGGAATAAGGATCTAGCGTGAAGATATAACAATAAAAATGAACGAAAGTAATGAAATGAACTTAAAAATTAATACAATATATTTTTATTACAAAGTCAACATTGAAGTTTACAGCAATCAGTTATTTATTTATTTTTTATTAAAGAAAAACCAACAGTTAAAAAATTTCACAATAAAGAAAATATTAGAGACAAAAAGCCAACTAAAGGTTTTCACAAATAAAAACAAGATTTAACTAACGCACATGACATCGCTAATACATACAGTCGACTAAATTAAATTTAGTGTAACAACATTATAGTAGTACAAACATTATAGGTAGGTAAATATAGTTTTCTATCTATTATATATAATATGCAATTTTCTTTAAACAATTAATCATTGCTTAATTAAAGTTTGACCTTGATAATTGTGTGCACCGTTTATTTATGCACTTCCTGCTTGACCCTGCTACTCAACAGAGTTGTCGAGGGCAAAATACGTGTAACAATGAATGTAATCATGAAATGCATTTATTGTTGTTGGATATATAGTTAGATACGTTGTAATTATTAACTACGAATATTCTTTTGTTAAATAACAGAATGTGCTCACCATAAAACTTTCTACAATCACTAAATGGTTAATGCACATACATTGTAGCTGAACTAGATTAAATAATACTAATTTACCAATGCCATGTGGTCCCGACCTAGAATGGGCTACCGCTTCCTTTCCCGTGAATACCATCAGAGGGTAACTAAGGGAACTTAATGGTCAAGAAATGGGCAGCAGGGTCCTTCTTAAAACACCACCAAATAGGTTTTGGTGGTGTTTTAAGAACAACAACGGTTGCCAATCCGTCTACCAAGCGTGGTAACTACAAGCCAAGTCCATTCTGGTAAAGTCTATGTTCAGCAGTAGCAGCAGCAATCAGCATAATGATTTTCGCAAAATAATGACGCATCCAATATATAACGAATGTAAAAACGGGAGTGAATAAGTTGTTACGCGACTGTCCAAAAAAGTAATGTAAGGTTTTTTGGATTAACGTATAGATTTCTTTATTCCATTATAATTTTTAAATACCTGAATAGGTTAGGATGTATAGGATATCGTCAAAATTCTTAAAGCAGTCCAAGTGACATTTGCTATAAAGTTTTTTGAGAACAGTAAATTTTTGGCATGGCAGTAATTTAATTTAAAGAGCACTATACCTGCTTCTATATCAAATTAAGTCATGTAAATATGTAGTCTAAGAACAGTGTAGTACAATTTGAAATCTCTTTGTTCCAGCCAACCTGAACCACAGATTATAGATTACGTGACGCAGCAACACAAGCTATTCATTGCGATAGCCACAAGCCACGCCTTCAGGACCACCGGCACCTGGCTGTGGGACACTTACTCAAAAGTTGTGGCCGATTTGGGCAAAGGAAAATTGGATCAGCTGCCAGAGGTATGAATTTTTCTGCGGTGACTTGTAATATTTCTGTAATCTTTATTAATCTGATTAATTACTTCAATCTTTGTCCATTTGTTAGGTCATGATACGATAAGGGGTCTTACTGTCTTTCTTCATATAATCAAAATACTATTTATATACAAAATTTGAAGTCGTAACTTAACAAACGCGTTTATATTGACAACATAGATTAAGAATAGCACCTCGGTATTCTCTTTCTACAATTTGTAATAATATAGCTTTTAGCTATACATTTGTTAGATATTAGTTACGATATAAAAAAAAAATATGGGACCATAACTTAAAGAACAATTTTTCAGTCCGCTTTTTTGTGATACGCACATTTGTTCTACGATGTTAAATCAATTTTCGTTTGTTTTAGCTCCATGCCATAGCGTGTTGCTTGAAAGCAGTTTGCAGTCGTGATGCAAGCTCTATTGTGGAGCAATGCCGTCTTGCGTGCGGTGGCCACGGCTTCATGTTGTCATCCAACCTCCCCACCATCTATGGTCTAGTGACCGCCACCGTCACATACGAGGGAGAGTTCACGGTCATGATGTTGCAGACCGCTAGGTAATATTCTATTGCATATAATCACGCAACCTTGGTATCATTTTGTTATATATACTCATATGTATATACTGTCACTGTAGAAATTGGATGAGGAGATGTGGCTACGAAAAATTAAGATTAAATCATCAATATTTATTGGATACACATAAATATAAATAATTACATTATTTAAATTATATCATATAAAATTAATTTTGATAATTTGCACTTAAGCCATCGTACAGTCGCGTCGGGGAGAGCAATGCAAGTGAGATAGAGATATATGAGTACAGAGCTACATATATTAGTCTAGTTTTTTTTTCATCATTAAAAGTATACAAAGACCAGAACCTAAACAGATATGGTGATAGTCTTATAAAATATCCAAATATTCGAGTAAACGATAAATTTGAAATTATTGTTTTAAGTAGGTTTTATTAGTGAAATTGATCATTTTTTCCAAGGAAACATGAATTGGAAAACAATTACAAATTTTGATCCTTTTTTCTATCTAAAAGTATAGATAGAAAAAAAATTCTAAGTCTCATGAAGAATCCATGAGGTCACCAAAAATATCAATATTTTCGATAGGCTTCAGAGAGGAACTCTCAGCTCCAAATAAATTTAAAAAAAGATTGTTTTCTGAATTGATTAGCCTGACCGAGATCAAATCTGGAACATCATTTACATAAAGTGACATGTCTACCTCTTCACTAGGGAGATTATCGAATTAAACAATGGATAGATAATAATTAACCTCAAATTATTACAGGTATTTAGTGAAAGCATGGAAGCAAGCAGTGGACGGCACGGCCATGACCCCAACAGTGGCTTATTTGGTCAACTACATCAATAACACCAACCGCAAGTGGGACAACACACCCGAGGGCATCATCACCGGATTCCAGGCTGTTGCTGCAGGGTAAGCGTTGGATTTAATAATATGCTCTTAGGGACCTTATACACAGGTTGACAATATAAACGGTCCGTCGTTCGATTTTTAAATTGAATAAACAGTTTATCCACTAGACACACACTTGTATACTAAATTTGACACTATGCTGTTCCGGATAGTGTCAAATTTGAAAAAACAAAAACACTTTATTTTGGTAGTTGTTTGGATATCCTATGAGATATAGATTTCTTTATAATTTCTTTATTTATTTTTTATATTCCTAGTTGGAATAATAAACAAGCTTATCAGCTTGTTTGCTGTTCTAACTTGGCGTAGCAGAAGGAAAGTACATACCGACTCTTAAAAAAATGAACAGCACCATAGATATTTTAGAACACTTTATGACATTCATGGTAATCATACATTGCTATATCTGAGGACCCGTAATCTGTAACTTTAATATAATAACTACCGGTTGAACTTACGTGTAATTAGATCGAGAAAGTTTGACTAGTTTCGGGATCAATTCGTGATCTTTAATCGTGAGCGGCTGTGCCGCAACGCGCGCCTGACTGTACGCTTCAGCCCGCTGAGCGGTAGGCGCTTGCGGCACGTTACAATTACATTAATTATTACATTAAACTGTAATTTTACTGACATTAAATTAATAAGTACTATTTTAATTTATTTAGAAAGATAAAGGAAGCCTACGAATCTATTCAGCGACACCAGAAAGCAGGCAATGACTACGAGGATGCTTGGAATTTGGCTTCCGTGCAGCTCGTGAATGCCAGTGAGGTAAGTTTTATGGTCTAATGATTGTTTACAATTACTACGTTCTTGTTTCTTAGGATTTTTTTGGTTAATAGCAGTTACTTGTTTTAAAGATATTAACGCAAATAAAAATAGAAAAGTAAACCGAAAATTTGGGGTAACTAATAAAATTTTACTCTTTTTTATTTTATCCTTTTCTTTTTTTTATTTTATAAAATTATAAATTGTTTAAAAATGTTTTGTTTTCAATAAATACTTTTTCTTCTTCAACGTCGTCTGTGGGATCAGATACATTCGTGTATTTAAGATAATTTTGCAGACGGATTTGCAGTATTCTTAGAGAAGTGTTTGTGCATAGTTGAAAAATTCGCTCGGACCTTGGGGTGGGCATCAGCCAATTCTGGTTGCCCTTCTTTCACTCCCTTAAATATACGTATATTCAGGTCGTTAATATTAATTTTATAGGCTCACTGCCGCGCCATCTTGTGCAATGTGTTCTGGACGGAAGTGCAGAGGTTATCTTCTTCGATATCGGCGCCGCTAGCGCAAGTGTTGCGGCAACTCGCCGAGCTGTACCTCACATACTGGACGCTGGAGAAGCGCGGAGACCTCTTGGTGGTGAGTAACTAGTGTATACATTTTAACAGTTTTTTTTTAATGCAGTTCAAAATAGCAAATATTATGATATTTACCTGAAGAAAAGGCTAATCCTCGCCATATTTGGAAAATAAATCATTATAAAACAATATTTAATTTCTATCTAAACAAAACGTAGTAATATCTTAAGATTTTTTTTTAAATCGACTTGAATATCGAGAAAATTATCTACAAAGTAGTAAATCCTAACAAAAGAATAAAGAATTATAAAAATTGGTTCAGCATTGGCGAATATGTCACGTATTTTACACAAAAGGATAATGACGTATTTAGATATTTCATATATATAAATTCGGTTAAAAATACCAATATACGTAAGTGAGACATACAGTCTAAACGATCATTAAGCTGAAGTATTTTATACATCAAATTACCAGGAATTTGATTTATTTTATTTATACAACTTGAAATGTCAATGAAGCTGACAATCGATCTAATGGAATCTACTATTTATTGCAATATGGTTAATGGACTACGGACATTGTGTGATACCCTGTGATGCTTTTTATACTTACCATGTCTTTTCTGATGAATAGCGTTAACTATTGATTATATATTTCATATTCTATTTGTTTTGTTTCAGTACTCGTCAATATCGAAAAACGATGTGGCTTGGCAGCAGCAGAGATACGAACAGCTGCTGGCATTGATCAGACCGAACGCTGTCGGTCTTGTGGACTCATTTGATGTCAGGGATGAGGTACGTGTATATTTTTTTTTAATTTGCATATTAATTATTTTTGGTTACGTTTCTTTGCGTGGTAGAATCCAAAATAAAGATATCCGCGGAAGAATTAAAATGACCGATGTAGCTCGAAGGATAAGCAAGCTGAAGTGGCAACAGGCTGGTCACATAGCTTGATGAACCGACAATTTCTGGAGAAGAAAGGTTCTTAAGTGACGAGTCTGTACAGGCAAATCCAATGTAGTACGACCCTCATTAGATGGAGTGATGGCTTCAAATACATTACATTGAGTCAGTAGATGTAGGTGACTCGGGACTGTTCCTTATGGTAATCTATGAGGGAGGCCTAAGTTTAGCAGTGGACAGATAACGGCTGACATGATGATGATGATTAGTTGCCTTCTGATTCATTCATTAAAATGTATTTTTATGATAATTATAATTGTGATATAAATGTTCTAGATTTCGAGGTGAAAATATGAGTATATTTGTATTATAAAGTACGTGTGGCCATTAGAAATTTAAAAATGAGCTAGTCTGCAAATCGCTATTAGAAGCATGGATTTTTTAAATCTATTAGTATTAAACAAATAGATTTAAAAAATACATCGAGAGGTATCGAATAAAAATTTAAACTTCACTGCAAAACACTGCTTTACACGCAGTTCAGCGTAAAAAGCTTTATAATAATGAATAAAAACATTTTAGCTTTCTACCTTGCTTTTGTCCTGTCAGATTTTTGGCAGTTTGTAATAGACCAGAGGGAGACTTTGTACAAAAGTCGATTGCTTGGGTACTTCTGTTCCATTCGTGTTTCAATCGTAAAGCAGTTGTGTTTGCATGGCTGTGTTTCGGTTTGAAGGGTGGGATATGGTGTGAATTTACTGGGTACTAAGGAATAACACCTGAGTCCTCAGGAATGGCAACGCATGGGGGGTATCATGGGCGAAACAGTATACTCTGTTATGGTTATGGTACTGCTCATGTCTATAGGCGACGGTTACTACTTTCCATCAGGTGGGCCGTCAGCTTGTTTGCCATTCTAAGTTGCAGGATGCAACCCTGTGGAATTAACTAAATACTTACATATTCTCTTTGTATATTTAGATCCTGAACTCAACCCTGGGTGCATACGACGGCCGTGTGTACGAGCGTCTGTTCGAGGAGGCCATGAAGAGTCCCCTCAACGCGGAGCCAGTCAACAGCTCCTTCCACAAATATATCAAGCCATTCGTAGAGAAATCTAAGCTGTAATTTTATTATTTTAATAAATATAAAATGTATATATGGAATATATGTATATGGGATATGATTCTTATATTTAAATATAAATAATTTAGTAAAATATACAAATGTTGTGTTGACACTATCGTTTTTTTTTGTATCAAATAACTTGTTACGAATTCTTTATTAAAGTAAACCTGTTTATTTTTAATATTAATATTCAATAACACTGCTGTGGGGGGGGGGAGGGATTGTTAGTAATGGAGACTGAGAATCTCATTGCTAACAATATACCCAACCAGGTCGACCACCTCGCGGTTCCCCCTAGAAACTATCATGGTTAATTCCTGACGAATTCATCATGATGGGCTAACTGGCCTGTTTTCATTCTCATCTATCACCCTTCACTGGTGCTCTGTCGGCGTATCCCATTAGCGCAGGCGGGGTAACCATTCCATTTTCATCTATAAAAAAAATAACACTGCTGAATAGATCTGCACAAAATTCGGCATATATACAATGGACTAGAGTATGGAGTTCTTCAAAAAAGGCGTAAAGAGGCTTTTTCAGAGTCGGCAACGAATGCGTAATACTCTTGGTATTACTGGCATTCACAGGCTACGGTAAATGTCAGGTGGGCCGTATGCCTGTTTACCACCTTAGTGGTATAAAAACGATCATTATCGTCATCATATCAGCCGTTAACTGTCCATTGCTGAATATAAGTCTCTCCCATATATGGAGTTTTTCCAGTAGATGCCACTCTAGGCGAGTGCGTTGCAAATCGCAGATACGCTTTTGGTAATGTTTTAAGAGGACCGTTGCTGCCCATCCTTCGATCATTAAGTTCACTTAGTCACCTTTTACGACACCCATAGGAAAGGAGGAATGATCTATTCTACGCTGCGACACGCTAAAAGAAACTATATGTTATACGATAGTTGTTTGTTTGATAAATAAAAAAAGAAGGCGTTATAGATTTTTTTTATACAACTTAGAATGGCAAACAAGCTGACGGTCCACCTGATGGAAAGTGGTAATCGTCGTCTATAGACATGAGCAGTATCATGGACATAACAGAGTATACTATTTCGCCCATGATACCCCCCCCCCCCCCATGCGTTGCTATTACTGAGGACTCAGATGTTATTCCTCTGTACCCAGTAAATTCACGCCATATTCCACCCTTCAAACCGAAACACAGCCATGCAAACACAGCTGCTTCACGGTTGAAATACGAATGGGACAGAGGTACCCAAGCAATCGACTTTTGTACAAAGTCTCCCTCTGGTGCTACTGAGTGTATTCACTATTTTCTCAGGCATTATTTAAAGACCAGTTTTACACGATATATTCTTAAGCTAATTATAAACTCCTTGAGGATTCTTTAAATTTTTTACAATGTCAATTAAAACTATTAACGAGTTTTCCTGAACGCATTCGATCCAAAAGTAGGGGAGGCGAAAGGGATTTTTAGTAATGGAGACTGAGAATCCCATTGCTACCAATATACCTAACTAGGTCGACCTCCTCGCGGTTCTCCCTGGAAACTATCATGGTTAATTCCTGACGAATTCATCATGATGACTAACTGGCCTGTTTTCATTCTCATCTATCACCCTTCACTGGTGCTCCGCCAGCGTATCCCGTTAGCGCAGGCGGAGCTACCATACCATTTTCACTCATCAAAAAAAAGGTCCAAAAGTAGGTACACCAATAACAGATACTTAAATAATTTAAATATAGGGTATTACATTTTATAAGAATTAACATTTCAACGAGAACATATAGTTTCATGTTTTATTAGAATTAACGTAAAACATTCAGCTTAAAAAATTAAAATTTAATTTAGGTAGTATTATCTTAACCTAGGCTTAGGTTAAGATATTTAAATAACGTTTATAAATTATTTAAAAGAACTTAGATTGTAAGCGGCAAATTACTGAAATTAACAAAATTGTTTTTTGAGTATATATGTATATAGCGTGACAATGCCTAATTGTTTGTTTGTTTGTGTTTTGTAGAAAAATAATAATTTTCGATACAAATCTCTTATATACTTTTTTTTATACAACTTAGAAATGCACCTGATAAAAAGTAGTAACAGTCGTCTATAGACATGAGCAGTACCATGGACGTAACAGAGTATACTGTTTCGCCCATGATACCCCTCATGCGTTGCCATTCCTGAGGACTCAGGTGTTATTCTTCTGTGCCCTGTAAATTGACGCTATATCCCACCCTTCAAACCAAAACACTGCCATGCAAACACAACAACAACGGTTGAAACACGAATGGAACAGAGGTACCCAAGCAAACGAATTTTGTACTAAGTCTCCCTCTGGTAGGTCTGGCATACGTAACATACATGACACTGGCAGAAATGTTTGTAAAAATGGCGATCGAATGCCATTGAGGAAAAAAATAAGACATTATTAAAAAAAAATATAGTTAATGACTATGGTTATCAAATGCCTACTCAGACGATGATATACCATTGATAATTTAAAATAAAAAAAAAACGTGTTATCATTATTATTAAACATTGCACCTATTACTACTAATTAGCCAAAGGTTGCTTCAAACAGATTGCTTTTTGTAAAAGGCTGCCTTGTTTTACCAATCGATACATCTTTTAATAAGTAATAAAAATAAAAAACAAAAATCAAATCTGAAATTTAAATAATGTACTTAGGTACTGTGGGTAATAAAGGATGGAAATTGGAAATATGAGAATATATTATAAGAATTCCAGAGTCTAGCAGCTTGTATTGTAAAGGATTTTGTGTAGGAGTAAAGTTGTGGATAGGTAATGTGATTCGGAATGAGCACCAGATCCCTTTTTTGGGATGGCGGTGGATAAGCTCAAGATCGCCATGATGATTGACAACCTTCGGTAAGAAATGGCACTTTAAGAAGATTGGAACCTACATTGTCGGCGAGCAACATATGCTGTATATAATATTTATATTATTCTATCTATCCGTTCGAAGTCGGGTCGGATCGTTAGTATAATATTAGAGTATATTAAACAGCTAGGTTTGCATAATATAAATAAGTATAAACGATTATGTAAAGTAACTAGCTAATTTTAGGTACTGATTTCTTTTAATTTACAATACCATACCACATACATTTTTTATGCAACTTACTATGACAAATAAGTTAACGGACCATCTGATAGAAAGTGGTAACCGTCGTCTATAGACATGAGCAGCACCATGGACATAGCAGAGTATACTGTTTCGCCCATGATACCCCCCCATGCGTAGCCATTCCTGAGCACCCAAGTGTTATTAATCTGTACTCTATAAATTCATTGCCATATGCCCTTCAAACCGAAACACAGCCATGCAAACACAACTGTTTCACGGTAGAAAATAGAAGTATGAAACAAATACATAAATAGGTATTGTTCTGATAATATAAAACTAATCGCAATAACTATTTCCACATACTCAACTTTGTGCTTTAATATTAAATTTGCCATTATCATTACAAAGTACCCATGACATGCAAAGTTCCTCCGACGATGAAGTAGTATCATCGTAGTAAAGTAGGTATGTAAATATTACATGTATTTAGGTATTTCGTATCAGTTTGATATTATCCACATTGACGTGTCGACGTTACATATAATATTTATTATTTTAAAAGTAAACATCTAGGCGAATAGTTCTGTGATAGTAATAAGAAATATAATTATAAATATGTCTCTGACGAAAGTGAATGAGGATTTAGTGCGAGAGCGAGAAAAATGTACTTTCGACGTGAAAGAGTTGACGCACTATTTCGACGGAGGCGAAGAAATCACTTTGAACAGAAGAAAAGTTGGTAAGTGAAGTTCACAATTATTTGCATAATTTTCATGTCCTTCATCTATTCATCATTAGAAAAAGCGTAAATAAGAGAACCAGAACGAGTACTAGAAACAAAATCCTATAACTGCATTAAACAGCTTCCCAATAGTTTTGATTCCTGTCCAGATTTTGTTGTAAACCATTTTTTAAAATATTATAATGAAAAAATTACCAACTTCGATTCACTGAGATTCGAACTCATATTTCTTCATTATTCTTGCTGATTGTAGTGTATCTGGTGTTTAGAAATCCCAAAATTGAAAAAAGAATTAGAATTCCCAAATGTAGGGTTAAGCATTTATAAATATTCCAAAATATCTTTTTTTTTGAGAACTCTTGTTTCAAAAGATTGTTCTTATACCTCAAACTTGTGGAGGAGTACAAGCGTTATCACATTTAGTGATGAATTTAAAATTCTACCAAGCGTCAACAATCACCAGGAACAACATTCTTAAATTATGAAAGTTGAAAAAGTTCAAACTCACAGGATTCACATGTCTCCAGACTGGGTGTTATTCAATTATGTCATGGAAAAATATTTCTTCCCGTATTTAGCAAAATTTCTTGATGACTTTTTATAATTTAAGAAACAGGTTATGTATGCATTTTCAAATATTATCAGAATTTTTTCTTTAGTGTATGGAAATTAAATGTTTTTTTGACTAATTAGCTTTGTAATATAGTATTTTACTTTTACAGAGGAGATTATACTTTCTTACAAGGAACTCAAAGACGAGGTCCCTGAGGATTATTTAAGTCACAAGGAGCGCTACGAGAATGCCATCAGGAAAGCAATATTAGTGAAGGACATACGCAAAAGACACAATTTAGACACACCCCTTATGCCAGAAAAATATGAGTATGTATATATATATGATACTAGTTTTATACGCGACTTCGTCCAGGACCGGAATAGGCGTGTTTCAAATAATATGCATGCATATACTAAATTTCATAACAATTGGTTAAGCCAATGAGACATCAAGAGGTAACAAACAAATAAACTTGCAATCTCATTTATAACTTATATATTTAGTGTGAATTTACTGGGTACAGAGGAATAACACCTGAGTCCTCAGGAATGGCAACGCATGGGGGGTATTATGGTCCAAACAGTATACTCTGTTATGTCTATGGTACTGCTCATGTCTATAGGCGACGGTTACCACTGTTCATCAGGTGGACCGTCAGCTTGTTTACCATTCTAAGTTGTATAAAAAAAATAGCAACATATGCAGGGAATAAATGGATGCAGGTGGCTCAAGACGGTTCCTTATTACTGACAGTCTATGGGGTAGGTCTATATTCAGCAGAGTACAAAAGTGGCTGAGATGACGATGACTATTTATTTATTTAAGGCAACCATATCTCTTTAACAACACAATAATTACACAATTAAATGATTTATCTGCCAATAAAGTTTGCACAGATGCATAATACAAGTGCGTGTAGTCCCGGTATAGAATGGGCCATCCCTTTCTTTCCCGTGGGAGTCGTAAGTGGTAACTAAGTAAGGGCAAGGGATGGGTAGCAGTGTCCCTTTTAATGCATCTCTAAAGCCTAACTGCGGTTGCCAACCCACTTGCTGAGCGTGGCAATTACTGGCAAAACACAAAAGGGGGTGGTTTATGTTCAGCAGTGGACAAAGGTTGATATAATAATAAATAATAATATAAGTGAAGAGCACACAATGTTTCCTTACAATTAAATTGCGTTAAAAAATCAAATGTCGCAAAACGAACATTAAAAAAATATATAATCGAATTGAGAACCTTCTTGTTTTTGAAGTCGGGTGGAAAAAGAAATAATACTATTGAAAACATACCAAATTCTACAAAATCATCCGAATCTTTTTGACAGATAAAATATAAATACCAAGATTATAATAATTACAATATGTATTAATGTTTATCAGGTAACAAATTAAATTAAATCTTATTGTTTACGGTCAGCTAGGTAGAAGGTTTTTATCATTATAATAATGATTGATATCTTTCAATAATTACAATTAATCAATGAATTTATCTATTAATGTGTAAATAACAACTGATTTGCATCAATTGATTAATTTTCAGTTAATACAATCCTAATTGTCAGTTAATACGTTTTATTTTGTCCGTGTGGTTTCGGCGTAGAGTAGGCCTCTCCTTTCTGTCCTATGGGTATCGTAAGAAGCGATCGGGGAAACATACTGGTAGAGGGATGGGCAGCAGCGTCCCTCTTAAAACATCACTAAAAGCCTAATTGCGGTTTACGGCCGGTGAACGGTCGTCCCTCGAATTGGGGACCGGTAGACAGCAGAGGTCGTCAGTTCGGGGACCGACGACATACTCTTTTGTTGCAGTATCCGGCCGTAGTACCTACCTAATGCTCCTCAAATATTGCGTCTAAACTGCGCCCACCATGTTTCCTCTTGTATAGGCATTCCGTCACCCGTATCCAATAGCGAGGACGGGAGCTTAAATACTGTACCGAAAACCATAAAAAAGAAAAGCCTACCAAGCGTAGCAACTATTGGCAAACTCTCCTTATGAGGAAGATTTATGTTCAACATTGGAAAGTAAACGGCTGAAATGATGATGCTTTATTTATTTTTATTATCTCTAATTGACTATTTTGTTGCACTACAGCATGTTAAAGCAACTAAAAATAAATACTATAGTGGTTAAAGTAGAGTAAAATTAAACATTATTAAAATAATTAGGCGACCAATAATGTAAATGTATGGTCCTTTAGAAGTACAACTGCTAACTACATAGTTGGAACTTGAAATTAAATAGGCAAAATTTTATTGGATAATTAAGAAATAACTGTGACTGAAATGCTAAATAAAACTCGGTGACAAAATATATATTGCTTATATTATGCCTGCGACTTTGTTCGTGTGTTTTGTATTAGCTTGTGTTCTTTTCAAATATGGCAAATTTCTCAACTGCTCGTATAAGAATTATTATGAAATTTGTGCCATTATCATGCCAAGCGGAACAAACATCCAAACTCACTTTTTCGTTTATAATAGCAGTAATATTGGTAAATTATTATATAATATAATATTAAAAATATGGTCTATTACAGAGTGACGTATGTAAATACTATTCTGAAAGGAATAATTAAAGACATATCACCGGTATATCTCCATGATACTATGTTTCTTGTAACAATTTGGGGCCAAATGAGTCCGGAACAGCAGGCCGAATGGATGCCTAAAGCTAAGGATTTGAAGGCTATTGGAACTTATGCACAGGTGACTATAATAATTATTATAATTAGTTTTATGTGTGATTACTGAAACACATGATAAAAATTTGTCTCTTTTATTTTAAAATAACGGAGACGCGGTAGGTACATTGCCAATAATTAAAAATGTATTGTGAGTACGATTCCTTTTTATAGACTTGCTAATATTGCCATAGACAAAATTATTAGACTAAAAAAATAAATACAATTTGTGTTGTCTTCTATCTCTTTCCATTCCATGTGATTTTTTGAACAAAATAGAAAGAGACAACAAATTTTTATGAACAGGTTTTATATTCATTTTGTCACGATTGATTGATTGAAGTTATCAGTCGTTAAATTAATATAGAGCAAACACGGAAATAAACTTTAACGGCTGCAAAATGATTATTATAATCGGTTCACAATCTATTTGTAATATTAAATATTTACAGGTGTATTATTTAAGTTGTAAATTATCATTAAGTATCGAATCACCACAGAATAGCAAACAAGCTAACAAAAGCCAATGGAAAATTATAGATGTAAAACATTTTAAAGTTAAGGAGCTATTTTTGGAATAAATATTGAAATAAAGTAAATATTTTACTATAACTACTACTACACTAAACTAGGTGTTATTTTACGAAAGTCCATATCATTAGTTGATTAGAAATATTTTGTTTAATTCTGCTATCAGCCGTATGTGTGCTGTGGGTGAAAGGACTGTATGCTGGTATGGAAACACGGTGTTTTAGAAAGATAATATAATTATATAAAAAATATACAAAGAAAACCAACGGAGTAAAAAAGCAAACGAAAACAAAACCTAAACTGACACACAGACTTCAAATTATAAACAAAACATATTTTTAATAAAATTAAAAAAGAAACTAAAAAGGTGCGTTGTGCACATGTGCAATTATTACCAACAACTGTATAGTTAACACTAAGCTCTGTTTGTTATTAAACAAAATAATTCTACAACTAACTACATATACTGTAGAAAAGTTAAATGTTTTTACTTAGTAGGCGAATTACTCGAGAACGGCTAACGTGAATAGGTTTCTATGTTACTTAAAATAGCAAATAAGCTGACGATCTGCCTAATAGTAGTGACCTTTCCTTTTTTAATAGCATCATACACATTATAGACATTTCATTCGTTGTCATTTCTAAAGACTAAAGCGCTATGCTTCAGTATTAAATAATTTTATTGGAATATCATTTCTAAAACCAAAAAACCATCATACGAGTATAGCTGTTTTGGAGCAGAGACGCGAGAAAAACTAAAGAACAAATTTAGATGACTTTTAATAAAGTATACTTCTGATAAATACATTTAAGGTGCATTTATATTTTAATTTAAATATTCTTTACTATGTTGCAGACTGAACTAGGGCACGGTACATTTCTGAGAGGTCTAGAGACCACTGCAACGTATGACCCTGAAACTGAAGAGTTCGTCTTGAACACACCCACTCTGACGGCTTACAAATGGTGGCCCGGTGGATGTAAGTATTTTTAATTCTTGTTTTAATTAAGAGAGCTTCAATTTTGACAAATTAGTTAGTACCTATAGAATTGACACAATAATATACTCGTATACTTTTGATTAAAAAAGAATTAACGAAATTGATCAATCTTCAACAAATTCAAGTCTTCAAGCCAAGAATGTGTGCATGAAAGTTATATATGTATGAATATTCTTGTAATATTAATTACGATATATTTACTGTTTCAGTTGTATGTATGGTTTGATTTTAAGATATCGAATTTTATCACCAAAATTCTTGTTTCATTGATACAAAATATTGTTATAATGAAATCTTAAATGTTTACAGTGGGACATACTGTGAACCATTGCATCGTCGTAGCCCAACTATATACTCAAGGAAAATACCGTGGTTTACAAACATTTATAGTTCAAATCAGAGATCTGGAGACACATATGCCTCTTCCAGGCATTCATGTGGGCGAAATTGGCCCTAAATTTAATTTCCAAACCGCTAACAATGGTTTTCTTGGTTTCAAAAACTTTAGGATACCCAGAAAGAATATGCTGATGAGAAATGCACAAGTTTTAAAGGTTGGTGTAACATTTATTGATTGGTATGGGTTAAGTTATGGATTACTTGGAATGTAAAAGTCTGTAAATTAGGTTGACAAACTTCTTGGCTTAGTGTACAATCATATAAAACTAACTGTAGAGAAACAATACTGCATCGAGCGCAATCACTGACTACAACACACTTTTATTTCAGGACGGGACATATGTAAAGTCTAAAAATGACAAATTGACATACGGTACTTTGGTCATTGGAAGAGTAAATATTATAAATGATGTCGCTATCAACTTATCAGCTGCTGCGGTCATTGCTGTACGCTACTCGGCCGTCCGACATCAGTCGCAGCTGAAACCCAAGTGAGACATTTCAAATATTCTGTTGAAGTAGACAATATTACATTACATTACACATGCGGAAAGAACGACATCTTCTACGCTGCAATAAATTCCACCTCATCTATTACTTCTACCATGGAACAGCTATTTGGGAAGTTACATTTCATATTTATTTCCATTTTTGTTTGGGGGTGGGGTTAGGTTGTGTAGTTTTCTTTCAACATTTTGCTCGATCCTCGTCGCCATCAGAGACTCCACTCCTGTTATTTTGTTTTTTTTTTTTTTATTTTCGTGTTCTATCTTTCCATTTTTACTTGGCTTGCCTCAGAATCTTTATTCATGGTTAGAAAGCAGTAGTGCCATGTGTCTAATTCACACGGTCTTCTTTTTACATAATCCGTCATTGTCATCGCAATCAATGTTTTTAAATTTATATGTAAATCAGTATATAAAGTACAATATATATTAAATTAGAATATAATCTATCCATGTATTTTATGGTACTATGATTTGTATTTGCATGGTTATGGAGGAGCGTGACCTTCTAATACAGGTGATAACACTTACTAGAAGGTCACAACAACGATCTTAGTATTGTATCAATTTTGTTACGAAATAAATATTTTTTCATTTTTTTTTCATGTATCAAATTCCATTCAAATTCGTTCAGTAGTTTTTGCATGAAAGATTCAAAAAGTCAAACAAATCTCCATGCATCCTCATAAACTTTCGTGTTTATGATAGCAGTAATTGAATAATGACTTTATTTTGCAGTCAGCCAGAACCTCAAATTTTGGACTATGTGACTCAGCAGCATAAGATCTTCATTAGTATTGCTACAGGCCATGCCTTTAGGATCGTAGGTCGGTGGCTTTGGAACACCATGATGCAAGTTCTTCAAAACATTTCAGAAGGAAAGATGGAGCAATTACCTGAGGTAACTAGATTTAAATAGTTATAAACCACCCTGTGTATTTTTCTGAAATAGCAATGTCATTAGTAATAATTAAAATTTATTTTTAATAGGGGAAGCAAATATTAGATTGAAATATTTTAAACTATACAAATAAATTGTACATCATCATCTTCATATCAGTCTTTGTCTGTCCACTGTTGAACTTTGAATATATTCGAAAAAATTCTAATAGTATATATATAATGTAAATGCCTATCATTTACATTTTATACAACTTAGAATGGCAAACAAGCTGACGGCCCACCTGATGGAAAGTGGTAACCGTCGCCTATAGACATGAACAGTACCATGGACATAACAGAGTATACTGTTTCGCCCATGATACCCCCCATGCGTTGTTATTCCTGAGGACTCAGGTGTTATACCTCTGTACCCTGTAAATTCACGCCATATCCCATCCTTCAAACCGAAACACAGCCATGCAAACACAACTGCTTTACGGTTGAAACACGAACAGGACAGATGTACCCAAGCCATCGACTTTCGTACAAAGTCTCCCTCTGGTGACATGACATTATACATGCACTAATGGAATTTGACTTATTACTACTTTCTATGCAGGTTGTCTTAAAGAAAATACTTTTAGCAAGCAATTAGGCCATTCTTTCGTTTTATTTGTATCATAATTTTTATTGTACTTTACTTTTCTATGATTTTATTGTAATTTTTTAGTAATAAGGAGTATCTGTCAACTTTATACTCATGACACAACGTAATAATATTTTTCAGTTACATGCCATATCCTGCTGCATGAAGGCTGTTTGCAGTCAGGATTCAGCATCAAGCATTGAACAGTGCAGGCTGGCGTGTGGTGGTCATGGTTTTATGAAGTCTTCAAACTTACCACTACTTTATGGTCTCACTACTGCCTCTATTACATATGAAGGTGAAAACACTGTGCTGATGTTACAGACGGCAAGGTAATTATATAAAGTGATTCTACTTATATTTTTTGGTGTAGGGTTTCTTACACTATTAGCTCTACGCCCCCATTACATTAGAGATCAAGACGAAGGCCTTAGAACTGACTATCGATAGAAAAAAAAGTATTTGTATTAAAAAGAAGTACAAAAGAGAAAGATAAATATTATTTCCGTTATTTAGTAAATATATTGTGAAGTTGTTTTTTATATACAACTTAGAATGGCAAACAAGCTGACGGCCCACCTGATGGAAAGTGGTAACAGTCGCCTATAGACATGAGCAGTACCATGGACATAACAGAGTATATTGTTTCGCCCATGATACCCCCATGCGTTGCCCTTCCTGAGGACTCAGATGTTATTCCTCTGTACCCTGTAAATTCACGCTATATCCCACTCTTCAAACCGAAACTCAGCCATGCAAATACAACTGCTTCACGGTAGAAACACGAATGGGACAGAGGTACCCAAGCAATCGACTTTTGTACAAAGTCTCCCTCTGATGTGTGTGTGTGTGTGTGTGTGTTTAACGCAAATGGAGAAATTTTGCTCAATTTTAATTTTAATTTAGATCCATCATTCAGTTGTTTCATCGGTCAGGTTTATTTTGATTGTTTAGCTACATTTGCGCCCTCATTGTTTTTATCAGTGTGAATTAGCCAAGTTGCCGTTGCTAATACGTAAATTTTGTCGCGTATCTACCCTTTTGGTGTATCTCAAATAGCATGCATATTTCACTTTGAAAAACCCTGCTCTAGTAAATTATATATATATATATATATATATATGTATATACACTTGAGACTATATTCTGTAAGAGGATAGTTAGAGATTTTTTTTTCATTACAAAAAAATGTCAAAATATTTTTATTGTCCGAAAGTTTTTTTTTATTTAATAAATGTTTTTGGATGTCTATCATAATGTTCTTTGATGTAAGAGTACATCGAATTAATTTGTTTACTTCTCTCAGTATAAAATACTTTAACTACGGTAAAGGTTTACTGAATAGCCTAGATTATGTTACAACGTAACAACGTCTGCGCACGCAAACATAAATTGTATGTCATTTAATTTTTATTTCAGGTTTTTGCTTAAGACATGGATGCAAATACTAGAAGGTGATACAGCGTTGACTCCAACTGTTTTGTATTTGCTTAACTTTGCGAAACCAACTGACTACAGATGGGAGAATACACCTCAAGGACTCATAAAAGGGTTTCAAGCAGTTGCTGCTGGGTATGTAACATTGTATGCATTTATATTTACTTTAGTTCCGGTATGATTTGCGTAGAGGTTATAGATTAGAAAATTGGTAACGTCTGCGATTGAAATTTTCAGTATTCCTTTAAATAATATTTTTATTTATTATTATTTTTAACCAACTTTAAAAAGAGGAGGTTCTCCATTCGTTTGTATTTTTGTATGTTTGTTACCTTATATTATTATTATATTTTTTTCTTAATTAACGTAACAGTTTTCGTCACACAATGACAAGTCAATATTTACATTATAATTTTTAAATAAAAACAAAATAAAATTAATAGAATGGTAATAATGTTAACTACAAGTTAAAAAATTGGAATTATCACAGTTATCATCTATCTATACTTGTAATAAATCTGTAGAGAGGTAAATTCTGTACATGAAATATATTTCCAAAATAACTATCAGGGGGTGATTAGTGATCGATACTGATGCCAAAAATGCAATCAGTAAAATTTTTGTCTGTCTGTCTGTATGTTCATTATAGAAACAAAAACTACTCGACGGATTTGAATGAAACTTGGTACAATTATTCTTTATACTCCTGGGCAGGTTATAGTATACTTTTTATCACGCTACGATCAATAAGAGCAGAGCAGTGAAGGGAAATGTTGGAAAAACGGGAGAAGTTACTCCATTTTTAAGCTTCCGTCGCGTGTGCAGCCCTAATGGCCACTTTTTAAAATATAAAAATATTCACCCGTTTTAATTTATTTGCATGCCTATTTTTTTGATGCAACTTAGAATGGCAAACAAGCTGACGGCCCACTTGATGGAAAGTGGTAACCGTTGCCTATAGACATGAGCAGTACCATAGACATAACAGAGTATATCGTTTCGCCCACAATACCCCATGCGTTGCCATTCCTGAGGACTCAGGTGTTATTCCTGTTACTGCCATATGCCACCCTTCAAACCGAAACACACCCATGCAAACGCAACTGCTTCACGGCTGAAACACGAATGGGAGTTGTTAATCAAAGGGCATATTGCTTTAAAATTCTTTTTATCCCAATCCTCAATCCCATTAACTGTTAACTGCTGAATATTGGCTTCCCAAGTAAGTAGGGATTTGCTTGTTACCACACTTAGCAAGCGAGTTAACAACGGCATTTAGGCTTCGGTAATTTTTTTTCTATGCAACTTAGAATCGCAAACAAGCTGACGGCCCCCTGATGGAAAGTGGTAATCGTCGCCTACAGACGTGAGTAGTAACTTGGATATAACAGAGTGTACTGTTTCATTTGTTACTTACATGATACCCCCCATGCGTTGCAACGCATGGGGATATCCCCATGCATTGCCATTCCTGAGGACTCAGGTGTTATTCCTCTGTACCTTGTAAATTCACTGCCATTCACTACCCTTCAAACCGAAACACAGTGAAATTTTAAGAGGGACGCTATTGCTCATCTATTGGCCATTAAGGTACCTTAGTCGCTTGATATAATAATCTATTCTTAACATTTTAAGTCTATCTGATTACTCTTTTAATCTATTTATATGAGCAGGTCAGACATATTTTGTTGTTCCGTTACGCGTTCTGTTTTTACACTCATAAAAATGTGTGCTTTTCAGGAAAATTAAAACTGCCTACGACTCCGTGGTGAAATATGTCAATGCTGGTAATAGTCAGCAAGATGCTTGGAACCTGGCATCGGTACAACTAGTGGCCGCTAGTGAGGTGCGGTACTTAATATAGTATTTATGAGTATACTAGCTATAACAAATAAGTCTTTTACTTTTTGGTGATTTTTGGCAAAAATTTGTCAGAGAGGTTAAAGGGGGAATTTGCTATAAAAATCTGTTTCTTTTTATTGATATTATATAGGGAAAATGTGGAAGGAAAGGGGGAGGTCAACGCCAAAAAGCGACTACTACAGTTTAAAGTAGGTACAAGAAATTTACGAAATGTTATTTATGTTGGAGGTGGAATAAATGGCTGTTTTATTTTATGTCGCGATACTATGCATGTATAGTTTTTAGTTACAAATTAGTACCAAACATATATATATATATATATATATATATATATATATATATATATATATATATATATATATATATATATATATATATATTATATGTTTGGTACTTAATTACGAGAAATATATGGTTCAATAAGGTTTAAATGAAATTTGTTACACAGATGGACCATATCTTTAATTAGTAAGATGGTAAAATAATTTATCTTGCAAGAGACTAGGAGAAAAAATGGACAGATATACGAGTATAGGACAGGTGTAGTAATATTATCTTTTTACTGTAATCCGTAGGTTTCTCTGCGATAATAAATAAATAAATAATAATTATTATTATTATACTTTGAATTTATTTTTAAAGGAGTACGTCTCACGAATGCTCGATAAAGGTATGCAAAGGAATCTTTGAATATGATTATTTAAAAAAAAATTAATTTTAATTATAGGCTCATTGTCGTGCGGTTCTTTGTGAAATATTCTCAAATGAGATCCAGCGCGCGTCGAGCACACTCTCTCCCAACTTGTCCAAAGTCTTGCAGCAGTTGGTTGAACTGTATTTGGTGTATTGGGCTTTGGAGAAGAGAGGTGATATTTTGTTGGTGAGTAAAAGACAAGACAGTTATTTCTTTTTTTAACTCTATACAAAAAATGTTTACGACGACACATTTACATTCAAATTCATAATCGCAATTGTTTATTATTTTTGATAATGTGAACGTAGACTGCCATGTTAGGTTCTACACGTATTATTAAAAAATTATCTCTCTCTTTACTATATTACTATACAGTTACTAATATAATTATAATAAATATTTGCAGTATTCCACAATATCAAAAGACGACATCGCTGCATTGAACAAAAGATATGAAGAGCTGCTTGCACTGATCAGGCCAAATGCTGTTGGGCTCGTTGACGGCTTCGATCTTAGAGATGAGGTAATTTTATTTGGTATTTTTTATAGTAAATAGTCTAAGGGTTTTTTTTAATGGGTGATAATGGTATGGTAACCCTGTCTGCGCTGTCGGTATACACTGGCGTGGCACGAGTAATAGATGACTGATGAGGATGAAAGCAGGTCAGTTAGCCCATCCTGACGAATTCAACTAGAATTAGCCACGATGGTTTCCAGGGGGAATCATCGTGGAGGTTGACCTGACAGGATATATTGCTGGTAATGGGACTATTTGACCCCATTACTAACAATTCCTTTCCTCTCAGTCTAAGAGCTTAGTACTTCTATAGTACGTCTATGCTAAAGAGTACGAAGGGATGCTTAAAGGAAGAGAAAAAATATCTACAATGGAGGTCTCAGGAGTTCAGAATTCATTTAGTTTTATAAGTTTGATTACTTTGTTTCGGTTATTTTCCTGAATATTTGTTGCCTGGTTTCTCATAGAACAAGATATTCTAGATTGAAGACCAAAAATTTGGTATGTTTATTTGTATGACACTTATCCTTTGTCCATATTTTGAATAACGAATTTCTTTTATATTTTTTTATTTATTGGCGGGAAAGTATTTTAATTGATATTGACGTTTAAATATATAGGGTTAAAAGTCATGCAACTTCTGTAAATGTACATCACTCACTGTCAGAATCTAGAACATTGAAGGAATTGCAGGTGTATTTGTGTTTATATTTGTTCTATCATATGGTACGCAGAGAGAAATTGTCTCTGTGTTTCTTACTTATAAAAACAAACCCAACACTTCTGTTTGTGTATATAGGTCCTAAACTCGACGTTGGGCGCGCACGACGGGCGCGTGTACGAGCGTCTATTTGAGGAAGCCCTCAAGAGTCCCCTCAACGCGGAGCCCGTAAACAGCTCCTTTCACAAGTACACAAAACCATTTATGGAGACAGCTAAACTGTAATATGTTTCAATTGATTCCGTCTTTTTATTTGTTTATTAAATAGGTATAGGGAAAAATTGTTAATATAGTAAAATTATTAAAGATTACTTGTGATGTATACGTACAAAACAGTATGGTTGTATTAATTATGTGATATTACTACAAATAAAATTGTATTACAAAATATGAAAATACTTAAATAAAATATAGAATTTTTAAATTGTGTATTCAATTAAAATGATCTTTCTTACTGTTTTCAGAAGATTTTTTTTAAGAAAAAGAGAAATGATATAAAAAATCTTATCAAAGCTATCTTTTTTTAATTATTTATATATAATATATAAATTATAAGATACTACACTAAGTGTTGTAAGATCACATCACTAGTGTATATGGGACATCACTAGAGGTGGACACGGATTGGTTGATTAAATAGTATTGTATAGTAATGGCTGTCTGAGTAATGAATAAAGGATCTGCAATTAAATAAACCATCTATTATTTAAAAGACTATAAAAATATAACATTAAGTCACTGGTCCGATTAGGATATTTTCCATGATTAGGTAATATTTAATTCCGATTTTATGAGTACTATAAAGAGAATACAAGACTTGGATTATATAAATGCATAGAGATGGAGAAAGCGCCTAAGTATACGCGCGAGCAATGAAGTGATTTGTGACATATTGCTAATGCCGTAACAGTGGGCGGAGGGATTGCCAGTACCTAATGCGGATTATCAGGGTGGAAAGGAATTGTTAGCAATGGAGTTTGACAGCCCCATTGCTAGCAATATGCCTTATCAGGTCGACCTCCGCGTGGTTCCCCCTGGAAACCATCGTGAACAATTCTTGTTGAATTCGTCACGATGGGCTAATTTGCTTCATCTTCACCTATCATCCTTCACTGGTGCCCCGCCGGTGTATACCGTTAGCGCGGGTGGGGTTGCCATACCATTATCATCCATTAAAAAAAATGCGGATTATCAGTCCCATTTCTAACAATATATCCTATTTGGCCAATATCCACATGGTCCTTCCTAAAAACTATCGTGCTGCATTGCAGATACATTCATCACGATGGGCTAACTGGCCTTTTCATTCTCATGTATCGTCTCTCTCTGGTGCCCTGCCAGAGTATCCCGTTAGCGCAGACGGAGTTACCATACCATTTTCACCCATAAAAAAAAATACAAATACACATTGATTAATCATGTGATTTCATCATCGTGAAATTTTTGTTGAAGTCGTCGACCTATCACAACATCATCTGTTTTATCTATGGGCTTTAGCTATTTGTAATATTGTGTTGCTATATTTTAACCGACTTTAGAAAAGAAATATTATCGTTTTTTAATTTTTGAATGTTTTACTATATATATATATATATATATATATATATATATATATATATATATATATATATATATATATATATATATATAAGTACCTATTGACGGTGTGACGTCCAAAAGCATTTAGTTTCAAAGTTTATATTCAAGAAGGAACTTGATTTTATTTTATTCGATAACATTAATACATTGTGCTGAATATAATAATATTTTAAGATTTAGGAATAACTAAAAAAAAAAACATGATGTACCGTTATTCGCCTGTCTGTCTACAGTAATAAGTATCTTGTCAAAACCGAAGTCAATATGTATAACCTGTATTTACTATGCAATGTTTATTATAAGTTGTATTCATAATAAATCAATTAAGGAAACGGATTTTTCTGAACTGACTCGGTTCTTGGTGTTCTCGTTTGAGCTCCCAAATATTAATTACCTAGTTCCTTATAACACACGGTATCTAAGCTGGAAGAACAGGATTGTGTGGTACTTCTTATAAAAATGGGATATTAAAAAAAAATAGAACTCATAGGACACGATTATTACTTTTATTAATTCGCGTTTACTTATTATTTATTATTCAAAGGTACAAAGTCTGGTTAAACATATAAAGTCTCCTCAATGATATTGCAATATCAGTCCTGAATTAAATACAAAGGAATATCGACGTTATATCTTTTATTTTGTATTATTATATAATTACATATTGAACATTTAATACGTAAAGCACAGTATATTTAGAATATAAAAATAAATATGACTTCAACGAAAGTGAACGTGGATTTAGTGAGAGAACGTGCGAAATGCACTTTCGATTTAAAAGAGTTGATACACTTTGTTGACGGCGGTGAAGAGATCACTTCGGAAAGAAAAGCATTTGGTAAGCAAGGGAAAATTAAAATTTGCTCAAAGGAAGGATTTTGATGGATAATGGTTGTGGGTTAGATCGTAGGAAAATATACCAGAGGGAGACTTTGTACAAAAGTCGATTTCTTGGGTACCTCTGTCCCATTCGTGTTTTTGCCGTGAAGCAGTTGTGTTTGCATGGCTGTGTTTCGGTTTGAAGGGTGGGATATGGCGTGAATTTACAGGGCACAGAGGAATAACACCTGAATCCTCAGGAATGGCAACGCATGGGGGGTATCATAGGCGAAACAGTACGCTCTGTTATGTTTATGTTTATAGGCGACGGTTACCACTTTCCATCAGGTGGGCCGTCAGCTTGTTTGCCATTCTAAGTTGCATAAAAAAAAATATAATTTAACCCTACTTTGTATAATGGTGGAAATTTCCATCATAACATCGAATGCCCAAAAATTATATAAAAGAACAAATTCACTTTAATTTGATTGTGTCTGAATATCTTTTTAATGTCCATTGCAGAAAAAAATAGCTGTCAAATTTATTTTTTAACCATTTTTCTTTTAATTTTGAACATAAATTATGTCACCTTGATTTAATTCACCAATAAAAAAATCATGCAAAGAAGGGTTAAGATTGCGTTCAACAATTTTTTTACAAGAAACAATTTTTTTATATATCTCATAACTTATAACTCCTATTAAAATAATGTATACGTAACGTCCCTTTCAGTTTTTTTAATAGATCATAATGTAATGGTAGTCCCACCTGCGCTAACGGTATACGCTGGCGGGTCATCAGTGAGGGATGATAGGTGAGAATGAAAAGGTAGATCAGTCAGTCCATCGTGATAAGTACCTTTGGAAACACAATAGGAGCCACAGACAGCCCTCTATGTCGAGGCTGTTTCGATGCCGAAGAAACGGCTGCTCACGTAATCTTGGAATGTGAGGCTGTGGCCCATTAACGCTTAGAAATCCACGGAACGGTGAGGTCGCTCCGTGAGGCCTGTGAAGAACCCAGGTAGCTTCTGCGCTTCTGGGCGGAGCTAGGTTGGCTGTACTTGCCACGACTCATACGCACTACGGCCCAAATGAGAGGCTAAGCGCGGAAAATAGAGCCCTATTCACATTCACATTTGTACATTTGGAATTCAGCACGATGGTTTACAGAAGGGACCACCTCGATTTGTTACTTATTCCATTAAGTTAATGTTTCTGTGGTAAATATTAACGAGATTTTATCTTTTCATTGTTCTTTTTTTAAACAAACTATACCTAGATTTACGACAGTAACTGAATCCTTTATCTGCATGTCTATAAAGCAGTCTGGGGAGACATTGTTATCTTGTTAAAACTGAAGTTGATTTAAATTTTATTATCACATGAAACAGTCTTAAATTAGTATCGTATCAGAAACTGCACCTACGATACGATAGATTATTAGACGATTTTTATTCGTGCTTTAATTATCATTAATTGAAAGTACAATTATAGATAATTAAAGCACGTAATTACTGAATGACATTGCAGTATCAGTTCCTAATTAGCATTTGGATTATACATTCTTTATATCTATATTCATATAGGTACATGTTTTTCAATTGAGTCTCTATTATAAAACAATTAGATATACATTTACAAGGTGCAAACAGAAATACCATTAAAAGAATGTTCTTACTGGTGGAGTTAAATATTTTATCTAAAGAAACGCCAGTCGAATAAAGATATAAAATTTTGAGTCTCCTATATTACCATGGAGAGTCTAGCTGTATAGTTACGAGCAGTCTAGAGAAAGTTATAATTCTTAATTTTGTGGTCATTTCTTGTATTTAATAGGTAATGGCAATTATTTAATGTTGTATAGATAAAAGAATAATAATAAACTTTCATCTACTGTCAGGGTTGAAGTCTACTGACGGGATTTGAAGTGAATATGATAATTGATTTATTACATTAAATGACTGCATTGATTTCATTTTATACTAATATTAAATTATTATTAATATAATTAAATTAAGGCGGACTTATCCTTTAAAGGGATTTCTTCCACTTGTGAACCCGAAAGGAGAAAGTATCTATAGGGTTTGTATATAAAGCATACCATATATGGTGCAAAGGAGACTTTGTACAAAAGTCGATTGCTTGGGTACCTCTGTCCTATTCGTGTTTCAACCGTGAAGCAGTTGTGTTTGCATAGCTGTGTTTCGGTTTGAAGGGTGAGATATGGCGTGAATTTACTGGGTACAGAGGAATAACACCTGAGCCCTGAGGAATGGCAACGCTTGAGGGGTATCACGGGCTAAACAGTATACTCTGTTATGTCCATGGTACTGCTCATGTCTATAGGCGACGGTTACCACTTTCCATCAGGTGGGTTGTCAGCTTGCTTGCCATTCTAAGTTGTATAAAAAAAATTATACAGTAATCACAGTAGGTTTTTATACAAAAAGAACCAATTTCTTATAACAGTATTATCTACATCAATTCTTTACATATTGGTAACCCATAATTGTTATTGTTTATAGAATAGTATAAACTCCCGTTTATATCAAACCTATCAAAAAGTTTATCAAATTTACCAAAATTATTACCTGTTTTCACCTGGCAAATTGCGACTGACTGAGAGCTTTCAGTTTTCAGGATGCATTTTTTTAACGAATGATAATGGAATGGTAACTCCGCCTGCGCTATCGGTGTACACTGGCAGGGTACCAGTGAGGGATGATAGGTGAAAATGAAAAATCAGGTCAGTTAGCCCGTACGTTTGGAATTCAGCACAATGGTTTCCAGAGGGAACCACGTGGAGGTCGAACTGATAGGGTGTATTGCTAGTAATGGGGAAATTAGACCCCATTACTAACAATTCCTTTCCCCCTATCAGGATGCATTGTATTATATTTTTATCGTTTTTCGTTTAAATCAAGTTTCATTAATATGTTTATCTGCAGAAGTCAGTAGCGTTATTCTAGGCTAAGAGAAATATGGTATTAAACCTCCGTACCTTGTAACTGCTATATAAGAAATTACATACGTAATATTTCATTTTTGCAGAAGAGACTGTGCTTGCTATCAAAGAACTTAAAGATGACATACCAGAGGATTACCTGAGTCACAAGGAGAGATACGAGATTGCTGTCAGAAAGGCATGTATACTGAGGGAACTTCGTCTGCGGCATGATCAAAACAAACCCCTTTTACCGGAAAGGTACGTACAGCTCATAAGTTTTAATTGTGCCTACTGAATATTTTTTTATGTATTCCATACTTCCATCTCTCTATATACAATTTTATTTATTTATTTAACTTTATTGACCAAAATAAAATTTGGCACAAAAGGCGAATTTAATCTTAGTAGCATTCTTTATCATGTGTTGTATTATAATTGACTGAATCATTAAGTAAAATAGGGGGGAAAGGGATTGTTAGTAATGGAGACTGAAAATCCCATTGTTAGGAATATACACAACGAGGTCGACCTCCTCGCGGTTCTCCCTGAAAACTATCATAGTTAATTCCTGATGAATCTATTATGATGGGCTAACTGGCCTGTTTTCATTCTCATCTATCACCCTTTACTGGTGCTCCGCCAGCGTATCCTGTTAGCGCAGGCGGGATTACCATACCATTTGCACGCATCAAAAAAAAAGTAAAATATTTTCTAATATTCTATATATGAAATTAATTTTGACCATTTGTCCACTTAGTTTTTATGGCTTAATATTATGCCAGTAAGAATACGAGGTCAGCAGTTTTTTTTTAATTTACTCAATTTATAAAAAAAGAAAAATACTTAAGGGAGTCTTATATAAAATTATGTTCATGGAATTTTCTAACAAGAAGCATGTTTTGTTTGGCTGGTTCCATATGTCCCAACCAACGTTTCTTCCTTGTGGTTATAAGAAGAAGTTTACTAGTTTTAAGGGTTATATAGTCACTGGGCGATATTACTACACAATACTTTCATTTTTATGATAATACCATTAACAACTTAATTACTTTATTATTAACGATTAAACAATCTTGTCTGTATTATTTTATAATATTATTTCTGAACTTACACATTTTAGGCCTACGTATGTATACAATATCCTACCAGCAACAATAAAAGATATATCACCGTTCTATCTTCATGAAACCATGTTTCTTGCAACGATTTGGGGCCTCATGAACGACGAGCAGAAAGCCGAGTGGTTATCAAAAGCATTGGATATGAAAGTCATTGGAACTTATGCACAGGTGATAATAAAAATATTTTATTTTCTTCATTAATAAAAAAGATTGCAACTTTTTTTTTAATGAGACCTTACTATCTTGTAGACTGAGCTAGGGCATGGAACATTTCTAAGAGGTCTAGAGACCACCGCGACGTACGACCCTGAAACTGAAGAGTTCATCTTGAACACACCCACTCTGACGGCTTACAAATGGTGGCCCGGTGGATGTAAGTACCTATCCTATTAATATAATAAATGCGAAAGTTTGTAATGACGGATGGATGTGTGGTTGTTTGTTATATTTTCACTCAAAAACTACTGAAGGGATTTGAATGAAATTTGATACATATGTAGGTTATATCATAACTTAGCATATAGTTATTGGATAGTTTATTTACTTATTTGTGCGTGCGAAGTCGCGGGATACAGCTAGTATAAAATAAATATGTTTACGATAATCCCTAATAGAGTAGTCAGAGGTATTAGATTCATACCAAAAAGGTTGTAAATTGAATCTAGTAGACGTTCAGATTTTTACCAGAGGTAATTTTTATGTCACTTCTAACATTTTGTCATTATTTCTATTATCTTGTCATTTTTCTATTGTTATACAAAGATATATAATAACTTAAATATTTTCAGTGGGACATACTGTCAACCATTGCATCATATTAGCTCAATTGTACACCCAAGGAAAATGCCATGGTATCCAACCATTTATAGTACAGATCAGAGATCTGGAGACCCATATACCTCTCCCAGGAGTTCACGTGGGTGAGATTGGTCCAAAAATGGGCTTTCAGACCGCTAATAATGGTTTTCTTGGCTTCAAAAACTTTAGAATACCTAGAAAGAATATGTTGATGAAGAACTCTGAAGTAAAAAAGGTTGGTATTTAATCAAACGTACGTTTTAGTTGGTAAGTCGTGGGTAGTTTTTTTACCAGATGCCATTATACCTGGAATGTAAATGTTCAAAAGACTTAAATATGTAAAGTTAGATTATTTATTTGTCCAAAGCATAAAATACATTGTACAGAATAGATACTACATAATAACATTATAAAAAATATAAATTAAAATTACAGTTCATTTAGAGTCAAATAAAATTCAAATTGTTCAACAGTAGATAATTAACGGCTGGTATGGTATCTGCTTGCCAGACGTGGCAACTACTGGCAAATCCCCCTAAGAGGGAGGCTTATGTTCAGCAGTGGACAATGTAAGGCTGATATGATGATAATGATGGTATGGTATACAACCTTTAGCGGTCTTTACCTCAAATTCTTTACAGTAAAGTTTAAAAATAAAACTTTAAAGTAAAGTTCAGAAAAGTGTAAAACTTTATAGTAAAGTTCAGAAACGCGATAGAACAAATAATTATTGTCACTTAAAGATTACAGCAAAAATAAAAATTGCAGGATATAGATAGATACTCTTTATTGCTTCCTCCAAAAGATTACAGTAATAAACTTATTATAGATACAAATAATTACAAGAAATGTTCACACTTAGAAAACAATGGGCGACCTTATAGCTAAAAGCGATCTCTTCCAGACAACCTTTGGATGGATAGGAGTAATAATAGTAATAAACAGTTTGATCGGAGACACAATGAAATTCTATTATTTCTTAATATAGAGATATGATACATGTAATAATGTAAAATATATATCCGTATACTCATTATATACACTTACAGTATATATATATATATATATATATATATATATATATACTGCTTATATGTGTATACATATAAGCAGTATATATACATAAAACATGTAAGATATAGATCATGAAGAGAATGCAATGATCTTGTTGACCAATGACAGTTGAATAGAGTGGATTAGGGGGGAAAGGGATTGTTAGCAATGGAGTTTGACAGCTCCATTGCTAACAATATGCCCAATTAGGTCGACTTCCACGTGGTTCCCCCTGGAAACCATCGTGAACAATTCTTGTTGAAATCGTCACGATGGGCTAACTGACTTGTTTCATCTTCACCTTCACTGGTGCCCCGCCGGTGTATACCGATAGCACGGGTGAGGTTACTGTTTCATTATCACCCATTAAAAAAAAAGAGTGGATCAATGAATAACTTAAAGATTATTGTTACATTTTTTTTCCAGGATGGAACATACGTAAGCTCTAAGAGTGATAGATTAACGTACGGAACTATGGTTGTAGTGAGGGTGAATATAGTAAATGACGCCGCGATGCAGTTATCTGCAGCTGCAATTATTGCTGTCCGCTACTCGGCCGTCCGACATCAGTCGCAGCTGAAACCCAAGTGAGATATTATATATACTTTATTGCACTTGTAAGTTACATATAAAATAATCTATTTATAAATGTTGTGAGCAAGGGTGGACTTATCTCTGACAGAGATCTCTTCCAGTCAACCCAGTACAGTAAGAAAGCATTTCGTTAGCGGGCAGCTGAAGTGCTACAACTATTAATACATAAACAAATATACAGATATTAGATACAGAGATTAGATACAGATATTAGATTCTTTTAACTAAAGTTGTTGGCTGCAGATGGCTTTTACAGCTTCACCGGAGGTAATGTGTTCAGTTTTATGGAAGTATAAATATGATATTTTTTTTTGATCAGTTATTTTTAATGGATAAAATTAAAAACTACTCGATCGATTTTAAAAATTCTTCACCTATAGAAAGCTACATTATCAATGAGCAAGTTATAGCTATATAATATTTTCGAAAATTTTATCTACTCGTGTGAAACCGGGTCGGACTACTAGTAGGTATACATATATATTATTTCTTACAGCTATTACAATCAATTACCGTTATTGTCCAAGATAAGCTCGAGCTTATTAACATTTATCAGTAATAACACCACGTGAGACAAACACGTGAGATTATTTGTGCACTAGGAATATATCTTGATTGATGCTATTTTTTATATTTATTTTATTTATCAAAATTAATATTTAAAAGTAAATCCTCAAAATTTGCTAAAACTATGTCATACTTGATAATTATATACATATAACATATACATATACGGTTTGAAGGGTGGCGTGAATTTACAGGGTACAGAGGAATAACACCTGATTCCTCAGGAATGGCAACGCATGGGGTTATCATGGGCGAAACAGTATACTCTGTTATGTCCATGGTACTGCTCATGTCTATAGGCGACGGTTACCATTTTCCATCAGGTGAGCCGTTAGCTTGTTTGCCATTCTAATTCGTATAAAAAAAATAACAATCATCCGTCATTAATTAAGTTTATAATTTAAATGAATTACTTCATAAAAAGATGTTTATCTTACAGTGAGCCGGAACCTCAAATTCTGGACTATGTGACTCAGCAACGAAAGCTTTTCATTAATATTGCCACAGGCCATGCCATAAGGATTGTAGGGCGGTGGCTTTGGAAGACAATGTTGGGAGTTATTCAAAAAATTTTAGAAGGAAATTTGGATCAGTTACCTGAGGTATCTAATTGCTTAGTATAAATATAAGTGGATATTATATTACATAGTGTAATGTGAACAAAGCTTGTATAAATAGAATAGTTGATGGACATGCACAATTAATTTTTTTTTCTAAATACATTGTATGAGAGCGTTGTGGCCCATTAGTATACTATCCCGATATAATGATCTAAAAGAAACGAACTGACGATAGTTCCTATGTCGCTGATACCAAAAATTTTAGGTTTTCTGAATAGTTCTTCGACTTTTTAATACTTAAACGATTACTTGAAAGAGGCTAACTAGGCTTACTTGAGGCTAAACGATTACTTGAATGACGAATGTGCATGGCAATAGTTGTTCATGCACTGAATTTTCATTTAATGTTAGACATAGACACCTATATAAATATACATTGTAAATAAACGGGCTTTTAAAAAAAAAAGTAATTCAATTGAGTTTCTTGCCAGTTCTTCTCAGTTGGATCTATATACCGAACTGGACGGTAGGGAAAAAAATAAAATTATAATGTAAAAATTTGACGTTCATAAGCGGCTAAAATGTCCTACATGAATAAATGATTTTTGAATTTGAATTTGAAAATTTGAATTTTAATAATTAATCAAAATCAGAACTGCCATTTCTTTGTTTGCCTTCTAAATTGCATAAAAAATTAAACCGAGTAAATAGGCTTGTCCCCTACCCTGCTGGATACTAATACCTATTATGTTCAGCAAAATGTGGTCATGCCGAGTGTTACGTGTTGATAATCGACAAGTGCCTGTAATTATATTGTTTCTCATATATGATAATGGATTGGTAACCCCGCCTGCGCTATCGGTATACCAACTGATCCTTACATAACAACCAGTGAGTAACGTATCATCATAACGACATTAACAATAATTTACCATGATAATTTTCAGAGGGAATTGCGTGGAGGTTATTCCTGATAGGCCATATTGCTAGCAATTGGGCAGGTACCTTAAAAGTAAAGGAATTATTATTAAGGCAACCATTAATAATAATTCCTTTACTCCCTCCTGATTCTATTGTTAATAATATTTCATATCAGGTTGATTTTTACGCAGATCTCACTGAAAACCGGGGGATAAAGAGGTATTCTAAACAAATCTATAGGTATAAGCTATTGGGGTATTTAATGAGGATGAAACCAAGTTAATTGACCCATTGTGACAATTTCGCAAAGTACTGCATTCATCTATAGGCCGGAGCACCTGGATACCAGCTTGATATTCTTGACTCGGTTCAAAAACGGACTATGAGAATTGTTAACGATCCCAAGCTCACAGGCGGTATCGAGACTTTGCTTTCCTTTGTGTATGCTATCACTTATATAACGGATTGTGGTCTGAGGATTTGTTTGAAATTATGCCTACTGCCATTTTTATCATCACACCGCTCGCCATCGACAAGGAATTCATCCTCACACGCTTGAGCCTAAATAGTCCCATAAAGTGCGGTTTCAGAGAAATTTTCTTCCAAGAACGCTTAGGTTGTAGAATGAACTCCCTGCCAAGGTTTTTTCTAGAGATTACAGTCTGGGATTTTTCAAAAAGAGTATATTAAAGTTTCTTCAGGGTCGGCAACGCGCACCTGATGCCTCTAGTGTTGCAGGCGTCCATAGGCTACTGTGACCGTTTACTATTAGACGGGCTGTATGTTTGTTTGTCACCTTTGTGGTATAAAAAAATCATCAAGAGTTAATCGCGATGGTATCCAGGTGGAAGCGAAGTAAATAGATTAGTCCATAAATAAAAATATATGTTCCAGTTACATGCTCTATCCTGCTGCCTGAAGGCTGTGTGCACTCAGGATTGTACAGCAGGCATTGAGCAGTGCCGCCTGGCATGCGGTGGTCACGGTTATATGAATTCGTCCAACTTGCCATTGCTTTATAGTCACACCACTGCTGCCATGACATATGAAGGTGAAAATACTGTGCTGCTATTGCAGACAGCTAGGTAAGATATTTTAAGAGGGACGCTGCTGTCCATTCCTCGATCATTAAGTTCCCTTAGTTGCTTCTTACGATTCCCACGGGGTTTCTTTGGTATGTTGGGAATAAAAAGGAGTTACATCGCATTGTATTTCCATTATTCACTCTACCGCCAACAGAAATCATAAAATTAATGATATTATACTAATAGAAGAAAGGTAAGCCAAAAATAAAACCTAGGAATGATGCTAATTGCTTTCACTATAAATTTAATGCAAACGACAAACGCTAGTCACTTTATTCTTTCTTGTTGTTTTAATCACTCCATTCCTTTTAAACTATTCGTAGTTGAAAATGTGATAAAATGTCTAGACATACCGGCGTTGCTGTGTTCTAAACATTTCTTCGGTTGTTTTCTGAGTGCATAATGCATCCTTGCACAATATATATTTTATTTGTTGACTTCTTCTGTAGGTACCTACTAAAGACATGGACGCAAATATTAGAAGGTGACACAAAATTAAATCCAACTGTTTTGTACCTGCTCAACTTTGCGAAACCAACTGACTACAGATGGGAGAATACAAACCAAGGAATCATAAAAGGGTTTCAGGCAGTTGCTGCTGGGTATGTAACATTGTATGGATTTATGTTTTTTTTGTTCTAATACAATTTGTAGAGCCACGCTTCCTGATTTCTGGTTCCATTTGCATTATTAATTTTAATATTCTATTTACTAATAGTTTTATTATTATCAATTTCTAAAATTACAGTGATGGCTTCAGTGATGAATCTTAAACATGTTCCTCAAAAAATATGTAATATATATTTATGTTTGTATTTAGATGGTAATACAAACATTATCAATGTTGGTACAAATCTTTTGAAGGCCTGTGCTGACGAGACTTTTTTGCGCAGGATAAAATACACATTTTGTCAATCCCGTATTTAGAACGCATGAGCACGCATGTGTTGTAGCATGCGCTCCATTAAGATGGTCAAAATTCTAATCATTTGGAGAATGAACTACTGATTGCGCAAGTCTTCAAGATAAATCCTTTTACCACATGACGATTCTATGTATTTGTATACTACGAATAATACAGAATAAAATAAAATGTGATTAAGTAGGGATTCGTATTTATCGCGCGTTCAACTTATTGAATACTCGTATTCAATGTTTTTCAGAAAAATTAAAACAGCTTACGATACCGCATCGAAACATGTGAGTGCTGGTAAAAGCCAGGAGGAAGCGTGGAATCTAGCTTCGATACAATTAGTAGAAGCTAGTGAGGTGGGTTAAGCGTAATAATACAATTAGTGAGATTCTTTGATACCATCAAGATTTTGCGACACATTATTAACAATTCTATTCGATTTCAGTAAGGTTTACTTCTGTATTTATTTATTTAAATAACTTTATTGACTAAAAGAAAATATGGAATAATAGACGGAATTAATGCTAATAGCATTCTCTACCAGTCAATCTTTGGGATGAACAGTGAATCACGAATGCGATACGTCATATCGGCCTCATATTAATTTAGTCACAATTATTTTGTATTATTTTATCGATCCAAAATTTAAGATTATTAATATTACTAATTGACCATCATTAGCTTAAAATATACTAGTCAAACACTCGACAGTGGACAAATATACAAAATTATGTGTATAGTAAGAGGTTTTGCAATTTTACTGATTATTTGTATATGTATACACAATATAAATATAGGAATCTTATTATAACAAGGATTTAATAAATACAATAAAGATATTCTCCATTTTAATTGCAGGCTCATTGTCGGGTGATAATTTGCGAAGTATTTTCGAATGAAATCCAGTGTGCGTCGAACACTTTATCTCCCAACTTATCTAAAGTTTTACAGCAGTTGGTTGAACTTTATTTAGTGCATTGGGCTTTGGAGAAGAAAGGTGATATTTTGTTGGTAAGCAAACAAAAATATTACAGTAATTTGTAATATATGTACACGAAAAAGTATATTGTATATATAACCGATTAATTTAAGGCTTAACCTTGAGTGGGATTTAGTGTTAAAAAAACATCGTATCCTTTATCAATTAGTAAGTGAAAGGACAGTTTGGGCTTGGAAGGTATGTGTACTTTAGTATCCACTCGCAGTCAATACTTGAGAGTGGAGACTCTGAAGATAAAGATTCTTTTTATATTCGAATCCGAATGTATGAGACAGATAAAAAATATAACCCAGTCGTAGCTAAATTGTCTACAAACAAAATCTTTACAACCGATTTCTTTACATACGAAATTCACTAGCCCACTTAGTTGTTGATATGCTAGTTAATAGAGACATTACCGGTTATACGCAAATTGTATCGTTCATAGACTGCGTTGGTCATTGGTTTTATCAGCTCTTCGTCAATGCTTACATTTGGTATAATATTTACTTTTTAAAACAAGTTTTCTTATCTACTGTATATTTATAATATCATGTATAAATTATTTACTAATATTTGCAGTATTCCACAATATCAAAAGATGACATCCCTGCCTTGAGAGACAGATATGAAGAGTTGCTTGCTCTGATCAGACCAAACGCTGTTGGGCTCGTCGACGGCTTCGATTTTAGAGACGAGGTATCAATATATAATATTAACTATTTATTAATTTAATTTCATTTTCTTGTTATTGATACGAACAATAGAGAATGTGTCAAAATTGAATCGGTTCTGTTTGATTCTCCTGTAAAAGATAATATGCATGCTTATTTCAATATAATAAACAACAACAACAAATAATAATCTGGTCATATGACAGTCTACTGAGATGCAATGGACAAACAAGATAATGAGAACAAACAAATAAAAATTAGTCCCACAGAAATGTTATCAAAAGCAGTTTAGTTATTAAATCAAAATAACTAGTTTTGCTATAAATGAAGTCTGTTTTTTTGTGAAACATAATCTTAAATTACTAAGATTTACCGCTATATGACATATGATATTGTACTATTTTACAATCATGATATAATAGGAGAATGAAATGTATGTAATTGTATGGGAATATTTTTATAAATTTTTGCGCACGTCCACGGTATCGTCGAGGTAATATAGTCTATTCCAATTGTACTAATAACAAACCAAGTTGAAATTATGACAGAAATGAAATTGATAACCAATCGAAATATTAAATCAATCGAAGTTTTATTTGTATTGGTATTGGATATGGTAGACTTTCTTTCTTTTTTTATGGTTGACTTTCTTTATGGTTGGGTAAATTATTATTCATTCGCTTATATTTTCATTAATTCTATTGCATTTCTATATAACTGCACACATTTTTCACTTCTTACGTGTATCGCCATAGTAAAGTCGTACGTAATCGTAACTTCGATAAATTTTAAAAATCCTTAAAATAGTTAATTCACAGAAAAAGTATTACTGTTTATGTACGGTTAATTGTATGAAAATAAAAAAAAAAAAAACTAATTCTTATATATCACTCTACCAAATGGTGGACGATACATATACATTCAGAATATAAATATTTATTAACAATATTTTTTAATGTACCTGTCTAATAGATCTAGAATTCATTTAGACAACAAATAAAAGCAAATTCATATTGTCATTTATTTATATACCTATAATATCAAACTCACTTCCTTCTTATTTCTGTCTGTGTATTTAGGTCCTGAATTCGACGCTGGGCGCCTACGATGGGCGTGTGTACGAGCGCCTGATGGAGGAGGCCCTCAAGAGTCCCCTCAACGCGGAGCCCGTCAACAGCTCCTTCCACAAGTACATAAAGCCATTCATGGAGAAAGCGAAACTGTGATTTATTTATTATAATTTCAATTTATATGTACGTTTAATATTATATTAATTCAAATACTTATTATTTTGTTTTAATTACGAGTAAACATTACCTGTGAACCCTGAATGTCATTTTGCATTCAAGTATTTAGTATGTAAAATGACATATGGAACTCAAACTATATGCGATTAAATATTCATTCAATGTGCTTAATACAAATAAAGATACATCTGAATCAGACATTGGACAGGTTAGGAATAATTCAGACGGCAACAGTCAAAGAGTAATTTGGTTTTTGTTGAAACTTGTTATTATGACAACAACGACGACAATTGTGTTTTTTAATTTTATTAACGAAAATAAACTTGTCTGCAGTATACATATTACATACAAACAATATACTCTGGCGGTACCATGGAGGATGATAGATGATATAATTATCACCTATCATATGACCTAAGTATCTAAATTCACACTTAGGTCAGTCGGCCTATCGTGACGAATTCACTAGAAATTAACCACGATTGTTTCTAAGCAAACCGTGTAGAGTTCGACCTTTCAGTGTATATTGATAGCAATAAGGCCGCCGTTAATATAATTTTTGTCCTGCTTGCCAATTAGATTTGTTTGTATGTATTTTACGTATATATGAATATATATTTTAAGACAGATAGTGTATTAATATATAATGTTTTTGTTTTATTTCGTTGCACATACAAATAAATCACTTAATTAATTTTTGTTAAAGCTTTGCGACTGGGAGTTGTTTTTTTATACTCATAATTTAAATTAGATTAAACAGGCAAAATTAGATCACCAAGGTGCTGCTTAATTATACATAACCCTCAATTACGCAAGTACTTAGAATATTTAAATTTCATTATCATTCAATACTTATACATGTACATACATTTCATTTAGTTTACGAGTAAACTTCAGAAAAGTAGCACATACGAACTCATCAGTAATTAAAGTTTAGTTTTCATGTGAAGATATAAAAATAAAAATGCACGCCGGGAAAAGTATAGAAATAAATGTTGATTTGGTAAAAGAGAGAGCAAAATGTAATTTCAATATAAGAGAAGTTATACATATTTTGGATGGCGGTGAAAGAATACGATACATCGGAAGAAAAAAGGTATGTGAGTACTTTAAAAAAATTGAAAAAAGTTTATCAATATTGACTATGAATTCATATTTATTTCTTTGGAGCTAGCTAAATGCTATGCCAATAATTTAGATATGAGAGTAGTTTTATTAAAATATAAAAGGCTTTGTTTTGAAGTGTGCTTGATGATGCTATCCGATTTATTTGTTCTTAGAAGCATAATCAAAGGTCCTAAGGTAAGGTTAGAAGCATAAAAAAAATCCTTACGAGACGCAATTGTCGGGTATACAAAAATAAATACCTAACTTAATTGATACAAACAAAAGAACTTCGAATTAGAAAGATTATCACTTTAAAATCTCCATTAATCTTTATTAAAAATCTATTAATGTAAACTATATTATTATAAAGAGGAAAGATTTTTGTTTCTAATGGATCAACCCAGAAAAATCTTAACCGATTTTAATAATTGTTTTATCCTTTTAGAGCTACATTATTAGCGAGCAACATAGTGTCTATTTTATTTAAAAAAAAATAGAATATATATCTATATACTAGTGTAAAGCGTGGATGAGTCGCTAATAATGAGTATTTTTAGGAATAACTTTTAATAAATTTTATTAGATAATTTGAAGTAAATGCAAAATTGTTACGTAGGATATATCTTTAAATAACAGACAACCTAGGGATGTGATTTCCGAAGAATATCTCAATTCTAAAGAGAGACATGAGAATGATGTAAATAAGTCATTTATGTGTATTTGTCAGAATTACTAAAACTGAATTGATAATTATGACAGGACTTTAAATTTTAGGGTATGTGATCTTATTTACTAACCTAATTTAATAGCGTGTGAAAAAGAGAGCTCTAGTTGAATAATTATTAGCTGTTAAATCTTTTATAATCTAATCAGATAGCTCTTTTATAATTTACCGTAGCGTGGAGCGATATTATACGATTTTATCGTAGTGGTATAGCAAATAGATAAAATAAGCATGTTATACATATACTCGTATAGGTAGGTATATTACCTAATCTTACAAAATAAAATTGAAAATAGACGATGTCTGTATATAGTATGTAGAAAAATTTATAAGCAATAACAAATAATAATTTTTAGAATTTATGTCTCTCTGTTATGTGTATGTGTTAGTTCCGAAATCACACAAAAATTTTATACCAAACTGAATACATTTTAATAAGTTATCTAAAAGTGGTTGTCTACTCAACATCCATGCATTCGAAGTTGCATGCTAAAACTAGTATCTGTATAAAACGCTTTTTTTGTATTACAAGTTTGCGATAAAATTATAATGATTTCAGTTTCAGTTCACCAGTTTTTCGAAGGATAGCCGACGTATATTTTAAAGAAGTGACTCCGTTGATCCCTTACTTCGGGATGTTTGTCTGCACAATCATGGGTTAATGCACGCTCGAACAGCTGGCTTACTAGTTGCCTCGAGCACTTAACTTCGAAATCATTGGAACTTACGTCCAGGTATTATGTCATTTCTTTTTATTCAGAAATGTGTTTTCAAATTCTGAATTAAACATAAGTTTCTGTAATTTGTGTACCAAATCAAAAATTTTATTTCGTCATGGTCATCCATTCATTCGTTAATTTCGAATCATTAATTCTTTGCACAGAACTTTTTATAGTTTTCTAATGATCCGCCCTGGCTTCGTACGGGAAGATAAATTAGTATTTTGTATTAACTTTCATATATTAATTTTAGTAAAGATCTCTATTTTTTAAATGGAATATGGCCTATATTACTTGTTAATTATGTAGCTCTCTATAAGTGAAAGAATTGGTTAAGTAGTCTTCGAGTTTTTACATTGTAAATAAGAAAATATAAATAAAATTAAACCTTACAGACAACGGACAGTTAGTCCATCGTGACGAATTCCACTAGAATTAACCAGGATGTTTTCCAGGGGGAACTGTGTGGAGTTCGATCTGATGATACATCCAGTATTGACAGCTGGGACCACACGGCGAGTATGATAATAAATATTATTTATTAAGCGACGTCATATTTAATTATTAAAACGTGTGTGCGTGAGTGCGTGTGTGTGTATGTGCGTTTGTGCGTGCGTACGTGTGTGCGTGTGTATGTGTGTGCGTGTAAGTGCGTGGGTGCGTGGGATCGTAAGATGAAGTCATAGGATAAGGCAAGATAGCAGAATCTTTTAATTCCGAGAAGATAGTGGTATAATAGTGGTATAATCTATACACATTGATTAATCATCTGATTTCATCACCGTGAAATTTTTGTTGAAGTCACCTTCCTATCATAACATCCGTTCATTTATCTTTTGTTTTATCTATGGACTTTATCTATTTGTAATATTATTTTACTATTTTTAACCGACTTCAGAAAACAACGAGGTTACCGATTTTTTTATATTTTTATTTGTTAATTAATTTAGGAAAGCACACCAATAATACTATATTATATATATGTATTAGTATATATATGTACTAATGGCGTGACATGACAAAACTTTTAATTTCCAAGTTTATATTCAAGAAGGAACTTGTTTTTGCTTATAGTTAAAAATTGGTTTTGGATGGCCATAGGCGTGATTGCGTGGTACTTTATGTCAAAAAAATGGGATATTAAAAAAAATAAGACACGGAACTCATAGGATACGATTTTTACTCTTGAAATTCGCGTTTTACTTATCTTTAATCAAAGGTACAAAGTCTAATTAAACATATAAAGTCTACTCAACGATATTGCAAAGCAGTTCCGAATTAAATGCAACGGAATATTGACGTTATATATATTTTTTTAAATTATTATATGAATACATATTGATATTATATATTATATATATTTTATACGTAATTATTTAGAATATAAAAATAAATATGACTTCAACGAAAGTGAACGTGGATTTAGTGAGAGAACGTGCGAAATGCACTTTCGATTTAAAAGAGTTGATACACTTTGTTGACGGCGGTGAAGAGATCACTTCGGAAAGGAAAGCATTTGGTAAGCAAGGGAAAATATTAATAATATTAATTAAGATTGAGACGAAGAAAAGCAGTTGTTTAGATATATAATAAAAGCAAGACTACTGAATCGATTTGAAACAATTTTCTATGGGAGCGATCTGTAAGTATATTCTTTCAGATAAAAATATAATTTTCTAAATCGGTTTTTAAATGACGGAGTTATGAGGTAACAAATATAAAAAATAATACATCTGAATTGAGAACCTCGTTCTGTTTGTAGTATTTTTGTAGTAAAAATGTCTTACTATAGTAGTAATACAGTTTATACATATACAATAAATTGTTACTAACAAATGGACCCTAGTCGCCAAAATAAAGACATTTATCTTACTGATATAACAAAATTCTTAGTGGACGATATCTGTACATAAAAATATTAGAAAAAATTGATGGACGTTCTTTTACACCTCATTCAATTTTTTCTGGATTAATTTCTATTAATAAAACAATAATTTTTTGATTTTTTTTTATGTATAAATATATTCGTAGAGAAAGAAGAATAATAATAAATCTGACAGGATCTTGGTCAGACATATCTCGATGCGAATTGATTACAGTGTCTGCTATTCGTTGTTTGCATCCTTGCATTCCAATTCTATCAATAGATGCGACGAGCGCTTTTTCCCCCGAAAGTTTTTCGGACAAAATATTATAACTCTGTCCAATTTTTTAATGTTTTAAGGCTACACGCCATTTGGGCTTTGCCTTTTTATTTTATTTCGGTCTCAGCATGATATAATGTTTAGCAGTGCGACATTTAAAACCTTCTATTGATTTAAGCTTCGTAATTTTGAAAGAAGATCAAAGTATAGGTTAGAGAATAAAGTTACCAATGACTATAAATTTCTGTTGGCTTATTCATTAATAGAATTTAATGTTATAATATCATAGATTAAGAATAGTATAGTCTGTTTCAATGAAAATGTAAACAAATGAACTATTGGTCCAACCAATATGTGTTGTGGTTGTCTATTACAATTAAAAAAATGTTTTGATTTGTTACTAATTTCATTAATATAATATTTCTGTTGTAATTTCAACGAAAATTTACCTTTTCATTATTTTTTTTTTAAAACAATCTATACCTGGTTTTACGTCTGTGATTGAATCCTTTATCTGCATACCTGTAAAGCAGTCTGCGGAGATATTTTTATATTGTTAAATTTGAAGTTGTTTTAAATATTATTATCACATAATACATTCCTTAATTAGTTTTATATCAGAAACGGTACCTAGAGCACGATTTTTATTTGTGCTTTAATTATCATTAATTGAAAGTACAAAGTTTATTTAAACTTATAAAGTTTTCTGAATGACATTGCAGTATCAGTTCCTAATGCGACGATATATTCTTTATTTTTATTCGCGTATACGGTACATGTTTTTTAAGTGAGTCTCCATTATAAAACAATTAGATATACATTTACAAGGTGCAAACAGAAATACCATTAAAAAAATGCTCTTATTGGTGGAGTTAAATATTTTACCTGACGAAAAAAGATATAAAATTTTGAGTCTCCTATATTAACACGTAGAGTCTAGCTGTCTAGTTACGAGTAGACTAGAAAAAGCTATAATTCTTAATCTTGTAGTTTTTATTTAAAAGAAAATTGTTTATTGTTATATAGAAAAAAAAATACACTTCTATCTACTGACAGGGTCGTTATATATTAATGGGATTTGAGATGATGAGGGTGACCATAAATATTGAGTAAAATACTCGCTTTAATAACGTTAAATGACTGCATTGATTCTATTTTATACTGATAATATTAAATCACAATAGGTTTTATAAGAAAGAACAAATTACCTATACCTATATAATCATCATCTATAACAAAACTTTACATATTGCTAACCCTTAATTGTTACAGTTTATAGAAAGATATAAACCTCCTTTTGGTATGAAACTTATTAAAGAGTGACTTTATCAAGTTTACCAAAATTATTACCTGGGAGTTACGGCTGACTGAGAGCCTATAGTTTTCAGGGTGCATTGTATTATATTTCTTTCATTTCTCGTTTAAATTAAGTTTCATTATTAAGTTTACTTGCAGAAGTCAGTAGCGGTATTCTAGGCTAAGAGAAATATGGTATTAAACCTCCGTACCTTGTAACTGCTATATAAGAAATTACATACGTAATATTTTATTTTTGCAGAAGAGACTGTGCTTGCTATCAAAGAACTTAAAGATGACATACCAGAGGATTACTTGAGTCACAAGGAGAGATATGAGAATGCTATCAGGAAAGCGTGTATACTGAGGGAACTTCGTGTGCGGCACGATCAAAACAAACCGCTTATACCAGAAAAGTATGTTATATATAGTTCATAAATTTTAATTGTGCCTATTTTTATGTATTTTCCATATGTGTCCAATCAGCCCTTTTTAGCCCATAATCAGGTGTCGTATTATAATTGATTGAATCAATAAATAAAATAAGTTCTAATATTGTAATTGTAAAAGCAACTTTGATCACTTGTCTATTTAGTTTTCGTGGGTTAATATTATGTCTATTTTGTAATAAGAAGCATGTTTTGTTTGGCTGGTTCCGTATGTCACTACCAACATTTCACCATCGTGGTTATGAGAAGTTATTTAACTGGTTTTAAGGGTTATATGACAACTGGGTAACATGACTACACAATACTTTCATTTTTATGATAATACCATTAACTGCATAATTACTTAATTATTAACGTTTAAACGATCTTGTCTGTATTATTTTATAATATTATTTGTGAACTTGCACATTTTAGACCTACGTATGTATACAATATCCTACCAGCAACAATAAAAGATATATCACCGTTCTTTCTTCATGAATCCATGTTTATTGCAACAATTTGGGGTCTTATGAATGACGAGCAGAAAGCTGAGTGGTTACCAAAAGCAATGGAAATGAAAGCCATTGGAACTTATGCACAGGTGATAATATTTTTTTTTATATAAGAATAACTTAAAATGTACAACCAGAGATTAAGTAACAGCATTCAAAATAGATTTAACCAAATTATACACTCATTACTGACCAGTACGGACCGATATGTCAAACGTACTTATAAAAATGAAATTTAAATGTAGTGTTAAAGTTTTAAATTTGGGTAAGTATTCAAATCTATTGAAGCCTTGTTGTATTTATATAATTTTTGAGACAATTAAAATGTAATATTTTAAATACACAATCGGGACTTAACGCGATGACAAATGCTCATGTTCAAATTGTGTATTTAAAATATGTATAAACAACGTGAAAGTTTAAAATTAACTAATTAAAATACAAGTTTCATATGCTAATGTGAATTTTGGATTTTTGAAGTGAAAACTTTTTAGGCGCGTTGGATATTTTTTAAGATGGGAAAACACCGTCGGACTCGCGACAGTGTTATCGTAACCGACACATCTGTATATAAGTATATACATATATTGTGTATGTACGTACATAGATACACATACGTGTTGGCATTTTTTGAGATGAGGGAAAAACCATTGAACTCGTAACACTGTTACCGTAACAGACACCTCGGACGATTCGCAAAATACACACGTAATTGTGCAGTTTTCACTTCAGTCGGCACATTTTTATTTCTACATCATTTACGAGTATGCTGCTTTTGCCAAAGTTAAAAAAATACTACAAAATACAATATTTTAAGTATTGGGGAAAGGGATTGTTAGCAATAGAGTTTGACAGCCCCATTGCTAGCAATATGTCTTATTAGGTCGACCTCCACGTGGTTTCCCCTGGAAACTATCGTGAACAATTCTTGTTGAATTCGTCACGATGGGCTAACTGACCTACTTCATCCTCACCTATCATCCTTCACTGGTGCCCCGCCGGTGTATACCAATAGCGCGAGTTACCATTCCATTATCATCCATTAAAAAAAAATATTTTAAGTGTAGGTATGTATATATGACTGGATATGCACAGCGCCATGTAGTTCTAACTAAGCAGAGCTTGTACTACAAGTACAGTACAGTGTATAGGTATAAGACATTATATATTGATATCACGCGACATTTCTATAATAAACGTATAATTACCCAGTTTCTACATTTTGGTGATGTAATAAGGCGATTAGTTGATAAATGGCGATATGTTTGTAAGGTCGTTGTTCGTGTCATTTTGTTCTTTTCATTTATCAAAGATTGATATAGCTTAATGATAAAAGTGTCACTAAGAGAAAACACAGTGATATATATATATATATATATATATATATATATATATATATATATATATATATATATATATATATATATATATATAAATATGAGGTATATATAAATATTTAAAAATTAATAGATCAGAACGAACGAACAAGAAATGTGAAATTTCTTAATTAGGATTTTGTGAGATATTGATTGATAATTATTCATCATTATCAGCCATTATTACAATTATTATTAAATTAAAATTATGTACTTGATGTTTTTTTTAATGACACCTTACTATTTCGTAGACTGAGCTAGGGCACGGTACATTTCTGAGAGGTCTAGAGACGACCGCGACGTACGACCCTGAAACTGAAGAGTTCATCTTGAACACACCCACTCTGACGGCTTACAAATGGTGGCCCGGTGGATGTAAGTACCTATCCTATTAATATAATAAATGCGAAAGTTTGTAATGGTGGATGGATGTGTAGTTGTTTGTGATATTTTCACCCAAAAACTACTAAACGGATTTGCATGAAATTTGATACATATGTAGGTTATATCATAACTTAGCATATAGCTATTGGATAGTTTATTTACTTATTTGTGCGTGCGAAGTCGCGAGATACAGCTAGTATAAAATAAATATGTTCACAATAATCCCTAATAGAGTAGTTAGAGGTATTAGATTCATATCAAAAATGTTGTAACTTGAATCTAGTAGACATTCAGATTTTTACCAGAGGTAATTTTTATTTCACTAATGTCAATTTGTTATCATTATCTATTAGTGTTTTGCCTTTCTCCCATTATTATACAAACAGATATAATAACTTAAATATTTTCAGTGGGACATACTGTCAACCATTGCATCGTAGTAGCTCAATTGTACACCCAAGGGAAATGCCATGGTATCCAACCATTTATAGTACAAATCAGAGATCTGGAGACCCATATGCCACTCCCAGGAGTTCACGTGGGTGAGATTGGTCCAAAAATGGGCTTTCAGACTGCCAACAATGGTTTTCTTGGTTTTAAAAACTTTAGGATACCTAGAAAGAATATGTTGATGAGGAACTCAGAAGTAAAAAAGGTTGGTATCAAACATACTTTTCAGTTGGTAAGTTCGGGGTAGTTTTTTACTAGATGTCATTATACCTGGAATGTAAATGTTTGATAAATTTAACTAAGAAAAGAAAGGATATAAACATGAGATTTTGTTCTTGAAACAACCACCAACAAATGTAAAAATAAAAATTATAGGATATAGGTCATGAAGGGAATGCAAGGATAAACCTTGATTCTTCCAGGAGACAGTTCAATAGAGTGGATTTATAAATAACTTAAAGATTATTGTTACAAATTTTTTTTTCAGGATGGAACATTCGTAAGGTCTAGGAGTGATAAATTAACGTACGGAACTATGGTTATAGTGAGGGTGAATATTGTAAATGACGCCGCGATGCAGTTATCTGCAGCTGCAATTATTGCTGTCCGCTACTCGGCCGTCCGACATCAGTCGCAGCCGAAACCCAAGTGAGATATTTGATTTGATTTTGTTTTAACTAGATTAATGGTGTTGGATGCAGATGGTCTTTACAGCTTAACTGTAGGTAATGAGGGTGAGTGCAGACGGCACTCCCAATCTGCGGAAGGAATTATGGAGAGTCTCCTATTTTTTAGTCTGAGGGCACTGTCACAGCTCAGGCTGTCTCGTCTCACTCGTATCTCGATCTCCACGTGGAGATCGTTTCGAACCGGCTATTTAAAGTATTTAGTTCTTAGATCTGTTAATGTTATTTGGAAGCGCGTTATGTAGGAGGCTCATGTTCAGCAGCGATCAGTTAAGGGTATCAGCCCTTATCAAGCCCTTATCAATATCAATACCCTCATCAATATCATAAAGGTGAAAGATTTGATTGTTTGTTTTTAATAAATAAACTTGAAAACTGCTTACAACTTTAATTATTCTTTCACCTATAAAAACTACATTATCAGCGAGTGATATAGGCTATATATTATTTTCGAAAGTTCTACCTACTCGTGCAAAGCCGGGATCACTAGTAGGTATATATTTTATCTACTACAGCTGTTATTACAATCAATTACCGTTATTGTCCAAGATAAGCTCGAGCTTATTAATATTTATCAGTAATAACACCACGTGAGACAAACACGTGAGATTATTTGTGCACTAAGAATATATCTTGATTGATGCTATTTTTTATATTTATTTTATTTATCAAAATTAATATCTAAAAGTAAATCCTGAAATTAGCTAAAATTATGTCATACTTGATAATTATATATTTATATATTACAATCGTCTGTAATTAATTAATTTTATAATTTAAATAAATTATTTTATAAAATAGATAATGTTTATCTTGCAGTGAGCCGGAACCTCAGATTCTGGACTATGTGACTCAGCAACGAAAGCTTTTCATTAATATCGCCACAGGTCATGCCTTAAGGATCGTAGGACGGTGGCTTTGGAAGACAATGTTGGGAGTTCTTCAAAACATTTCAGAAGGAAATTTGGAACAGTTACCTGAGGTAATTAGATAACAATAAAAATCAGTGGATATTATATTATACAGCTAAGCTTGTATGAACTATAGATAAATAGAATAGTTAATGGAGATACATTATTTTTTTTCAAAATACATTGTATGAGAGCGTTGTAGTCCATTAGTATACTATCTCGATGTATATCGATTGTTTCCAAGGGTAACTGTGTAAAAGTCAATCTGATAGGGTAAATTGTTAGCGATGAGGTAGTTAGACCTCATTAATAACAATTCCTTTACCTGCCTAATTATTAATAATGGGAACTGCTAGCTCCATTGCTAACAATACTCCCTATCAGGTTGACTTTTACGTAGATTTCTTTTTATCATTATTTTTAATAAGGAATTTCGCGACTGACACTTGGCCACAACAGAATATCAGTGTTTTGCTCTTTTAAGGGCAAAGCAATAAACTGAGTTGTGACCATTTTGTGTTACATGGCACACGCATGAAGGAAAGGATGGAAAAGAAATTGTTGGTTTATATATTATGTTTTTTTTTTGTTTTGTTGCTTTTTTATTTTCATTCTTTTATCTCTTTTACTGTGTATTATGTGTATGTTTTTTTATTGTAATTTGTGTGCTGAAAGTAATGTAAATAAATTATCTATCTATCTAACTTAAAATCATGATCAAAGAGGTATCCTAAACCAATCTATTGGTATCGGTATACGCTATCCGGGTACTAGCGGTTGATGGCATGTGAGGATGAAATCATGTCAGTTGGCCTATCGTAACGAATTCATTAAGAGTTAACCGCGGTGATTTCCAGGTGGGAGCGAAGTCAATATATAGTTAGGTAAATAAATAAAAATATATGTTCCAGTTACATGCTTTATCCTGCTGCTTGAAAGCTGTGTGCACTCAGGATTGTACAGCAGGCATTGAGCAGTGCCGCCTGGCGTGCGGTGGTCACGGTTATATGAAATCGTCCAACTTACCATTGCTTTATGGTCTCACCACTGCTGCCATGACATATGAAGGTGAAAATACTGTGCTGTTATTACAGACAGCTAGGTAATGATGTGTTTTTTTTATCACTATTATCACCCATTAATATACTAATGTTGTGTACCCATCTCCTTATAAAAGATAAACGCTTCCGCCCCAGCTTCGCATTAATTTACTCACTTTTTTATATGCAGATCTTCAAAAGGAAAAATTTTCATTTTATAGAGGGTATAATACATTATTACAAAAATATATTTGATTTTTTCTATAGGTTTCTGCTAAAGACATGGACGCAAATATTAGAAGGTGACACAAAATTAAATCCAACTGTTTTGTACCTGCTCAACTTTGCGAAACCAACTGACTACAGATGGGAGAATACAAACCAAGGAATCATAAAAGGGTTTCAGGCAGTTGCTGCTGGGTATGTAACATTGTATGCATTCATATTTATTTTCGTTCTAATTTAATTTGTAGAGCCACAGTTTCTGAATTCTGGTACCGTCTGCCTTATCAATTTTGAATATTCTTTTTATTAATACTTTTATTATTAGCAAATTGCAAGATTAGGTGGTAATAAAAGTATCTTATCTTAAGCATTTATCTTAAGAAATATGTAACATATATTTATGTTTGGGTTTAAATATGTAATGCACCTTTTGCCAATAGTATATTAAGAACGCATGTAACAACGCATGGGCACGCACGCATGCGTTGTAAATTGTGCTCCATTATGATGGACAGAAATGTAATTATTTGGAGAATGATCAATTGATTGCTCAAGTCTTCAAGATAAATCCTCTCTCCATATGTCGATTCTATGTATTTATATACTACGAATAATATAGAAATAAACAAAATATGTTCAATTTGTTAAATACTCGTATTCAATGTTTTTCAGAAAAATTAAAACAGCTTACGATACCGCAATGAAACATGTCGGTGCTGGTAAAAGCCAGGAGGAAGCGTGGAATCTAGCTTCGATACAATTAGTAGAAGCTAGTGAGGTGGGTTATGAATAATAATACATTTAATAAGATATTGATCCCGTCAGGATTTGACAATATTTAATTATAAATGTGTTTGATTTTAGTAGAGTTTACTTCCATATTTGTTTATTTTAACTTTATTTACTAAAAGAAAATTAGTAAAAAAGGCGGAATAAATGCTAGTAAATGCTATTTACTACTATACTATTCACTTTGGGATGAACAGTGAATCATGAACGCGATATTTCATATCGGTCTTATTATAATTTTGTCACAATTATTTTGTACTATTTTTCTTATCCAAAATTTGAAATTATTAATATTACTGATTGACCATCATAATACTAGTTTGAAATACACTAGTCGTCAAACACTCGGCTGAGGATGAATATACAAAGCTATGTGTATAATTAGATGTGTCTTTGTGCAATTTTACTGATGTGTTCATTTGTATATGTATATACATTATACACATAAGAACTTTATTATAACAATGATTTAATAAATATAATAAAGATATTCTCCATTTTAATTGCAGGCTCATTGTCGGGTAATAATTTGCGAAGTATTTTCAAATGAGATTCAACGTGCGTCGAACACTTTATCTCCCAACTTATCTAGAGTTTTGCAGCAGTTGGTTGAACTTTATTTAGTACATTGGGCATTGGAAAAGAAAGGTGACATTTTGTTGGTAAGCAAACAACAATATTACAGTAATTTATAATATGTAGTAACACCCCTTACTTACTATATTACGGAAAAGTATATCAACAACTAATTAATTTAAGGCTTCACCTTGAGTGGGATTAAGTGTTCTAAAAAACATCACATCCTTTATCAATTAAAACTAGCTAATGGATGAACAGTTTGCAGTTAAGAGTGTATGTGTGTTTTAGTATCTATTTGTTTTTGTCAAATAATTTGTTTGTAAACTGTGTTTGATGACAACTTCAACTAACGATATTCCACAATCAATTTTAATGGCATGTGTGCCCCATAACCTAGTCGTAGCGAAATTGTCTATAAACAACATAATCTTTAGAAGCGATTCCTTTTATATATATACAAAGTTCACTGACTCAGTTGTTGATAGGTTAGTTAATAGAGACGCTACCGGTTACTTATACGCAAATTGTAACGTTCATAGACTGCGTTCTTAAAAAAAAAAAGTTTTCTCGTTTACTGGAGATTTATAATATCATGTATTGTATAAATTTAATTACTACATAATATTTGCAGTATTCCACAATATCAAGAGATGACATCGCTGCCTTGAGAATCAGATACGAAGAGTTGCTTGCTTTGATCAGACCAAATGCTGTTGGGCTCGCTGACGGCTTCGATTTTAGAGATGAGGTATCAATATATAATATTAATTATTTATAATCTTCATTTTATTTTGTTGTTATTGATATGAATAATAGAGAATATGTCAGAATTGAATCGGTTCTGTTTGAATTTCCTGTAAAAGACGATATGCATGCTTGTTTTAATAGAATGAAGAACAACAAGAAACGAATGATGATACCTGATCATATGGCAGTCTACTGAAGTCTATTTTTTTTATACAACTTAGAATGGCAAACAAGCTGACGGCCCACCTGATGGAAAGTGGTAACCGTTGCCTATAGACATGAGCAGTACCATGGACATAACAGAGTATACTGTTTCGCCCATGATACCCCCATGCGTTGCCATTCCTGAGTACTCAGGTGTTATTCTTCCGTAACCAGTAAATTCATGCCATTATTCCATCCTTCAAACCGAAACACAGCCATGCAAACACAATTGCTTTACGGTTGAAACACGAATGGGATAGAGGTACTCAAGCAATTGACTTTTGTACAAAGTCTCTCTCTGATATTAGTAGTACAAATAAAAAAAAAACGAATATTTGGATGTTACTGATTGTCAAATATTTACATAACAAGTACATTCTAGTGTTTAGCAGAATGATTAAAATGTATTTTAGACTTGTTGACTCTATATATCTGTGTTTTGTCTAGTCTGAATTGGTTTGTAACCTTGAAGTATTAAAGTAAACAAGATTGCTCGTTGTGCCTTCGCAGACTTGAAGGTATTATGTTCAAAAATGGAAAAATAGTAGACTGCATACAATTTCCATAATTTTTTTTTTATATTGTGTGCGTCATGTTAAATAATACGTGCAAGAAAATGTATTCCAGTTTATTTCTGTAATATAATTGAACCTGTAATAGTATATGCATTATTATGTATAAGTCAGAATTCTGTATTTATTCTATTCATATGATTAGGTAGAATGTCAAAGAACGTTTTAACCAACTTCAAAAAGTAGGAGGTTTTTATTTTAGTTGTTATTTTTTATATTTGTTATTTCGTATCACCTCAGTTATAAATCGATTTGGAAATTAATCCCACAGAAATTTTATCAAAAGCAGTTCAGTAGTTTAGTTATTAAATAAAAATAACTTTTTGCGCAATTGAAGTTGGCTTCTTTGTGGATCATAATCTTAAATTATTAAGATTTACCGCTACATGACACATGACATTATACGATTTTACCGTCACGATATAATAGGAGAGTAAAATGTATGTAATTGTACGGGAATACTTTTAAATTTCTGCGCATGTCCACGATATAGTTGCGATAAATAAATTATAGTCTATTTCAATAGTAATAATAATAATATATTAAGCAAGTTGAAATTATTACAGAAATGATTTTCATAATCTTTCGTAATATTGAGTCAATCGAACTTTAATTTGTAATATTACTGAACATAGTCTACTGTCTTATGGTTGGATTAATTATCTGTTTGCTTATATTTTCATTAGATTCTATTGTATTTCTATACAATTGCAGACATTTTGCTCTTCTTACGAGTATCGCCACGATAAAGTCGTATGTAATCGTAACGTCGGTAAATTATTAAAATTCTCAAAATAGTTAATTCATAGAAGAAGTATTATTGTTTATCTACGGTTCATCGTATGAAAAACTTGATTGTTGTCTATATCACTGTAATTTAGTAGACAACATTAATTTAAAATATAAATATATATAAATATATATATTAACAATATATATAATTTTTTAATGTACTTGTCTGATAGATCCAATTCATCTAGACATAGTTATAAAAGCAAATGCATATTGTTATTTATTTATATTCCTGTAATATCGAACTCAGTACTTCTATTTGTGTATTTAGGTCCTGAATTCGACGCTAGGTGCATACGACGGGCGTGTGTATGAGCGCCTGATGGAGGAAGCCCTCAAGAGTCCCCTCAATGCGGAGCCCGTCAACAGCTCCTTCCACAAGTACATAAAGCCATTCTGGGAGAAAGCTAAACTGTGATTTATTTATTATTATTTGAATTTGTATATAATATGTCATTTAAAATATATAAGTTTAATATTATATTAATATAAATACTTATTATATTGTTTTAATTACGAGTAAATACTAATACCTGTAATACCTGTGAAATTGAAATGTCATTTTGCATTCAAGTACATTTGTATTTTGTATGTAAAATGACATTGTATTGTATATGCAAAATAAGATATGTAGCTCAAACCATATGCGATTGAATATCCAGTTAATGTGCTTAATACAAGTTAAGATACATATAAATCAGAAATTGGAGAGGTTAGGAATTAATAGGGCAGTAGTCGTCAAAGAGTAATTTGGTTTTTGTTGAAAACTTGTCATTATGATAACGACGACAACCATGTTTTTTTTATACCACTGAGGTGGCAAACAAGCATACGGCCCACCTGATGGTAAGCGGTTACCGTAGCCTATGAACGCCTGAGGTATTATGCGCGCGTTGCCGACCCTGAAGAAACGTCTTTACCCCCCTTTTGAAGTACCCCATGCTGTAGTTTCTTGGGAAAACCTCAGCAGGGAGCTCATTCCATAATCTGAGTGTTCGTGGGAGAAAACATCTTTGAAACCGCGTTGTACGTGACCATTTAAGACGTAGGGTATGAGAGTGAACTCCCTGTCGATGGCGAGCCGTACGATGATAGAAAGTGGCCGTAGGTATCATATTGAATAATTTCTCTGAGCACAATCCGTTGTACAAGCGATAGAACACGCAGAGTGAGGCAAAATCTCTCTTAAGACTTAAGGGTTCGATACCGCTTGCAAGCCTGGGATCATCGACAATTCTCATAGCCCCTTAATTTTATTAATAAGAATAAAATAGTAAACTTGTCTGCAGTATACATATAACATACATATAATATACGCTGGCAGTACCAGTGAGGGATGATAGGTGATATAATTATCACCTATCATGTCTGACTTCATAGTTAGGTCAGTTGGCCTATCGTGACGAATTCACTAAAAATTAACCACGATTGATTTTAAGGGAACCGTGTTAAGGTCGAGCTGTCATATTAACAGCAATTAGGCTGCCGTTAATAAAAATTTAGTTCTCCTTGTCAATTAGATTTGTCTGTATGTCTATTAGTATATAATTTAAGATAGATAGTGTATTAATATATAATGTTTATGTTCATTTTGTTGTAACAAAATGATTGTTGCACATATAAACAAATCACTTAACAAATTTTTGTAAAACCTTTACGACTGGGAGTTGTTTTTTATACTCATAATTTAAATTAGATTAAACAGGCAAAATTAGATCACCAAGGTGCTGCTTAATTATACATAACCCTCAATTACGCAAGTACTTAGAATATTTAAGTTTCATTATCATTCAATTCTTATATATGTACATAAATTTTATTTAGTTTACAAGTGAACTTCAGAAAAGTAGCACATACAAACTCACCAGTAATTAAAGTTTGGTTTTTATGTGAAAATATGAAAATAAAAATGCTCGCCGGGAAAACTATAGAAATAAATGTTGATTTGGTAAAAGAGAGGGCAAAATGTAATTTCAATATAAGAGAAGTTACACACATTTTGGATGGTGGTGAAAAAAATACGATACAGCGGAAGAAAATAGGTATGTAAGCATATTAGAAAGCTATAAAAAAGTTTATTATTACCGACTATGAACTCATATTTTTTTTCTTTGGAGTTAGCTTAACACTATGGCCGTAGTTTTTTTATATATTTTTATAAAACTATCATTATATATTTTAATTACAAAATCTATTAATCTAAACTATATTATTATATAGAGAAGAGATTTTTTTGTTTCTAATTAATCAATAAAAAAATCAAATAACCGATTTAAAAAAATATTTCTTCTTCTAAAAGTTATTAGCGAGTAACATAATGTGTATTTTTTTTTTAAATAGAATATCTATCTATTCGCGTGAAGCCTGGATGAGTCTAATTATGAGTATTTTTAAGAATATACTGAAGAATATATTTTTAATAAATATAATTTGAGGTAAATGTAAAATTGTTACAGAGGATATATCTTTAAATGATGGACAATCTAGGGATGTGATTCCCGAAGAATATCTCAGTCCTAAAGAGAGATATGAGAATGCTGTAAAGAAGTCATGTATATATGCCAGAATTATCAAAACCGAATTGATGAATATGACAGGACTTGAAACTTTAGGGTTTGTAATCTTATTTAGTAACCTTTTCATTTATAACCTGCGAAAAAGAAAGCTCTAGCTGAACAATTATTAGCTGAAAATCCTTTCATTATCTATTTACATAGATAGACAATGTACTTTTTTATAATTTACCGTAGTGTAGAGCGATATTTGACGGTTTTATCGTCACGGTATAATAACAGATAATAATATATTACCTAATCTTACGACTAAAATGTAGACCAAATGTAATGACACTGAAACTAAATGATGTCTGTATATAGTATGTGCAAAAATTTATATGACGGAGTGTTAATTTTTAGAATTTGTACCTCTCTGTGTGTTAGTTCGGCAATCACGAAAAACTACTACACCGAACTGAATGAATGAATATACTTTATCTTAATAAGTCATCTGAAAGTGGTTATCTACATTTCAACATCCACGCATTCGAAGTTGCGGGATAAAATTAGTATCTGTATAAAACGTTTATTTTGTTACAAGTTTACAATTAAGTTATAATTATTCCAGTTTCAATTCACCAGTTTTCCGAAGGATAGCTGATGCATATTTTAAAGAGGTGACTCCGTTGCTTGCTCACTTTGGGATGTTCGTTCCCACAATCATGGGTCAATGCACGCCCGAACAGCTGGCTCACTGGTTGCCCCGAGCACTTAACTTCGAAATTGTTGGAACTTACGTCCAGGTATTATTTCATTTCCTTTAATTTATAAATGAACAAACGAGTCTAATTTGGTTTAGTTCTGAATCAAACATAGTCTCTGTTACCTGTGTCCCAAACCAGGGACCTTATTTCATTATGGTCGTTTCAATCGTTCGTTTATTTCGAATCGTAAATTCCTTGCACAGACGTTTTTATAGATTTCTAACGATCCGCCCTGTCTGCGCACAGGAAGATAAATTAGTATTTTGTATTAGCTTTCATAGGCAAATTATTGGTACCTTGGGTTATATTATTTTAATTTCCGTAAGGATATCTAATTTTTTTAATTAAAATATGGCCTAAATTACGCGCTGTGTGTAGCTTTTTATAAGTTAAAGAATTTTTAAAATTGGTTAAACATCATGGTAATATCGTGACGGAAAATTATATTACATTTTGCTCTTCTATTATATCACTACGGTAAAATCGTACGATATCGTGGAGCACCACAATTATTAAGAAAAACGTTCATTAGTGACACCTATTGTTACTTAGTTACTATACGAACTGTTAAGAGTTTGTATTTTTATCTTCATGCCAAATATTTAAAAAGAGGCCTGTACTCTTACGTCTTTTGCTCCATAACTAGTCTCATGCATGCACACCGATACATTATTATTACTACTTATAAATGTATTATATATATATATATATATATATATATATATATATATATATATATATATATATATATATATAACGACCTTACGTATTTTTATATTTATAATATAAAATAAGTAAGGTCGTTAGTGTAAACTCAAATTGTTTAATAAAAGAGTTAAGCAAGTATAATACAGGGAATATGGAAGTGGATCACATCCAGTGACCTGTATTACTTTACTTGACCTAACTTGTATATAATAGTATTGTTTTTCTATCGGTACTTAACTTATTATTCTACTTAAATTGTAGATAAACAATTGACTTGCTTGTTACTAAATAGTTTTAGTAGTAACTGAGGTCAAAGGTTGCAGGGAGGGGATTGAACAAGATATAAATTTACATAACCTATCTAGTATTATTTAATATCTTGTAAAACTGTTATTTTTGTGATCTTATATTTAGCTTTTTATTTTCTTGGAAATTATAATTTAAGTATTAGGATTTATACATAACATAAAATCTCATACGCTAGGGTCTAGATGGTCGCTTACAGTGCGGTTTTAGAGATGTTTTTTCCTATGAACGTTTATGTTATGGAATGGGCTCCTTGTTGAGGTTTTTCCAAGAGACTACAGCATGGGGTTTTTTTAAAAGACGGATAAAGAGTTTTCTTCAGGGTCGGTAACGCGCTCGTAATACACCTGGTATTGCAGGCGTTCATAGGCTACGGCAACTGCTGACCATCAGATGGGAAACAACATAGTTCACACAATTATGTAGTATTGTAGTATTTTTTATTTTATTAAGAGGGAAAACATAAAACTGAATATTATTCTTAGTAAATACTTATTTATATTAGTGTGGGTATTGCGTCTGAGCATCCTCCGGTGGATTAGCAAAATATATTATATTATTAAATATATTAGGTATATTTTTTGCCTTGTCACGATCGACTGGACTAATAATCGCGATCGATCGGTTGGCCACCCATGCAATATACTCGTAAATATGCGTGAACTGACTAAAATTTTTATAAAATAAAGGAATCGGCGACGACACGATGTTATTGTTAAATTAATATGAATTTGACCGTCTACGGATCAATCGAGCAGGGTCAAATTCAAATTCATGTAAATAATATATAATATTATATGTAATATTAAGATTAGTTTTCACGACATAATTTTTTTTATATAACACTGAGGTGGCAAACAAGTGTACGGCCCACCTGATGGTAAGTGGTTACCGTAGTCTATGAACACCTGCAATACCAGAGGTATTACGCGTGTGTTGCCGACCCTGAAGAAACCTCTTTACCCTCCTTTTGAAGTACCCGAAGTAAGAAGGAGCTCATTTCATAACCTGAGTGTTCTTGGGAGTAAACATCTCTGAAACGCTGTACGCGTTCATTGAGGCTATAGGACATGAGGATGAACTCCCTGTCGATGGCGAGCCGTATGATGGTAGAAAGTAGCTGCGGGCATCATATTGAACAATTCCTCTGAGCACAATCCGTTGTACAAGCAGTAAGGCAAAATCTCTCCTAAGACTTAAGGGTTCGATACCGCTTGCAAGCCTGGAATCATCGACAATTCTCATAGCTCGTCGTTGCAACGAGTCGAAGGGTTTAAGATGGTAGGTGCTCCCGCCTATAAGTGACAGTAATACTCCATATTGCATAGTTGTTACTGTTATACTAATAAATAGTTATTATGTACCTATATTCAAATAGTAATATGTCTACACGGTGGCGCCATCTATCACTCCCATTGATTACACAGAAAATCAGCGTTTTACGTATGAATGCCTAAATACTTAGCTGAGTGGTGACTATTTTAATTGCATAATTTCTAATTAGGTATAAGTTTATTTTTGCATTTCTTCTTTCTTGAAGTTTAAAATTGTTTGTGTTTTAGTTGTAATTGTTATTGATATGCGCCAAATTAATATTTTTCTTTTTTTTTTCTTTCTTAGTTTTACACGATTAAGTAATACCAGTCGACTGTATCTAAAGACTTAGCTGAGTGAGTGTCTGCCTAAACAATTAGCTGAGTGGTGACCATTTTGGTATAATATATCGAGAAATAGTTATTTATCAATATTAAACTTTAATAAATTTTAGGTTAATGTACTCGTATTTCTATAAAAAGATTTGTAACTTATAAGTAACGAATTTACGTATTCTCTGATTTGCAGACGGAACTTGGCCACGGTACATTTATAAGGGGATTAGAAACAACGGCAACTTACGACCCGCAAACTGAGGAGTTTGTGCTGCACAGTCCAACTCTTTCGTCTTACAAATGGTGGGCAGGAGGACGTGAGTGAATATTATATTCATCGTATCAACCTTTAACTGTCCACTGCTGAACATAAGCCTCCCTCTTTGTTTCATTCTGTTTCGTCAGTAGTTGTCACGCTTGGCAGGCGGAGTGGCAATCGCAGTTAGGCTTTGAAGATGTTTTAAGATGGACGCTGCTGCCCATGCCTCGACTATTTAGCTTCCTTAGTCACCTATTACGACAGCCACGGGAAAGAAGGGGATGGCCAATTCTATGACGGGATCACACCTCCAATTATTGATATTACGTATTAATTTTGTCCTGGAAATAAATTTACATGTATTTATTATTTTATTTATTTTTACTTTTTCAAAACCCAATTTTATTATTTTCTCAATATTTTATTTTTATTTTTTAATACAGTCGGCAAAACAGTGAACTACTGTGTAGTAGTCGCTCAACTTTATACCAAGGGTGTATGCCATGGAGTCCACACTTTCATCGTTCAGATTCGAGACGAAGAAACCCATATGCCTCTACCAGGAATAAGAGTCGGTGATATAGGGCCCAAGATGGGTTATAACACGGGTGACAATGGCTTCCTTGTTTTTAATCACCATCGGATACCAAGAGAAAATATGATGATGAAAAATGCTCAGGTATTAAAGGTAAGGTAATGTCGATAGATTGATCTCATGTATTAATTGTAAAAATATTAGTAAATTTATATTTTATTATATCTTAATACGTAGTAGATTACTTTTTATAATAATTTTTTTTAAAGCTTACTTTTTTATGGCATGCAGTAAATTTCTTGTCAAATATTACATGTATTAGTCGAGCTGTTACTAATTCCAGATATTATAATTAAAAACTACAGCAAATCTTTCTTCCTATTAACTTACCCAGACCCTGTTCTTATCTCATCCTTCCTTATCATATTTTCAATCTGAATACCCTATGAGAATAGAGAGTAGTTTTGAATGTGTAGTTCATTGTTGCCAGGATGGGACATATGTGAAAGTGGCGAGACATGAGAAATTGACGTACGGCACGATGGTGTACGTACGCGTGATGCTGGTGAACGAGATGGCGTTTAACTTGGCCAAAGCTGTCACTATAGCCGTCCGATATTCAGCTGTGAGGAGGCAATCGCAGCCTAAACCCAAGTACGTTATAATGCAGAATATATAACAGTAGTTTTACATAGTAATATGTACTGCGAGGGCAAGATTGCTAGTAATGGGGACTTTTTTCTGGGTGAAAATGGCACGGTAAACCCGCCTACGCTATCGGTATAAACTGGCGGGGTACCAGTGAGAGGTGATAGGTGAGGATGAAAAGGCAGGTCAGTTAGCCCATCGTGATGAATGTATTAGTTTATCATATATTAGTTTATCATATTTAGACATTATATGTCCATTATCGGCCCAATATATTGGTATTGTAAATTCAATATATAGACATGCCATATATTACTCACCCTAAGTTTTATCTATGAAATGTTTTTCCTCAGCCAACCCGAGCCCCAAGTGCTGGACTATCTGACACAGCAGCACAAGCTGTTCATCTGTATAGCGACCGCGCATGCGCTGCAGTTCACCAGCGACTGGCTCTACAAGACCTTCACGTCAGTCTTGGCAGATATTCGAGATGACAAAATTGACACTTTACCAGAGGTAAGTTTGAAAAGAAATTATGAAACAATTTAGTACCAACTGTTAAATAAAATTACATGATTTTTCGTTCTCATGCTCTTTATAGGTTTGGTGTAACAGCACTTTTGTTCAAATTTATTTAAGAATAAGCATTTCGACCTTGATGGTATAGTACTTTAATGCTCTACCTCACTTTTCAATGAGTGTGGGTTCACAATAAGCTTAATACACATATTTTTATGTATATCTCTTTGTACTGCTCTGGGTGTTTCTTCTGTATATATATATCATACATATTATATGTATAGATATACTCGTATTTACATAGGCCTCCCCGTTAAGTTTTATCAGTAGTTGCCACGCTTGGCAGGCAGGTTGGCAACCGCAATTTGACTTTTGGTAACGATTAAGCTACTGCCCATTCCTCGACAATTGAGTTCTCTTAGTCACCCCTTACGATACCGACGGGAAAGGAGGGGGTAGCCTAGTCAATGCCCGGATCACACCACATTAATTTTATAAACATATATATAAAATTGAAGCTGTGATTAGATATAAATTTAAATCTATCTTCGATGTTACATAGTACAAGTTCTGTTTAATTTGGTGCCAGATGGCGCTGTGAAATATATCCAGTATAATTATTCCACACCGTTATAGTCATAATATCAATTCTAATATTAATTTTAAAAATTTCAAAAATTTCATTTCAGCTCCACGCTCTGTCCAGTTGCTTAAAAGCAATCTGCACTTCTGATTGTGCGGCGTTTATTGAAATATGCAGATTCGCGTGTGGGGGTCATGGGTACATGGCTTCGTCCAATCTGTCCATGATCTATTCTTATGTTTCGGCAACCAGGACTTACGAAGGGGACTACACTGTGCTACTCTTGCAGACTGCTAGGTAACGAAATTAGTATAATCTATACTGATATTATAAAGAGGAAATACTCGATTGCTTGCTTGTAAAGGATTTACTCAAAAATAATTAAACTAATTTTGGAAATTGTTTTACCTGTAGGAAGCTACATTATTAGCGAGTAACTCTCTCTTTTCATTTAAGAGTTTTCTCTTGTTGGTGCAACCAATTTATGCATTCTCTATCAGCCAGATGTTAATTTATTACTTAATGTTTCCTTTATCTGTCCCATGTAGTTATTCCTTGGTCTTTCCCCTCCTCTTTTACCCCATATTTTTCCTTCTATTGTGCTTTTTAAAAAAACGTCATATAAGGTGGTCCAGTATTTTGCCTCTTATATTCTCTATTGTTTTTATTATTGTTCTTTTCTCATTCATCCTTTTCAAGACTTCTTCATTCGTTACTTTTTCTGTCAGGCTTATTCTGTCCATTCTTCTCCATGTCCACATTTTGATTTTTAGTGAGTAACATAGGATATATATAATTTTATTATTTTCAATATTCTATCTACTCGAACGAAGCCGATCTTAGTAGTTATTTTTACATTTCGTTTTTTTTTCATAGAAATAATAAGCACTAGCTTTTATCCGCGACTTCGTTCGCGTGTCTGGGATATGTCCACTGATCGGGATAAAAAGTAGCCTATGTCCTTCTTTATCCCATATAGTACGTATACACCAAATATCAGAGTGATTGGTTAAGGCGTTAAAGCGCTATAAGTTAAAAAACAAACAAACGAATAAATTTACATTCACATTTACAATATTAGTAAGAATTACTTTAATGATGTTGATTTAAAAAGATAATTGAGAGGAGGGAGACTTTGTACAAAAGTCGATTGCTTGGGTAAGCAGCTGTGTTTGCATGGCTGTGTTTCGGTTTGAAGGGTGGGACATGGCGTGTATTTACTAGATACAGAGGAATAACACCTGAGTCCTCAGGAATGGCAACGCATGGGGGGTATCATGGGCGAAACAGTATACTCTGTTATGTTCATGGTACTGCTCATGTCTATAGGTGACGGTTACCACTTTCCATCAGGTGGACCGTCAGTTTGTTTGCCATTCTAAGTTGTATAAAAAAAAATACTCTCAATAATTTTAGGTTTCTGGTGAAAGCTTGGGAGCAGGTAGAAAAAAGGAGACCAGTGACTTCTACAATATCATATCTCTCACATGCTTTTGATAAATTGAAGAAACCCTGGGACGGCAGTAACGAGGGCATCATTAGAGCGTTCCAAAGAGTTGCTGCTGGGTATTTTTTTTATCTGTTACTTAAATTATGCTTATTCTATGTGCGACACTAGGAGTCATAATATTTTTTTAAATTTTTTTTTCCAATAATTCACATCTCCATTGTGTACAAAATTAAAGTATGTCGCATTTGGAATTAAAATTTTGAAGGACACAAAATAAAACCGACTTCAAATGCGACAACGCCAGTTATTTTGATTTAAAAACTGAACTACTCAATCGATTTTGATGGGATGTCTATGGGACCAATCTGTAAGTATAGTATAATTTTCAGATAAAAAAAAAGAATTATCCAAATCGGTTTATAACTACTGGAGTTATGAAGTAACAATCATAAGAAAAATACAAGCAAATTGAGAATCTTAATTTTTTTTAAATCGATTAAAACAAACTGTAACAAGCGTCTTTTTTCACATAAATTAGGATTAAGATTAAAAGATAGCTTGTTTGTAACCATTTCATATGACGAAAAATAATTTCTTACCTCTTTTTTAGTAAAATCTCAGCATGCATTAATTGCATACGATATCATCAGAAGTCTGGTAAAGATTTCGAAGACGCTTGGCAGTTGACGACTATACAACTCGTGGCTGCAGCCGAGGTGATTTACCTCTATTTTGAATTAAATTACTTATTAATAAATTAAATTTACATAATAATAAAGTTAAAAAAGCAAAGGGAATGCTGATACGATTAAATAACTGCACATTTAAAAATATTCTTAACATTAGTGTTGATATACTCGTAACTCATTATAACTTAATCGGCTACAGATTTGATCTCGTGATTTGATACATGGCTTTACTTAACGAATTTGATATTTTTTTTTCTATTTTGAGGCCTATATCCAACAGTAATATGTAATTAATGCCTTAATCTAAGCCCATTTAAAAAAGTTACAAAGTAAAATTAAAATATTTGAATTTAGAATGTTGATTATTGTGATTAGATTATTCTTCGCAACAAGCAATTTTTTGTTTCACAAAGAAAGAAAAAGCTGCTTCAATCATCACAAAATTAATATGAGACGTTCGTGTTGGACGCAAAAACAACATACTGAAGCAAACGTTATCAATTATAAAGAGAAAATTTAGAAAGTCCCTTAAAAAGCTAGAATATTTTTATTTTATTTTAAATATACTTTCTTTAACAGGCTCACTGTAGAGCGGTCATATACGATACATATTATAATGAGACGATACGCTTGACCGCCTCGTCAAGTCCTAATGTCAAAAGTGTTATGGAGCAACTATGTACATTGTATCTTCTATATTGGTCTTTGGAGAGAACAGGCGATCTTCTAAGGGTAGGTATTTTTTTTTCTTATTTATTAAAATCACTCTTGAAAGTACCTTAAAAAGACATCACTATTTAAGGTACTTTCAAGGGTCATCACACTTATCATTTTACTACCTGGACACCAAGATGACGTCTTTATCAGTTATTTCATGATGACGATCCTAAAATAACGTCTTTATTTAGTCATGCTCCTGCAGTGACTCTAAAATGACGTCTTTCTATAATAATTTTATAGTCAATTCAATACTAAAATTATGTATGTATGTATAAAGATATAGATTTACTATATTGAATTAGGATATAAGTTCATAATTGTTTATAAAGCTACATTGTACATATGTGCAAGAACACAAAGCTGCAGACAAACAGTAAAGCAGTTTTGCGGCACTAAGAATATGCATTGTCTTTGTAACTGTTTACTTGAAATGAATAAATAATATCTTTCACGGGGGGGAAAGGGATTGTTAGTAATGAGGACTGAGAATCCCATTGCTAGCAATATACCCAACCAGGTCGACCTCCTCGCGGTTCTCCCTGGAAACTATCATGGTTAATTCCTGATGAGTTTATCATGATGGGCTAACTGGCCTGTTTTCATTCTCATCTATCACCCTTCACTGGTATTCCGCCCGTGTATCCCGTTAGTGCATGCGGGGTTACCATACCATTTTGACCCATCAAAAAAAAAAAAATATCTTTCACATCTATTGATTAGAGTATAGCAAGTGTTCAATCAAAAGTGTTGCTATTATTAATTCATCAGGCGTCTAGTATCAACGAAAAATATGTCACTTTTGTATTACTAGTTAGGGTTTGTTTAATTGATGAAGAAGTCAATTTACTTTCTTATACCAGGGGTGGCCAAATCGGTCGCGACTATTAGTCCAGTCGATAGTGGCAATGGAGCGAATCGTGGGATGGGCAGCAGTGTCCCTATTAAAACACCACCAAAACCTAATTGCTTTTGTCAACCTGTTTAATTCCGCTTCCGTATGTGCGTGACTGCCAACTTCAGATAATAATAGTGGTGGTCAAATTTCTAGTGTTAGCAGTCAAACACATACTAATTGCAGTGTCAGTGACAGGGTTCGGGAAAGGATTTTAGGATTAGGAAAGGGATGGGTATAAGATGGGCTTCCGGACTTCTTCACTCATCATACGGAATGTGGTCGCACTAAAAGTGGGGCCACTTAGCGTCGGTATTCAAAGTGCTTATATTAAAATAAATTTATCATTCTTATTTATCATTATATCATTGCAGTTTACGTCATTATCGGAGAAGGATATATTTGATCTACAACAAAGATATGAGAAAATGTTGGCGGTGATAAGACCGAATGCTGTGGGCCTTGTCGACGCTTTTGATATCAGAGATGAGGTAAGTACGGGGAATTATGTATTGTTTCCATATTTTATTTGTTAAAACATTTCATGGTGACATATGAAATTTTACATAGGTATTTTTTATATATCGTAAGTAAGCAGTGCGAAAGACCGCCGTGTGGTCCCGGCATAGAATAGATCATCCCATTCTTTCTCGTAGGTGCCATAAGAGACGATTAAGGAAACTTAATGGTCGAGGAATGGGCAGCAGCGGTTGCCAATTTGTCTGTCAAGTGTGGCCACTACTGCTAAAACTCCTCTTATGGGGAAGGCTTATTTAGTTTAGAAAAAAGCGCGAAAATACAAAAGAATTTTCGAAAAATTCTTCGAAGAATATGAACTATAAGGGTTGGGTGCAGCAATACGGTATATTACTCGTATGTACAAGTAGATATATATATATATATATATATATATATATATATATATATATATATATATAATACTACTTGTACATACGTATAATTTTATTTTTTTATTACTTATCTCTAATTATGTATCTAGGTTATTTATACATCAATGTAACATGTATCATTTACACTTTGTACGCAATAAAATTCGTTTCAACGAACCCTATAACATATATTGTATATTATGTGTATAATTGAATTATTTGTAATGTAATTATTATATGTAACGAGTATGTATATATTGTATGTTGCTCGTATATTGGATAGAAGATATATACTGACATTATTGACCCGAATAACACATATATATTTTTTGATGGGTGAAATAGAAATGGTACACTCTAATAGTCTTCGTCTTTCTTATTTGTTTTCGTAATTAACATTTTAGCTACCTGTTACGGAAAATAGTCTATAAATTTATAAAAAAAATATTATTAGTGATTTCTTATACTGTATTCATTTTACGTTTTATCTCATTAATGTTTTTTTTTTCTTTTTAAATAGCTGATTTCATTTCCTCACCCATTAAAATTAAAACGCCATGTTGATTTTTTATTTCTTTAATATAATAAATTATATATAAGTTTTTCTAACTCGCTTAATTGAGAAAATTATAAGATATACGAAAATGTATATGTTTGGCCGTAAAAACATCTAATTATTTAAATTAATGATGACAGTTCAAGTACTAGTATAATTTTTTTAATGACTAGATGATGTAGCCCGGCTTTGCACGGACAGATAGAATTTTCATGTGTTTCTACCTGATAATGTAGCTTTCTATAGGTGAAATAATTTTTATAATAGGTTGTGCAATTTTTGAGTTTATCAGTTACAAACAAACAACCAAATCTTTCCTCTTTATAATAAATAATGATAGTATAGAAGATAAATGTTGTGACGTGTAGAAATGATGACTAGTAAAAGATTGTGGAAGTAAAAGATATTGTATCATGTAATCTTTGCGATAAAATATATCAGCTTATTGTTGCATTTATTGTATAACAAATTACGTTCTTTTAATACTTTGATAATAATGCAAAATTAGAAATACGTAACGTGTAATATTTCAAAAATACATAATTAGATATATAAAAAGCAAATTCGTAGATCACGTTGTTGTCAGGATGGCCGAGCGGTCTAAGGCGCCAGACTCAAGTTTCCCTTGCCCACTAAACGTGGGTTCGAGTTGTTCTGGTCCTCTCTGAGGGCGTGGGTTCGAATCCCACTTCTGACAGACTTTTTGTTTAGCTAGTAATTTTTTTTCTCATTGAAGGTAGTTGTTTTATTTTTAATTTGTTGGGTTTATTTGATTCAATATTTTTGTAATTGTCTCTCTCGCATAGACATCTCGATAATGAAATCTGTCCCATTAATGTGTCTGTCTGTATTTATTTCGGTTATGTGTTTACCGGTCAGTTTCCTCTTTTATATTACCAGAGGGAGACTTTGTACAAAAGTCGATTGCTTGGGTACCTCTATCCCATTCGTGTTTCTACCGTGAAGAAGTTGTGTTTGCATAGTTGTGTTTCGGTTTGGGTGGGATATGGCGTGAATTTACAGAGGCGTGAGGGTACAGAGGAATAACCTGAGTCCTCAGGAATGGCAACGCATGGGCGAAACAGTACACTCTGTTATGTCCATGGTACTCCTCATGTCTATAGGCGACGGTTACCACTTTCCATCAGGTGGCCGTCAGCTTGTTTGCCATTCTAAGTTGTATAAAATAAAAATATTATAATGCCATATGCTGTTGATGTTCCTTTAAATAAATAAATAATGGCGATAATGATATTCCTAAATATTATCACTTCGAAAAAAACTATTTAATAATAAAAAAAAAAATAGTTTTCCTTCCTAATAGTGTAATTTGATAGGAAAATTAAATTACTTACTTGTTTTTATATTCAGATTCTGAATTCGACACTGGGCGCGTACGACGGGCGCGTGTACGAGCGCCTGATGGAGGAGGCCCTCAAGAGTCCCCTCAACGCGGAGCCCGTCAACAGCTCCTTCCACAAGCACCTCAAGCCGTTCATGCAGGGGAAACTGTGAAAATATGTATTTCCTTAGCTTTTTTAATAACACCTTACTAATAAACAGTGTTAAACAGCTTTATATTTATTTGTTTTTATATGTGTGAAAATGGCACGATAAACCTGCCTGCGCTATCGGTATACACTGGCGGAGCACCAATAAGAGATGAGGTGAGGATGAAAGCAGGTCAGTTAGCCCATTGCGGCAAATTCAGCACGATTTAATCACAATGGTTTCGAGGGGGAACAGCGTGGAGGTCGACCTGATGGAGTATATTGCAAGCAATGGGGCTATTACACCCCATTACTAAAAATCCCTTACACCCAATTATTCCTTTTGTGGTGGCGATATTATAGTTGTAGTTTGGTACAGCATAAAACGGGCGATTCCTTCTTTCCCCCAAATGTTGTAAGCAGCAATTAGGGAACATAATGGTCGAGAGATAGACAGCAGCATGCTTCTTGAAATATTAATTTATCATGGAGAGTGTTCTGAGGAATTGTTCGGATTGATACCTGCTGCTGATTTCCACCACCGTACAACCCGCCACAAAACCAAAGTTTCATCCCAATCATCTGGACGAGTGGCAGTCTTCCACCGTGCGTTATTTAAGACACTTTCTTCCACCATTCTTTAGAATCAACTTCCAGCAGCAGTATTTCCGAACCGATACGACAACATAACCTTCAAGAAAAGAGTATATTCCTTTTTAAAAGGCCGGCAGCACACCTGCAATGCCGCTGGTGTTGTGGGTGATCATGGGCGGCGGTAGTCACTTACCATCAGGTGAGCCGCATGCTCGTTTGCCCCCTGTGTTGTAAAAAAAATATTACCAAAATTTAACTGCGGTTGCCAACCCGTCTACCAATCGTGGCAACTACATACTAGCAAAATCCCCTGTATAGTGGAGGCCTGTGTTCAGAAGTGGACAATGAACGGCTGATAAGATCAAGAGGAATAATAATTGTGACAAAAATTCTTAAATAAACTAACATAAGACATAAAATATATTAAAATTAATTTCTAGAAGTATAGTTTATGGGGACATAAAATGCTTTACAGAACCATAACACAATGATTTTAAAATTTTGTCTGTTTGTTTGTTTGTTATGAATTTTTTATAGTATGTATGTTACATGAAAAAAATATGTTTGATATACTGTGATAAGTTCTTGTAACTTTTAAACAAATGTACTCGACAACTTATACTAAAGAATCAATTGGTGTATTTACTCTTATGCACTAATGAATACATTCACATAGTTTGTTAAAATCATGTATTAATTTGCACAACTGTTCTACAGATATTTAAATTCTGTGTACTGTAATAAATTAAGACAACTAACGTAAGGAAACATAATGTGGATTATGTATGTAAATTAATTATATTTTCAAACATTTGCACGCCGACATAGTCATAATGTATATTGGGCATGTAAACTTCTTTCTTCTAAAAATTACCTACATTGTAGCAAAATAAATTAATTTTATTTCTTCGTTTCCGAAATGGGTTAAAATATGATATTTTTACACAGCGATGTATTGTGAAGTGCATTATTGACTCTTTTCTAATATTTCATATATGAAAATAAAAATGTAAAAATGCTATAAAAATATTGTAATATAGGTTTATTTATTTACTTTTATACCACAAAAGTTACAATTGACCCCAACTGAATACAACCCTTCTGGTGGTAAATGGTTACTGTAGCCTATGGACGCCTGCAACACTAGGGGTGTCACGTGCGCGTTGCTAATCTTGAAGAATGAAAAAAAAGGTGGTATATGAACGAAGTTTCGAACAGATTGAGAAATAAAAATTTCATACGTTAAACATTCTCATTATTCTACCTAATTATTACCTACCTAAAAAAACAGCTCCAAACTACGAATAATACAAATATAAAACTTTATCAATCTCTATGTATGTTTGAACGTATCTAGTACTGTGACTATTATTCATTTCATACATGATATCATAATATCATAAAATTATAATATTCATAACACACATGAAAACAGAAATACCTAATACCAAACCAAGTAAATAAACTGTAAATTTATCATTACGCTTGGCATCACGTTAGCGAAGTGCTGTTGACTCCTAACATTTACAGAAACTGTATTCCCTAGGAAAAAAATACTGTGAGATTATTCAAGGCTATTTTCAATGCTTAAATTATAACATATAGATAGAGCATCGAACCCTAAAAAATGGGTCAAATTTTTGTATTTTTTTACTCTTTTTTTATCACTATTCTATATATTTACGCATAAAATGTATCTTGACCTATTAGTTAATAAATAAAATGAGTGTTTACGCATTAAAAAGTTGCAGAATTTACAAGACAAAATAAATATAGAAGTTAACTCATAACTACAGTATATGTTACGCAAAATTCTATGAAAAAGTTGACGCGTTTTTCTCGAAGCATTTCTGTGGAGACACTCAATCTATATAATCTAAGTTCCAATGTATATTTATTTATTATATTGCTATTTACTTATAATGAGATTTATATAGCAAATGATAATTATTGTATGTATTGTACTCAGATAATATTATGTTATACTCGTATCTTATCTATTCTTATAAACTTTACGTGCGTTGCAAAAATGTACATAGTAAGTCAAAGTACGTAATACACAAGTCAGTGTGGATCGAGCAACTACTAAGAGAACAGTGTAGTTGGATGGGTGCAACTTTAGCAAAATGTCTAAAACTGCTGTGAATAAGGATTTAGCATCTGAACGAGCAAAATGTGAGTTCAACGTGGAAGAGTTGACCAACTATTTGGATGGCGGCAGAGAAAACACGGCCAGAAGAAGGCGAATCGGTTAGTACGTTAGCTAGTTGGCATTCTAATCATCATAATAATAGATTTATTTTTTTTTTTATAAAAAATACCGACTTTAAAATTAAACTACTGAACTAATTTTGATAAAATGTCTGTGGGACCAATTTGAAAGTATATATACTTCTGCTTTTAAAGAAAAAAAATTCAAATTCAAAATTCAAAAAGTTCTGAGGTTTTCGAAAAACTTAAAAGTACAATCGAATTGAGTAACACCTTTTTTGTCTATGTAAAAAAGGGAGATTATTAAATTCACTGTGTTTTAGTCGTTTCCGACAATTGTTTTTGGCGAGTTTTAGGAGTGTGAGGCGAGACGCTATGACGCAAGCCGCTAAATGCCCCCTGAAGAAGACTTCCGGATGAAGTCGAAACAATAATTGTCGGAAACAACAAAAACACAGCGAGTTCATTAATCTCTCGTTTTTACATTGTAGGTAACATAACATAGTAACATAATATAGTATTATAAGTAACTTCTCCTTTTTTTAAAGTCGGTTGAATAAATGTTCAGATATGAATTAAAATAAATGTGACGACTGCCATATTATATTTTATTTTTGCTCTAAAATAAGCTAAAGAGTCTACATTGTCGAAAAAGGTCGGTAATAACTGACCCTTTAATATAAATAATATTATTTATTTAATAAACGATTGTTTTTACATTGTTTCTGCCTACCCCAATCGGAGACTAGCGTGTCGGATACGTTTATACAAACGTATTTTCAAATTAAATTTAGTATTTTTTGTTTAATTTAAGCGTGAGAGCTGTTTACTATAAACATATTTCATTTAAACAAGAATTTAATAGAGACAAGCTTAGTTGGCACTGTTTAGTTGTTATTTAAATTCTAATCCTTAATAATAACACAGTTTAAGAAATAACCAATGATCCAACATCTTAAACATATTTCGAACGAATACATAACAAATTTGTCCGTTGGATGCTTGTCGCTTATTGGCGCTTTAATCACTCAACCAATCGTTGTGAACTGTGATTGAATTGTAGGGAAAAAATGCTAAATAAACTTTGTTCTCAAGTCCAAACACAGCATTGCGTTTAAATAAAAATAGAGACTTTGATCGAGCGGCGTATGTGACCTTGACCGGTGCAAGTGCATGATATGATAACTTCCATTACTTGTATTGTTTATTTTCTGATGAAACTATACAGTTTTTTCTACGTAATAAGTATAGTTTACAATTCAAAACAACTGATAAGGTAATTGTGAATTTTTTATTTCTTTCGAGTGAAAAGGTAATAAGTCTGTTTAAAAAGCTGAAGATATTATCTAACCATAGATTATATGAATAGAGTGTCACCATAGAAATGCTTCGAGAAAAATTGGTCAATATTTTCATACAATTTTGCGTGATAAATCGTTATGAGTGATTCCTTTAGAACTTGTATATTTATTTTATCTTATAAATTCTGCATCTTTTTAATGTGTAAACACTCATTTTTTTTATTAAATAATACTTCAAGATACGTTTAACGCGTAAGTATATAGAATACTGATAAAAAAAGAGTCAGTTAATTTGACAATTAGCTGACAAAAAGTTGACCCGTTTTTGAGGTTCGATGCTCTATTTATATAATCTAAGGATCTAATAAATACAAAAAACATAGCAATAAGGCAGAGAATCTTCTTATTCGACCATTCTTATAAAAACATTTCTATAATTTTCTAGAGGACAAAGTATTGAGTGTGGAAGAACTCAAAGACGTAGTACCAGAAGAGTATTTGAGTCATAAAGAAAAATATGAAAATGCAATACGTAAAGCAATACTTTTTTATAAGGTACAGAAAAACTTGGAGGATCCTAAACAGCCGGAAAATGAACGAATCAGGTACGTTAGAGGATTGACCAATATTCCTACAATGTGTTAACAAGATGCTCTTAACAATGATTTTCTTTATATATTTACTTAATTAATGGGTTATGAAGAGGGCTATGCTCGGAGTCTCTGCGTGATAGAATGCGAAATGAGGATATCCACAAAAGAACCAAAGTAACCGATATAGCTCGAAGGATAAGCAAGCTGAAGTGGCAAAGGCTGGTTACATAGCTCGAAGAACCGATAACTGATGGGGAAGGAAGGCTCTTGAGTGGCGACCCCGTACGGGCAAACGCAGTGTAGGACGACCCCCACTAGGTGGAGTGACGATTTGAAATGTATTGCAGGGAGTCTGTGGATGCAAGTGGCTCAGGACCGTTCCTTATGACAGTTTAAGGGGGAGGCTTATGTTCAACAGTGGACGGACAATGGCTGAAATGATGATGATATGATGAACAAAGGCTATATATTATTTACTCAGTTGACTGGCTGAAAAAATAATATGGTAATATTTAAACTGGAAATAATAAACAAGTTGACGCCCCACACAATGTGTGTGGCGTCAACTTGTTTGTTGTGTTGATGTGTGTGAATGTGTGTTGATCATTGTTTTGTACATGAACTGCATTGTAAATCGCGAAATGCAGTGAATTGGTATGGTACATATTCATTGGTATTTCTGAGCACTAAGTTATTATGTATATGTATCGTATATGTGTACGACGCACTTTTTTAATATCCTTTTTAATTTTATTAAAAATAAGTTTTTGTTTATGATTTGAAGTTAGTGTCAGTTTAGTTTTGTTTCGTTCGCATTTTTTTTTTTTGCTTCCTTGGTTTGCTATGTATATTTTTTATAATTATATTATCTTTATAAAAATACTGTGTTTCCATACTAGTATACAGTCCTTTCGCCACACTATTATTTTACTATCATATACCAAACTTAAAATAAAATTCATAAGAATAATTGTTACAGCGAAACAAAGCTATGTGAGTGCAGCTGCTTAGTGGCAGTAACTCGATTGTAATAAGGATTTCCAGTTAGACCACTTTTAATTTTAACCTGTCGCGTTGTTTACACATATTTTAAATAGCGCAATCGGGACTTAACGCGATGAACAAACCTTTCCAGGTACATAATATTAATAGAACGAAATACATGCTTCTTTGTTGTCGACGTTTCGACTTGAATTCCACCACGTTATGGTCACGATAAGACTGAAGTATGTGGAGTTATTAGTACCTGCAAAGGAATTTTCTCCGCGTCGAGTCTCGATAGCATATTTAAAATAGATCACTTTTGCATAACATAGATTAATTTCAATTACTTTTTTTGTAGTTTTGTAAAGAGATAAATTGTAGACTTTGGAATTTTTTTACTGTTCACTATTATACAGAAGAAAGCGTTATGTTAGTCCTAAAAAATCACAAATTTTTGTGATAACGACAGTGCTGTTATAGGCTTCTTTATACATATTACTAATATGTATAAAGAAGTATATATGTATTTGTAAAATGTTATACATATTACATATGTATAACATTTTACAAATACATTATATAGATTCTTTTATTCACTCCGCTGTTTAAATATTTCAAACAACTTAGTAAATAAGAGTCATAATATTATATATGAGTATGATAATGTCATAAAGAGGAAACGTTTGTGTTTTTGTATATTTGTCGTAAACTAATTAACCGATTTTAAAAAATGTTCCACCTAAAGAAAGCTACATTAACAGCGATTAACATGGGCTATTGCTGTGTGTTCGTGTGGTCTCGGCATAAAAAGGGCCACCCCTTCCTTTCCCGTGGGTGTTAAAGGCGACTAAGGGAGGGCTAGGGATGGGCAGCAGCGTCTCTCTTAAAATATCTAAAACCTAACTGTGGTTTCCAATCCGCCTGCCAAGTATGGCAACTATTGGCAAAACCCCTAAGAGGAGGCTTGTGTTCAACAATGGATAGTTAAAGTCTGATATGATGATGATATGATGTACAAAGGCTATATATTATTTTCAAAAATTCTACCTACACCAGCGAAGCCCGGCTAAATTACTAGTGTTAAAATATTGTCAGTTTTCATAATTTGTAATATTAATAATAATACGTCTGTTTTTAGAATTAACTACAGGAATATGATAAATTCAGCAATATTCAAGGACAATTCACCTCTAGCATTGCATTTTGTGATGTTCATACCGGCGATCATAGGACAAGCCAGTGATGAGCAGAGGGACTATTGGTTGAAGAGAGCCAAGAATGTGGAAATTATAGGAACTTATGCTCAGGTGAAATTTATATCATTTGCTCATTTCATACTGACATTAGTACCGAATTCTAAAATTTGGTTATAATTAAATAGTTCGATTTCAATTATTTATTCAAAGATAGAAAATTTTATAAAATTTTCTTAGTAAGGGAGCTTGACAGTTTAGGTACCAATTAGCTCTCTAAGCAATCACAACATACACTTAATAATGAAATTAAATTTTATTATGTATGTGTAAACATAATAAAGTGGACACTTTCTAAGTAATTTATTGCCATTTTGCGAAATTCGACAAGTTTACAAGTAAATATATCCAAGACCGGATACTGGCTCATGGCACCGTTGAGCAAAGTCAGTGCTAGTGGAAAAGGAGCCTGTTTTGTTAGCTCTATTCTTCTCAACGGAATTATATTTCTTAATAGTTAAGAGCGTAACTTACATTTTGCATACGGAAGTGTGGCAACGTTGCTATTATCTGTCAGTTTTAAAAAATCAATATTTCTGATCGATACTTATATGATACTTAGATGAAATTAAGACAAAAATATATATGTTTAGACAGAATTAGGTCATGGCACATTTATTAGAGGCTTGGAAACCACAGCGACATATGACCCTGCTACTGAAGAATTTGTTCTTCACAGTCCCACTCTCACGGCGTATAAATGGTGGCCCGGTGGTTGTGAGTATCTTTTTTGAATTTAGAATGCTGATAATTTCTTTCTGCTCTAATAATAATAATAAACTCTTTATTGCGCACAGTAGAGATGTATACAAGAAGTATTTATACAAAATGTGCATATACAAAAGGCGGCCTTATCGCTAAAAGCAATCTCTTACAGACAACCTAAATCTGTTTTTTGCTGTCCATGATTTGTCAAACAACAGTTCATGTCTTTTGACAACTGTAACCATTTTTCATCAGATGTGTTGTAATCATATTGGGCATGGGCCGTACAAGTTGAAATTTATTCATTATATTGTAAATTAATAGCAATGTCAGCTCCATTGCTACTAATTTACTCAAGAATAACTTCACAAATAATAACATTAGATATATACATATAAATATATGTAACTAATAATATTTGTTTGTGTAGTGGCCCATACTGCTAACTATTGCGTGGTAATGGCGCAGCTGTATACGAAAGGCAAGAGTTGTGGCATCCAACCATTCATGGTACAAATTCGCGACGAGGAAACACATATGCCTTTACCCGGAATAAAGTTAGGTGAGATTGGAGCTAAACTTGGATTTAATACTGTAAATAACGGATTCTTGGGTTTCGACAATCATAGAATACCCAGAGACAGAATGCTTATGAAGAATGCACAAGTTTCGAAAGTAAGTAAATTAAATCTTTTAAACGTAAAAAAATATTCGTAGTGTTTCTTTTGCAGAGTAAGCGTTAAAGTACGTATATATTCAAAATATAGTACATTTGTTACTATAGAATGCATAAAATGTAGTATTAATAGTTGTTGCACTTTAGCTGTCCGCTAACGAAATGCTTTCTTACTGTGCTGGGTTGATTGGAAGAAATCTCTGTTAGAGATAAGTCCACCCTTGCTCACAATATTTATAAATGAATTAACAATGCAATTTGCAAGTGCAATAAAGAATCTATAATAGAATCTTATTAATGTAATAGAATTGTAACTATATGACGTCTGTACATGAGAGATATTTAAGAAAAAAAACAATATGAGGGATCTTCATAAGGCTCTGGCATCGTTTTTTTTTTAAACACAGGTGGCAAACGAGCATGCGTCTTACCTGGTGGTAAGTGACTACCGCCGCCCATGATCACCCACAACACTAACGGCATTGCGGGTGTGCTGCTGTCATGTAAAAGATACTGTACCAAATTAGATGCGGTTCTCACAGTTATGTTTTTAAAGGTCTAACTAAAAATTTTGTATATACATACACCATCTAGAACTGGTCCATTTCATTGCTTTACTTATTTTTCACATTCATGCGTACCAAGTAGCGGGTGAATAGAAAAAAAGTTTTAATAAATATATTTTATAAATAGAGATAGTAATCCTTTTTTGAACCGTGCTTATCGCTATCGCAAATAGAGAAACAAAGCACAAAACTGTTGCAAGCGAAGGAGAAACACAGTGATAACTTTGAAGTCGCAGCTTTAATTTAATTCCTTTCAGGATGGTACATTTACAGCTGGAGCCAATAGTAAATTGACGTACGGTACTATGGTATATGTGAGGGTTTTAATAGTCAATAATATGGCAAATTTCCTAGCAAAAGCAGTCACTATTGCCGTCAGATACTCAGCTGTTAGAAGGCAATCGAAGTTGAAGCCTGAGTAAGTATATGTAATTAAATATAGTGTCCCATATAAAAAAAAACCGACTTTCGTTGAAACAAAACCAGTTATTTTGATTTAAAAACTAAATTACTGAACCGATTTTGATAAAATTTCTATGGCATCAATCTGAAATATATCTTTTTAGATAAAAAAGAGAATATGAAATAACAAACATAAAAAATACAAACAAATGGAGAACCTCCTTCTTTTTGAAGTCGGTTGAGAACTTTACATTACATTATATATAATATATGTTGTGCGGACTTAAATAAATTATCTCGGGCTATATAGAAAGTATTCTATCTCTGATATCTATCAGTTCATATTTTCATTTCGTATGTAAACGTTTTTACATACGTTACGTACTTTTTTTTTTATACAACTTACAATGATAAACAAGCTGACGGCCCACCTGATGGAAAGTGGTAACCGTCGTAGGCGTAGGACGACGTAGACATGAGCAGTACCATGGACATAACAGAGTATACTGTTTCGCCCATGATACCCCCATGCGTTGCCATTCCTGAGGACTCAGGTGTGTCTTCTGTACCCTGTAAATTCACGCCATATCCCACCTTTCAAACCGAAACACAGCCATGCAAACACAACTGCTTCACGGTAGAACCACGAATGGGACAGAGGTATCCAAGCAAACGACTTTTGTACAAAGTCTCCCTCCCTCCCACAAATTAAACCACTAAAATTGATAATTTTCAATATAGTGCCAATAGTTTCTTTAAGCTGTTAATATTTAAAACTGTGAAAATAATATTTTTGCTAAAGATCCTTATGTTTTTTTACAGGGATCCCGAACCGCAAATCTTAGATTACGTAACTCAACAGCACAAGCTGTTTATCGGCATTGCAACAAGTCACGCGTATTCCCGTACAGCGTTGTGGCTTTGGGATCACTACGCTAAAGTGACCAGTGAGTTGAATGCTGGAAAATTGGACAATTTGCCTGAGGTAATGAAGAATGTCTAGATTTTTACAATATTAGGTATATTTATTGTTTGTAGATTATGCGATTATGTTGGCAATAAGTTGTTATATAGTTGCATGAAAATTAACTTTTAAAATTTACGTTTATTGTTAACGTTTATTTTTTTCATGTTTTATATTTTTTTGGATTGGATTCGATTTTCAGTATTATTAATAAAAATATAATATAACACATTATATCATACATATATACGAGTATATATGTTATGTTAACATATATGTTCTTATTTTATTCTCTTTTATTTTCAGCTCCACTCACTAGCGTGTTGTTTGAAAGTTCTGAGTGCAACTGACGCTGCTGTGTTGGTCGAAAGAAGTCGCCTAGCCTGCGGAGGACATGGCTACATGCTGTCCTCTAACCTGCCTCAAACTTACGGCCTTGTTACACCTGCTTCCACATATGAAGGAGAAAATACGGTGCTTTTACTACAAGTTGCAAGGTATTGTATTTATTTTGTTCATGACTTGGAAAATGATCATGTTACTTTATTTCAATATAGAATTTGAAACCTTACATTGTGTAGATACAGTATCAAGCCTCAAAAACGGGTTAACTTTTTGTCACCTAATTGTCAAATTAGCTGACTAATTTTGTTATTAATATTTTATATACTTAAACATACAATGTATCTTGACGTATCTATATTAATTATTTAATAAATAAAATGAGTTTTTTACGCATTAAAAATATGCATAATTTATAAGACAAAATAAATATAGGAGTTATAAAGGAATCACTTAGGAATAAATATTTATCACGCAAAATTGTGTGTAAAAGTTGACCCGTTTTTCCCGAAGCATTTGTATGGAGACACTCTATCTATATAATTTAAGTTCGAAAAATATATAAATTGCAATATTTTTCAGGTCTCTAGTAAAGGCATGGCAACAAATGTTGAAGGGTAAGCCGTTAACGCCATCTATGTCGTATTTGGCTGATCAGAACCGAATAGATCGATGGGACGGATCAGTTAATGGCATCATTAGGGCTTTCCAAAAAGTAGCTAGAGGGTAGGTTTGTTCCTTTTATTTGTAAATTAATTAGTTTGATTTAAAAAAAAAAAAACTTAATTATTATTTTTATTTTAGCAAAATAGCGTGGAGTGTGACTTGCTTTGAAAAATATCAGAAAGAGGGATTGTCATATGAGGATGCATGGAATAAGGCTTCTGTACAACTCACAGCTGCCGCAGAAGTTAGTATATACTCGTACTTAGATAATATACTTTGTTTTTTTTTTATTAGAAATCCAATATTCAATTTGCAATTTCTATTACGATATATATACATCTAGGTGAATAATTAATGATTTGAATATTGGCATATTGATTGGTTTTTAGTAAAAGAGCCTAGTAAATTGTTTTTTGATTGACTATATCTATTTTATAAGAAGGTGTGTTACTTTGTTTGTTGTGTAAGTTTTCATGTATGTCATTAGGTTTTCCTAAGGTATTGATATATTTATTACGTGATATCTAATGCGGATTTTCTATAATATTCATCTGCAACGTATTAGTTTTTTTTTTATTCTTTATATTTCTGCCACTTAGCTAAACTGTAAACTAAAAGCAACAGCTTTGCTTAGCTTGTGTTCCGACATCAGAAGTAAAATATGTAAATTACTGTGTACTGTGACTCAAGATCTATAAGGTTAGACCACATACGAGAATAACTCTAGAATTGAAACAGTAATAACGAGAGAAATGTACATTCTTATTGTTACAGCACTTAGTTCTAGTCGCTGTAAAAATATAATATAGTCTCATTAATTGCATTATTTCGACAGTCCCATGGCCGTGCCATCGTCGTTCAGGTCTTCAAGGCTGAGACAGACAGGACAACATCATCATTGTCATTACCACTGAGGAAGGCCCTTGATCAGCTCGTTGAGTTATTTACCTTGTACTGGGCTTTAGAGAGACTCGGCGATTTATTACTGGTGAGTTTAGTATCCTCGGTTATTTCACATTATTATAATTGTGTTATTCCACATTGTTTTCTTTAAAATTGTCAAACTGATTGTCTTTGTTTATACAACTTAAAATGGCAAATAATCGGCCCAATAGATGGAAAGTGGTAATCGTTGTCTATAGCAATGAACATTACCATGGTCATAATAAAGCGTAGTGTGTCATTCTTGAGTACTTAGGTGGTAGGTCTCTGTTCCCTGTAATTTCACTGCCATATCCTACTTTTCTGAAACATAGCCATACAAGTAGAGCTACTTAACGACAGTAACACTAAAATCTTAACCTTGAATCAATGAATGAATGAGTTTACTTTATTTGCATTATACAATATAGGAAATAAGCAAGGCAATTTACAAACACAACGATACAATTGTATAAGTACAGTAAGGCGGTCTTATTGCTGAGAGCAATCTTTTCAAGACAACCTTAAGGTAATGGACTAATAATAAAACCTTCTAAAATTAATGCAGTAAAGTAAAAAAAAAAATAATCTGATAATAGAATCATTGTGGAAATAATTTATATCGGCGTTCATTTTATTTGTCAAACTCGATTGGTTATATATATGATCAAAGATATTGCAATGTAGAAATATTATATAATGATGGAAAATCTTCATCCATTTTATTATTATGTGTTCATAAGTGTAATAAAATATTCAAGTGGGAATAAAATATCCTGAGTTGGGAGAAAGAATTCATTTAAAGTTATAAATACATAAAATTAGACAAATTTATTTATTCATTTATTTAGGTTCACCAACAATTGTTTCCATAAGATAGTAATAATATGGTAATATTTATAAATATTTATATTATACAATTATAGAGCTTGGAACTAAGTGTAACAATTTTTTATTAGCAAACACAGCATATATTGATACTAATAATTAGTACAGAGAAAACAAATGTATAATGTTTACAACTATTATTAAATGTTTAACAACTAAAGCCACCATATCCATAAGCAGATCCAGCAATACGACTCATGTTATACATTTGTAGCCATTTCGTACGAAAGCATTTGGACTATCACAAATTAATATCGACCTCGTCACTGCAGCTATTTATAACTTAAAGATTTACTATTATTTTATTCTGTTTAGTATACACCACTATCGGAAGGCGATATTAGAGACATGCAGACCAGGTATGAGGAGCTTCTGGAGAAGATCCGACCCAATGCTGTGGGGCTCGTTGACGCATTCGACTTTAGAGATGAGGTACCTATCTCAAATTTTATATATTTTTACTTTTAATGAAATGTAAATTCAACTCTTTTTTCCGCGCTTAGCCTCTCATTTGGGCCGTTGTGCGTATGTATGTAGTATTTATATTTATTTTATTTTATTAAAGTTCCAGATTTCAATATAAATTGTGTAGTCCTTTTAATCGTACTCGACTTTTTGTTTTATTTAACTAATTGTTAATATTATATTTCTTTTATAAAATATTTATTTTTATTAATTGTTATTTCTTATTTCAAAAAAATCAAGTAAAAAGAATAGGAAAGGTTTTGAAAACTTTAAAAAATATTCATTAGAGATTACATATCTATCTACGTATGCGGGATTAATTGATAAGAACATGTTGGTAGTGACGTAAATATCAATTGATTTACAAGTGATTTACCACTGATTATTAATACGAGATAAATGTTAATCCATATACTAAATAGAAACAAAGAAAATAAATAGAAATGGCGCGGCAACCCATTAACTTAGTACGTGCAGTGTTAAATTGACGTTATTAAACCTCTTATAAATAAACTATTTTCTTACTGCATAACGCATAAACATAGATATGACTCCATATCTACTCCTTTATTTTTTTTTTTAAATAACTGTTACTTAGATATTTTAGTGTGTTCTCTAAGTCTCTAAGTTCTGTAGTTTTTTCTAACCTGATTTAATTTAACCTTCGTTTTCCATTTTAATGTAAATATCTTTTTTTTATAATTGTTCATTACAGATTTTGAATTCTGCACTGGGCGCGTACGACGGGCGCGTGTACGAGCGCCTGATGGAGGAGGCCCTCAAGAGTCCCCTCAACGCGGAGCCCGTCAACAGCTCCTTCCACAAGTACCTCAAGCCGTTCATGCGGGGGAAACTGTAATTGTGTATTTATAACTGTTACATTTACGAATGGAACCAAATATTTAATTTAATCATGTCTATAGCTATTTATAAGAAAAATACTTATTATGTTGAAAAATAAATGTGGTTTTCTTTATTTCATAAATAACATACCATACCATATCAGCCGTTAACTGTTCACTATTGAATATAGGTTCTCCTTCATAAGGGGAGTTTTTGGGGAGGAAAGGGACGCTGTTGTCCATTCCTTGATCATTAGGCCCCCTTAGTCGCCTCTTATGACATCCACGGGAAAGGAAGGGATGACCCATTTTATGCCCGGATCACGCGGCAAATACACTTCATAAATAAACAGCTATAAATATTTATCGTCTGTACGTAACTTTTTAATGGTATTTCATCACATTGTTCTATCTAAATATGTAATTAAAGTATTTTTCAAATAAAGTCAGTTAAACAAACGACAAGTATTTTAAGCGATATAGACGAAATAACAGTATCTGTATAAAAAAAATAATTTGAGACATTTAATATTTTTATTAATCAAAACTTTCATAAACAGTCTTAAAATAAAGTTATATATATCTCATAATATTTTTTATACAACTTAGAATGGCAAACAAGCTGACATGAAAAGTACCGTGGACTTGCTTAGATATAGAACTACGTACAAGTATTTGAAATAATATAGTCCACATAATGAATTTCCATTAACAAGTTAGAATACAAATAGTGAATAACAGATAAATGTTCAGATTTTAAACAAACTAGACTTACTTGTTAACTCATTATTAATTGTACAAGTATAAGGAAGTAAAACAACGAGGTGATGCATAAATTGCATAATTTCTAGTTGCGTGAGTAGGTTCCTACATAACTGCATAGATATTCTGTACCCGGTTGTAGTATTACCACAACAATTACTATAACGGAATATCAGTGTTTTGCTTTTTCGAGGGCAATGCAGTAAACTTAGGGCCTACCATGAAATGTTTTCCGAAATTTCGGAGCCAAACGAAACACAAATTTGATGTTAAAATTACATAATACTAGCCGTTTGGAAAAATTAAAAATGTTAAAATATCGTTCCTTTGGACTTTTATGATAGGATGTATGACGAACGAAATGTTAAACTACATTTATTGGTCCGATTTTGGTATAAACAAAAACACGAAATTGAGTCCGAAATTTCGGAATTTCATTTCATGGTAGGCCCGCTGAGTTGTGACCATTTTTGTATTGCTATAGCACACGCATGAAAGGAAAATTATTTTAATACTTTTATGTATTTTTCTTTTTGTAATATGTATTCTTTTATTTTTATCTCTTTTTCTATGTATGTCTATTTATGTCTGTTATTATTTGTGTGCTGCAAGTAATGAATATAAATTATATACATTTTATTTATCAACCACGTTCATTGATCCCAATACGCAATACGTTTTCCTGATAATTACAACTCTTATCTCTTAGGTCTTTAGGTACACAGATTTTATACGTGCGTATAGTTCAGACATAAAAAAAAAACAATATTCTTATTACTACTTACAGTAAGTCTCCTCTAATAAACTAAATGAGGCGCCTATCTTATCATTTGTAATGAATTGTGCCCGCTATGTGATAATATATCAATTTTATTATATGGGCACACGAGAAATAGAGAGCACTGTACGCTCAGCAGGTATTAAACGAGTTACCACTTAGATGTGTGATACTGTAGTGAAATGGCTAAAATTACTGTGAATAAGGATTTAGCGTCTGAGCGAGCGAAATGTGAGTTCAACGTGGAAGAGTTGACCAACTATTTGGATGGCGGCAGAGAAAACACGGCCAGAAGAAGGCGTATGGGTTAGTTCAACTTTTTGTAACTGCTTGTATTTTTGAGTGTGTGAAGTAAAAATATATGCAACGGTTTATTAGTGGGCTAAATTTTGTGGAAATATATACAGCTGTCTGTATTTGATTAAATAACAAACGTCTTATAGTAAATCTACGGAGGTAGTACATGTGTGTTCTATTATTTTTAAACTGATATTAATTTTTAATAATATTTACATATATGTACAAGTACAATGGGAATATTATAAATGTGTGTGCGTGTGTGTGTTTGTTGTTACCAAATAAATTCCAAAATGAATCTAGATAAAGTTGAAACAATTGTCGGAAATGACAAATACAGTAAGTTCATAAAATTGTAATTAAAAATACTTAAAAATTCATAAAATACTTAAAAATTCATAAAATACTTAAAAATTCATAAAATACTTAACAATTCATAAAATACTTAACAATTCATAAAATACTTAACAATTTATAAAATACTAATGCTATAAATGTGAAAATGAGTTTGCTTATTAGTTTATTTGTTTATAAATTATAGCGGCTTAACAGCTTATCCAATCACTATGAAATTTGAAACCTACTATATGGATGGAAAAGCATATTGGCTATTTTTAAAGTAAACATATACATTTACAATAAACATATTTCGGTCTCGCGGCCGAAGTCTAGCTAATAAAGTTGGATTCCAAACTCCATGGAGTACCAACAATCTCTAGCATCAATAGTCTTATCAACTTTCATACATGTAATGTCAGTGAAACAGAAAACGCTATTTGCTTCAGATAGACGCATTATTGTATTGATTTAGTTGACTGATAACAATTATACTCGCATATCGTCACAGTCGTAGAATACTGACGGATCTGACAAATATTACATATAAAGATCCGTCAGTATTCTACGACTATGACGATATATAAGTAATCTAAGCTAATGTGGTGAAGAGGAAAGATTTAATAATTTGTATATTTGTTTGCAATGGATAAACTCAAAAACTAACTTAACTGATTTTGAAAATACAGTCACATATATAAAGCTGCAATAATATTGTTACTAATACTGTGTTAAGTTAGGGGTTGACTGCAATTTGTTATAATAAAACATTTCTTTACCAGTAAATTATCATCATCATCATATCTATTTATTTTATTTATTAATTTTTTGGAAAACGTACAGTTGAATGACAATCAACATATTTTTTAAGATATACATAGTTTTTACATATGCATATATATATATATATATATATATATATATATATATATATATATATATATATATATATATATATATATATATAATTATATTATGTTTATTTATATATATATAAAATGATCAAAAGCTTTTCACTGTTCACTACAGAACATAAGCCTCCTCCTTGAGTCAGAGGTTTTGTCAGTAGTTGTCATGCTTGGCAGACGAATTTGGCTCTTGTGTCTGTGTCTGTGTGGTTTGTCTTTTGGTCTACCTTAGTCGCCTCTTACGATATCCACGGGAAAGGAAGCAGTGGCCTATTCTATGCTGGGACTACATGAGATTACTAACATTCATTAAATATACGCTAAATACAATATGAATGACGTGAGATTGTGTTTCACAAAAAAAAAAAAATATCAACTTCGATTATAGCAAAAAAAGTTACTTTGATTTAAAAAGTAAATTTTTCAAACGATTTTTATAAGATTTCTAGAGATCAATCTGTAAACATGTATTTTCGAATATATGTTTACAGATTGATCTCGAGTTTCTCTCGAGTTTGTTACTTGAGTCCCGTCAGTAGTAAACCGATTTACTACTGACGGGACTCATGTAACAAACATAAAAAAAGTATAACTGCATCAAGAACTATTCTTCTTTTTAAAGTCAGTTGATAAATCATAAATAAAAAGGTATGTAATTAAAAATCAAAATTTTTTTTTAATAACTTTCTAGAGGACAAAGTACTAAGTGTGAAAGAACTCAGAGATGAGATACCAGAGGAGTATTTGAGTCATAAAGAAAAGTATGAAAATGCTATACGTAAAGCAGTATTATTTTACAAAGTTCAGAAAAGCTTGGACGATCCCAACCAGTCTGATCATGAACGAATCAGGTACGTTCGGTTAAACTTTAACAGTCTAACAGAGTTAACCTCTAACACCCAACACTTTCTAAACTTTTTAATATTAATAACTTTTTGGATCTATTAGGAAAATTGATTTTATCCCAACTTTAAAATGCTGTAAATACAAACAATAGAAGATTTGCTTGTTTTTTCAAATATGTGTATTAACCACAAATTGCACGTTGAAGGACTGTAAATTGTAAATAAAAGGTGTAAATATTTTAACGTTTTTATACGTATATAAAGAATATATAAACAATGAATTAAGTAAAAATAGTTAGTGTGATGTGATGTGAATTAGTTCTTAATTATGAGGTTCTATTTTTACTATGTCAGATACGGAAACTAGGTGCTAGAGGAGTCACCAGTACTTCTTATGAACAATGAACAACAAGTATGTCTTTGCACTTACTATGTACACATGTTTGCAAATAAATCTATCTTTGTCTTTATCTTTATAAGGTACAGGCATAGTGACGACTTTGTTATTGAAATTGATATGAAAAATTTCTAGTTAACAAAGATTTTTAGTTTGCTTAACTGTTTCGGATATTTAATTTAATTTAATTTATTACAATGTAGGTTCCTTTGTTACTTAACTTTGTTGTTGTAATTAATTGTATTCATATTAATTTTTAGAAACAGCTATAGAAGTACAATTACGTCAGCTATTTTCAAAGATAACTCACCTCTAACGTTACATATTGTAATGTTCATACCGGCCATCATAGGACAAGGTAACGATGAGCAGAGAGAGTATTGGTTGAAGAGAGCTAAGAATATGGAAATTATAGGAACTTATGCTCAGGTAAAATTTCTGTCAGCACCAAATTCTAAAATTTGGCTAAAACTAATTAGCTATATTTAAATTATATTTATTAAGGTAAGGGTGTTCATAACTTTAGCTTACAGAAGTATGGTAATCTCAAAAATCAATTATATATCAATTTTGTCAAAAATGTTGAAAATTGTTAAATTGTTTTTAATGTAACAATTTTCAACAATTTTGGCTGATTATTTAACTAGCTAGAGAACTTGAGATTCTTTAAAGAAGATTTAGAAGAAGATTATTCTTAAGATTAATATTTGTATACTTAGATGAAATCAAGACAAAAATATTTATATTTAGACAGAATTAGGTCATGGCACATTTCTTAGAGGCTTGGAAACCACAGCGACATATGACCCTGCTACTGAAGAATTTGTTCTTCACAGTCCCACTCTTACCGCGTATAAATGGTGGCCTGGTGGTTGTGAGTATCTTTTTGATATATTAAATATTCTCTCAGTTACTCACACATGTTATTAAATAAAGAATAGTTTAGGTAGAAGTGCCAATATGTAAGTAAGTAAATAAATTCATGAACAAAATTAAAGGCAAAAATTTGGAGTCATACACTCTGTCCATAATTTCACATATTAGCCTCAATTAAATACCTATATCTAATTTAATAAAGTCAATGTAGAAGCCAACAAAGTTGAACATTTGGTTTTTGTCGGTAGTTTGTTTTGTTGATTAAATTGCTTTAATTATTGATGATAATTTTATTTAACTATTTTTTTTTTAATTTCATATTCGATGCCAAGATGTTTTAGTTTCATTTTTCATTCGAAAATGTGATTAATATTTTGAATTTAGTCACTGAATTTAGTCTGTGTTTAAACAGTAGCATGTAAAATTTTGGATTAGAGACATAAATCTTTAGAAGAGGAATTATGATCACATTTTCTTTTCTGTTATTTAGTTTTTATTTTCGAACATTTCTCTAATTTCGTGTATTTGTTTGTGTATGATATAAACTAAATGTTTATTTATGTAGTGGCTCACACCGCAAACTATTGCGTGGTAATGGCGATTCTTTACACAAAGAGCAAAAATTGTGGAATACAACCTTTCATAGTACAAATTCGTGACGAGGAAACACATATGCCTTTGCCTGGTATAAAGTTAGGCGAGATTGGAGCTAAACTCGGATACAATACTGTGAATAATGGCTTCTTGGGTTTCGACAATCATAGAATACCCAGAGACAGAATGCTTATGAGGAATGCACAAGTATCGAAAGTGAGTATGTACATAAATTCTTATATACAAGCATAGAAAAATTGTTACATTATACCTACTACAAGCTTAATTAAATAAGGGCTTATGATTCAACGTAAATTATGTCAGTTTACATTTTCTGTATACCAATATTTGTTAGATGATCATGATTTCGTTCAAAGGGACTTTAGACATGTATTCGAAATATATTAGTGTACTAATTTCTTGCCCACTACTTATGATTTTCAGAAGTATTATAACTAACAAAAGAGATCACTTCTAGATAGTGTATCAAGATAATACATACCAAATTTTAAGCTCGACCTTCTGAAAACAACAGTGTAGACCGCATTCAATTTGGTGTAGTAGTTTTTGCGTGACATCGGAACAAGCATACATACAGACAGACGAAATTTCCTAAAAAAATATTGTATTCTTGTATTATTAGAATCACTCATATCAATTTTTCTTAAATAAGTCCCTTTTATATTGTCTATTTACAATTTTATCACATTTATAAGTAAGATTATGCCACGTTTTATGTAAAAGTATTTTAATATTCGGAAGAGCGCTCTAGATTAAAGGAACTGTGTCACTGTAGAGTTTTTTTTTGTAATTAAATATAATGATCAGTTAGTAATTAAAATTCAAAATTTTTAAAATTCAATATTAAATAATTTTCAGGATGGTACATTTACAGCTGGAGCCAATAGTAAATTGACGTACGGTACTATGGTATATGTGAGGGTTTTAATAGTCAATAATATGGCAAATTTGCTAGCAAAAGCAGTCACTATCGCCATCAGATACTCAGCTGTTAGAAGGCAGTCGAAGCTGAAGCCTGAGTAAGTAATAATAATTAAATGGTATCTCATAAATAAACATATCGTAGAATGCTGACGGATCTGACAAATATTAAATCTATATCTATATCTTTATCTATATATATATATATATATATATATATATATATATATATATATATATATATATATATATATCCGTCAGTAGTATTCTACGACTATAACGATATTATATTATTTTTATATTAATCCACAATTTACTAGCAACTTCAAGTGGTGTTTATAGACAATTGTAAAAGAGTGAAATAGATTATTGAGAAATGACCATTCTAGCTCAGGATAATATTTCTGCTAAATTTCTTCCTTTTTTTTTTACAGGGATCCCGAACCACAAATCTTAGATTACGTAACTCAACAGCACAAGCTGTTTATCGGCATTGCAACAAGTCACGCGTATTCCCGTACAGCGTTGTGGCTTTGGGACCACTACGCTAAAGTGACCAGTGAGTTGAATGCTGGAAAATTGGACAATTTGCCTGAGGTAATGAAGAGTTTCTATAATTTTACTAGTATTATTCAGTATTACTATTTTGCTATTTTTTATTTTGCTATTTTATATATTATTTTGCTGTGCTTGTGTAATTAAATGATGGTTTTATACCCCAATTTCATTTTTTGATCTTCGAGGCAAATTTAATCTCTAGTTCCACTAAAAACATATATTAGATTTAGATAGATAGACGAACTCTTTTTTTGCATAAAAAAATACAGATATATTGTGAAAATGGTAAAGAAAACAGTGTTTAACATAACATAATGAACAAAATTTTATATATAACAAAATACGTAAATTGTAATATATGTGTCACAGTGATGCAAAACGGCAATATTGTGAGTTGTTTGCTTAATATGTAAATCACTGATTTATTTATTTATTTACTCTTTATTGATTATTTATATTTTTGCATTTATTATCCTTTTTATATTTTTAGCTGCATTCTCTAGCATGTTGTTTGAAAGTATTGAGCAGTGTTGACGCTGCTGTTTTTGTCGAAAGAAGCCGCCTGGCCTGCGGAGGACATGGCTACATGCTGTCCTCTAACCTGCCTCAAACTTACGGCCTTGTTACACCTGCTTCTACATTTGAGGGAGAAAACACTGTGCTTTTGCTACAAGTTGCAAGGTACCTCCAGTTCAGATAGATAGATATTTTTTTTATTCACCATTACAAGCACACTATGTTTGAACTTACAAACATAATATGGATACAAAAATGGCCTTATGATCATAATGAATGAATATAAAAATAATTATTAATTTCAATTTCATATTTTTTATTTTGGATTGTATTAATGATAGTATCACCATAAGAATAATTTTAAATTTATTCATTTTAAATTTTATTAATTTATTCTGATTCAATACATATAGCACGATTCAAGTATACACATAGATCTTACACAATGTGATGGCTTTACAACTAGAACATATTAAATCTTAAGATCAGACCAGAAAAATTAAAAAAAAAAGTAAAAAAATGAATAAAAAAAAAACACTAGTTATTCTGTGAAACAAATAAGTGACCTAGCAAAGTTAGTTTTTACATTAAAATAGTTAATTCTTACAGTACTCGTATTCGCAACAGCATAATAATGTTTCATAGCTGAACATTGGTCTACTAACATTTGGGCAATCTATATGTTGGATATTATTATACTATTAGATACTATGGTCTGATAGTATTGTACTGAGTTTTAAGTTTTTAGTATCTTACACTGATGCATAGTGTTGGATCATACGATATCTAAAGAATGAATAAGTGTGAAGAGTTATATTACAAAACTAGCTGTATTTAATGGCTTTACCTACGTAAATCGGTACATAAAGTATCCTACGTGTTAAATTATGATATAACCTAATCATGTACCAAATTTTATACAAATCCGATCAGTAGTTTTTGTGTGAAAGAGTAACAAATATCCATTTATCCTTACAAACTTTCGTTTTTAATAGGATTAAGATAAATTGTTGTTATTGTTAAATTATAATAAGTGAAGTGAGATATTTTTTTAGGTCACTAGTAAAAGCGTGGCAACAGATGTTGAACGGTAGACAATTAGCGCCCTCTATGGCGTACTTGGCTGATCAGAAACAATTGGATCGATGGGACGGATCAGTTAATGGTATCATTAGGGCTTTCCAAAAAGTAGCTAGAGGGTAAGTGTATTTATTTAAATTATTGGAATTATTTTATTTATTTACTCTCTATTTCGCCACTTAAAATAAAAATTATTACATTTAATGTACAAAAGGCGGTCTTAGTGTAAAAGCAATTTTTTCCAAAAAATTTTTGGGAAAAGAAAAGAAAAAAGATGGCAACTAGTATAATTTGTATGTTTTAAAATAATATAAAGTATATAAAGATATTTTAAATATTTTCTTTGTTAATTAAACGGATAAAATTATTTCAATTTATTCTAATATTATAAATAGAAAGTATTTGATTGTTTGTTTGTATATATAAAACTAAAATATATATATAAACTTAAAAAAATACATAATCGATTCTTTCACTTATAGAAAGTTACATTATCAGCGAGTAATAGAATTAGGCTATATATTATTTTAGAAAATACTGTCAACCCACGCAAAGCCGGGCCGGGTCGCTAGTATTTTACTATTGGTAATTGAATTATTTTTGTTTACAGTAAATTAGCATTCAGTGTGGCTAACTTTGAAAAGTATCAGAAAATGGGGTTATCACGTGAAGACGCATGGAATAAGGCTTCTGTACAATTGACAGCTGCTGCTGAAGTTAGTAATTTATTTTGTAATATGGCTTAAATGAAATATAATATGATAGCTATGTATGAATATAGCGTATTAAGTGGTTTGATTAAGAAAGTTAAAAAAGGTTTAGTTAAAAAAAGTCGGAGTGGCAATGGGCTGGTCACATAGCTCGAAGAACCGACCACCGAAAAGGAAGAAAGATTCTTAAGTGGCGACCCTTACTCTTACTTATTCATTGGAAAGGAAGGGGTGGCCTATTCTATACTGGGAGCACACGGTAAATTTTAGTAGAAACAATATATAGTATATAAAAGTAGCAATTTTTGCAATACAATATTTAATAAATATTGGCCATAAAGGAACATAATAGACAGTCATCTGCACACGAATCTGTAGTATTCGTATTATATGTTCTTGATGTTATGTAACTATGCAGATAGCAGAGGGAGACTTTGTACAAAAGTCGATTGTTTGGGTACCTCTGTCCCATTCGTGTTTCAACCGTGAAGCAGTTTTGTTTGCATGGCTGTGTTTCGATTTGAAGGTTGGGATATGGCGTGAATTTACTGGGTACAGAGGAATAACACCTGAGTCCTCAGGAATGGCAACCCAGGGGGCATATCATGGGCGAAACTGGTACTGCTCATGTCTATAGGCGACGGTTAGCACTTTCCATCAGGTGGGCCGTCAGCTTGTTTGCCATTCTAAGTTGTATAAAACAAAATCCGAGTGAGATATGGTATAGCAGTGACTGAACTTCACGTCACTGAGCATCATGAGATATTAATTGATTTGCTTTATCCAGTCCCACGGCCGTGCCATCGTCGTGCAGGTGTTCAAGACTGAGACAGACCGGATAGCGTCATCGCTGTCACCGCCGCTGAGGAAGGCCCTTGATCAGCTAGTTGAATTGTTCACCTTGTACTGGGCTTTGGAGAGACTCGGCGATTTATTATTGGTGAGTTTTGTAGACAAAAATATAGAATTTTTTTCCTAGCTTCTTTCCCGCTACTTCGTACATGAGGATTTCAAAAGTAGGAAAACCAATTAAACAAAATACTTTTTGATGGCGTATAGATAGATAGATAGATATAATTTATGTGCATTACAGCGCATAAATAATAATAGGTATACACAGTTAAAAGAGATAAAAGAATGTGTATACAAAAAAAAGTAAAATATATAAAGTAAGTAACAATTATTTCTTTCATACGTGTGCTACAGTAACATAAAAAGGTCACAACTTATTTTATTGTTTTGCCCAAAAAGTATAAAATATAAATCAGATGTTAAGTTTGATCTTGAAAAACATAATTGTGAAAACTGCATTCAGTTTGATGTAGTAGTTTTTGCGTGATGCCAGAAGAAATATACACCTATCCCCCGATTTACACGGTACTTGTTTTACACGTTTTCGCTTTTACACGGTTTTCCAAATAAGTTTTTTTTTTTTGTTTTTATCGCACTCTACTAAATGCTACTGTGTTTGAACACGTGCGCTGTGTACACATCTCACGGGGAATCCCGAGCTTATATGCTGACTTGCTACACATGCACACTGTGTCTGTATTTCTTCGCATAAAATTAAAGTTTTATCTACGGAAAATTGTATTTGAGTGAAAGTTTCACAGTGTCAGAAAGATTTAATTTTTCATATTCGTAAATTACAAGTGAGTGCATAATTAAGATTTTTATAAATTAACATAAATTAAAAAAAAATTATAGGCTTATAATGTCGAAAGAAGTTAAAAGAAAAAATATTTCTTTAGAAACTAAAATCAAAATTTTTGATCGCTTTGGATCGATTAATGTATTGTAATTAAATAAAAAAACAGTGTTTCCGTAATATATTACATATTTTAACCTGTCAATGCATTTTATTTTTATTTCTGTGTACACCTAAAAATATTGAAAAAAATCACAACTGTTAAATAGCAAAATTATGCATTTTCTGCAAGCTTTTCGATTTACACGGTTTTGACTTGAAAATTTTTAATTTTCGATTTACACGTTTTTCTCAGGAACGTATCTACCGTGTAAATCGGGGGATAGGTGTAAAGACTTACAGATAAAAAAAACAGATAGTCAGATAGATACTAAACTTCTAAAATTTATTGTTTTGGTATTTATTGATCGTTTTTCTGTTTATTTATTTATCGTATTAAGATCCTCGTATTAATTTTTCTTAAATATCTCCCATATATAATCAGCCTTTAGTTACAATTCCATTATTGTATTATTAAGATATTGTCATCTTTAAACAATTAAAGTAGCTTAGTTACCTGCCTAGTTACCTACAATTTCTACTAAAGCAAATATGATCAAGAGAAAAATATTTAATCTTCGGAGTCGTCCTAAAAAGTTCAGGCGTTTCTTTAATTTTTATTTACTACTCGACTTTCAAAAGCCTTAAAGCGAAAGGAAAACTCAATCGATTTTGTTTCTTCTGGTTTTAATTAAAAGAATTTATATAGGCAACTATCTCAATTAATGCAATAAATATAATGGTAATAGAAGTTTGTTGCTGTTGTTTTTCTGTAACATCATAACGTCGGCAGTTTACTTTGAATAGTTCAAAGTGTCAATATATGTGGCAAAAAAAAGTAGGCTGTTGCCGATGTATTTCTGTGGACTAACATCATAATGGCAATAGTTTACTTTGAACTATTTTGTGCGGCAACAATTGTCTGTTGCCGTTGTGTTGCTGTGGATTAACATCATAACGGCAACAGTCTATTTTGAACTATTTTGTGCGGCAACAGTAGTTTGTAGCCAATGTATTTCTGTAAATAAGCCTCATAACGGCAACAGACTACTTTGAACTATTTTGTGCGGCAACAGTAGTATGTTACTGTTGTGTTTCTGTGGACTAACAACATATCGGCAACAGTCTACTTTGAAATATTTTGTGCGGCAACAGTAGTTTGTTGCCGTTGTATTTCTGTGGACTAACAACATATCGGCAACAGTCTACTTTGAACTATTTTGTGCGGCAACAGTATTTTGTTGCCGTTGTATTTTTGCGAGCTAACATCATAACGGCAATAGTTTAATTTGAATTATTTTCACAGCAGCAGTAGTCTGTTGCCTTTGTGTTTCTGTGGATTAATATCATAACGGCAACAATCTACTTTGGATTATTTATTTATTAAATCAAGATCTAAAATTTCTTTTACGCAGTATTCTCCATTATCAGAAGTCGATGTTCGAGACATGCAGGCCAGGTATGAAGAACTTTTGGAGAAGATCCGACCCAATGCTGTGGGGCTCGTCGACGGATTTGACATTAGAGATGAGGTTACCTACTTATCTATATACTCTATTGATAGCAGTATACACTGTTGCGTCGACTTAGACCTCTTTTTCTTGGAAACCATCGTGATAAATTTCTGAATTTCATCACGATGTATCAACTGACCCGATTTCATCCCGACCGCATGCATATACCAACAGCGCAGGTTACATTACAAACATTAAATTAACATTACAAAAAACATATCTGCTTACGTTTTAAATTTGGGGATGCTCGACTAGTTTTGAACTGTGTCATGCCCTTAACATGCCATGAACAAGCCCTTAGTCATGAGCACGATTTACAGCTACGCGGCTGTATTTAAAACGTGAGTAAAGCCGATATAATTTTTTTTCTCATTTAAGAGTTTCCTCTTGTCGGTGCAATTAATTCATGCATCTTCCAGCCTATAAATAATAACAATATAGTATGTACTCACGATAGTTATTATTCAACTATATCTACTGATTAAACAATTGACTTCATTTATAATTTATTTATTTGGTGTTTTTATTAATTTATCAAATCCGTTCTCTAGCAATTTGTAACGTTGTCTTAAACATAGTTGATCCCAATTTTATTTAACTCGTTAATATTTCTTGTTGTTTCTTTCCAATGTATCTTAATAATATATTATAATATCTCATTATTGGACATGGGACTCTATTCAATAAAAAAAGCCTACGTACTATTACCATGCTGGTGAGATCGACTGGTATAGGATTTTAAATTCAGTTTTCCTTCTCTTGCACAAATTCCTAAGTGGCCTTTCACTATATTTTGGGGCTGACAAGGTCTGGTGACACATCGTATTCGCATTCTGTTACTACAAGGCTTATTTATATATGTATAGTAATTACTGTAATTGGTTATACTAGATTCTAAATTCTGCGCTGGGCGCGTACGACGGGCGCGTGTACGAGCGCCTGATGGAGGAGGCCCTCAAGAGCCCCCTCAACGCGGAGCCCGTCAACAGCTCCTTCCACAAGTACCTCAAGCCGTTCATGCAGGGGAAACTGTGATCACAATTAAGGAGCACCAGCGCGGTACATGTCCAAAGTGTGATTTAAAGAGTGGCAAACATTATTTTTTATTTTAGCCGCAATTACAAAATAGAAACGAGCCAGTTACTAATAACGCTGTCTTGTTATTAAAAAGTGTTTTTGATGTTAAATAGTTTAATAATATTAAAACAATTGAAATAAATTTGTAGCAACCTCAAATTGTGTTTATTAAGTATCCAGACACGTAAAACTAATTTCAAATACGATATATGAGGTATATGAGATATATCACATTTGGAATTAGTTTTAAGTATTATTTAAAATGAAATTAATCCCATTAAATTAGTTGCATAACAGTATTTTTTTTTATATTGAACGGTGTATGAAGGTTTTTTCATTAAATTATTACATGTACGTCATGTTCATTACGTCCAGAATGTCGTTTCATACCATTAGTTTCGGAATGCAAATTATGTTTAGGAGTGTATCACTAATAAAACTTAATATTTTTTTTTAAACAGACAAGAGTTGATAAATAACAAAAACCAAGCTGGATACCTTTTGTATTTTTTTTATACCACGAAGGTAACAAATATAGCCCGTCTATTATATAGTAAACGGTCACTGTAGCCTATGGACGCCTTCAATACTAGGGGTATCACATGGACATTGCCGACTCTGAAGAAACGTTAATACACCTTTTTTGAAAAACCACATATTGTAGTCTCTAGGGTAAACCTCGGCAAGGAGGTCATTCCACAGCCTGAGCATACGCAGGAGGAAACTCCTCTGAAACTGCATTATACCCGACCATTAGGGGCATGCGTGTAAGGATGAATTCCCTGTCGATGATGACTCATGTTTTTTTTTTTTTTTTTTTATAGGGGAATATTCAATCTACCACATACTCTTTTGTTAACTGACAGGCGCAAGGTTATCGTCCATTTACTTGTTTAGAGGTATAAAAAGTATTGTAATATAAGTGTTAACTGTACCGTAATTATTTTTCATTATGAATCTCGAGGTGTTGATTATAAAAAGCAATATTTTATACAATAGTGATAAATTTGCGCCTCTTTTCAATGATGATGGCATGCTTGTAGCTAAACAATGATACTAAAAGATAATGTTTGTCTCGAAGAACGGTATATTATTATTACAGTTACTTTTCTAGTATTTATTTTCGATAATTTAACAGTTCTATTGAAAAGATGGGCCCCTTTAGTGACGAAACAGGACTAGACGATATGAATGAAAAGAATTTTATTTAATTAAACATTTTAAATTTTAATTTAATTAAACACTGTAGCCTATTTGGGTCACTGCGACACACATTGCGAAAACATTTTTTTTATACAACTTAGAATGGCAAATAAGCAGACGGCCCACCTGATGGAAAGTGGTAAGCGTCGCCTATGGACATGAGCAGTACCATGGACATAACAGAGTATACTGTTTCGCCCATGATACCCCCCATGCATTGCCATTCCTGAGGACTCGGGTGTTATTCTTCTGTACCCAGTAAATTCGTATTTTATCTTTTGTTATATATTTAAAAAAATGTCGGATGTCGGATGTCGGATGTCGGATGTCGGATGTTGTCTTATAGTCGAGGGATTGGCAGCAGCGTCCCTCTTAAATCATCACCAAAGGTCTGACTGCTGTTGCCAACCCGCCTGCCAAGCGTAGCAACTACTGGCAAAACTCCCCTTATGGGAAAAACCTATGTTCAGCAGTGGACAATAAACGGCTGATACAATAATAAATACATATTAATTTACAGGCAATCCGTAAATATGTATGTTAATGGTATATAAAAAAAAATAGTTCCGATATCAGAAAATTATAGTTGTACTATTAGATTTATTGTATGGTCAAGTCGTGACATTAATAATGCAAAAAGGTACCTACACGTTTATTACACCGGTTCTAGTTATAATGAAACGGTACTAGTATACTATTGTACTTAGTAGGACGTAATTCCAATTATACATCAGTCGGTCAGTCGTGTTTGTTAGATTGATTTGTTGTTGTTACCTCTTTACGAAGTAAACCGTTTACTGTGAGCTTATCGAATTGGAGCCATCAAAGGTCTCTACGTAAATCATCTGGTTTTATGATATATATAAATTTTTTTAAGCGAATTTCTAAATATCGAGGTTGGTATAGGAGGCAATCATTACTGTATTGAAACACAATAATACTGATTATAATTCATACAGACAGACACAGCTTGATTTTTATAATTAATAAAAAAAATCGTTATAAATAATTACAGTAGTTAGTTTTATAGAAAGTTAGAATTAAGTAGCTAATAACCGAGTTAATATGTATCCGGTAGATTTATGATCCTGTCAAACAACAGCTGAGATCATCCGTTGCTATTTCACATTTATTACTAATCATAAATGTTAACACAAAACATTATAACGGGGTCAGTTATCCTGTTTATCCATAGAGTGAACTTTGAATTTGCGGCGCAGATGCGCGCGAAAATATCTATATTTTAAAATTGGAATGAGAAAAAAATAAGTTTCTTTTTCTTAATAAAAATATATTCGAAATTTAAAAAATAAGATAAATTGTCTAGTTTTTACTCTGAATTCCTTTTCGCGGCTATTTATCAAACTGCAGTTGGCTGACAGATTTACCGTTTATATAAAAATATCTATTTTCTATGATATCAATATTTTATAATTTACATAAATGATTTTGGTCGTGTTAAATAAATAAAGTTAATAGGTATTTTTAATGTGCTTGATGAATTGTGAGATTTAACATTTGATTATGATTCTGTTGGTTGGACACCATAAATGTGATTTGTTCTTTTCGACTGATTTTAAAAAGGAGGTATTTTTTTTAAACAAATTGTGTTTTTTTTTCAATTAGATTGTATTTCTTTGTGTATATTTTATTCGATAACTTCGTAATTCTATGCCGATTGTTTTAAATTTATAGCGTTTAAACGTAATCTAATTTATGTCACTATCGGATGTCGGAAGTCGTTGATTTTTGTAGTTTTTGAGTAATTTTGGTGTATAGTATATAGTATCAACATACTGAAATCTGTTTGCGGTACGTAGAACTAATAGTTTACTGCATTATACCATCATGGTATAATGCGGTAAATTATCAGCCATTATTTATTCTCTTCTGTTGAATCTCCCCAATAGACTACCATAAGGAACGACCCTAAGCTACCTGCATCCACTAATTTCGAGCTTGCCGTGTGGTCCCGGTATAGAATAGGCCACCCTTTCTTTTCTAAAGAGAGGCAGCAGTATGTCTTTTTTTTTTTTTTTTTATCTCTTAAAACACCACCAAAGTTTAAGATTTAAGAACGCTTTACCGCCTAAGCGCCCCGCCTGCCAAGCGTGGTACCTATTACATATTATATACAAAACCTCCCATGTTTGATAACGAAATTGTCTACCTAATCTATAGAATCTATTAAGACAAAAATTTCGTGAAACAAAAATTAAGTAAAGGCAATTAAAAAATTAAAAAAATGGGATCCCCATACTAATTCAACACCTGTACATGCTGTGTTTGTATGAAAAATAAGTTCCCTGCTGTAGTTTTTCCTAGAGACTACATGTTTGCACTGTCTCCCTGCAATGCATTGTGTGCATCAGTGGATGCAGGTGGCCAGGTGGTGGTCAGGTGGTCAGGACCGTTCTTTATGGCAGTCTATGGGGGAGGCTTATGTCTAGCAGTGGACGGATAATGGCTGAAATGATAACGATGATGATTATAAAAAAAAAAAATTATTGACTGTACAGAAATAACATAAAAAAAATTAAAAAAAAATTAAGACATTTTTTACAGTGACTAGACTTTCGCCGGTGGCATCGATATGTATTAATGCAATTTATTTCTATTTCTATTAACGACGATGATATATTTTTTCTAAATTTAATTTCCTTTGGTATTATGTAAATTAAATAAAATAAATGTTGTCAGTGACATTGATATATCCAGGAATAGGAACATGTTTAGCCAAAATTTAAAGATAAACTTGACATGAATAAATAGACTATACTTTTTCAAGTCAATAATTATAGATTATTATTAATATTTTTAAATATAATAATTAATTGTAAATATTAATATAAATGTGAAAATAAGTTTGTTTGTTAGTTTATAGCGTATTAACTGCTTAATCTATTATTATGAAATTTGGTATACACATACTGTATGCGATCGAGAAGGACTGGCTAGTTAAAATAAACCGGCTAGTTAAAATATCCCGTTATCGAGGGTAATTGCTAGTATATAACAAAAGTGGATCATCACCATCTTCTTACCCTTACCCCAATATGGGTTCGGCGTAATATGGTTTTATCCATATTACTAAAGAATTTGTTTTATACAACTAAGAATGGCAAACAAGCTGACGGTCCACCTGATGGAAAGTGGTAACCGGCGACTATAGACATGAGCAGTACCATGGACATAACAGAGTATACTGTTTCGCCCATGATACCCCCCATGCGTTGCCATTCCTGAGGACTTAGGTGTTATTCCTCTGTACCCAGTAAATTCACGCCATATCCCACCCTTCAAACCGAAACACAGCCATGCAAACACAACTGTTTCACGGTTGAAACACGAATGGGACAGAGGTACCCAAGCAATCGACTTTTGTACAAAGTCTCCCTCTTTCTCTTCTCTCTCTCTTCTCAGTGGTAAGCATTGTGGGTACCATAGATGGTATCGTTTGTTTTGTCCATGATATTGTTTATGTCTATAGGTGGTCCTGGCATAGAACGAGCCACTCCTTCCTTTCCCGTGTCTGTCGTAAGAGGTAACTAAGGGAAATTCATGGTTTTAAAGCGGCAGCGTCCCTCCGTTTTAAGAAAGATCATCGAAATCTAACTGCAGTTGCCAATCCGCTTGCCAGGCGCAGCAACTGTGGACAGCAGTGAGTAGCAGTGGACAGTTAACGGCTTATATGATAGGCGACGGTTACCACTTTTCATCAGGTAGGTTGTTAGCCTATTTGAGGTTTTTAGTTGCATAAACTAAAATTAGTCATTAATTTTGTACGTTTGCTATTGAATCTCTCTATAAGAGTCCTTATTAATAGTATGAATGTGAATGTTTATTTTTTTTACCTTTTATCATCTTCTTATATATACTAAATTTGGTATACGTGTTTTTTTTATACGACTTAGAATGGCAAACAAGCCACCTGATGGAAAGTGGTAACCGTCGCCTATAGACACTAGCAGTACCATGGACATAACAGAGTATACTGTTTCCGCCCATGATACCCCCATGCGTTGCCATTCCTGAGGACTCAGGTGTTATTCCTCTGTACCCAGTAAATTCACGCCATATCCCACCTTTCAAACCGAAACACAGCCATGCAAACACAACTGCTTCACTATATGATATGTAAAAGGATATA